AAAAACATTATCCGCCTTATTGAATATCCCTACATGGGAATCCACTTGGAATTTTACAAGGGATTTCACATAGGATTTTATATGGGAATTGACATAGGATTTCATGCAAGATTTCACCTAGGATTTAATGAGACATCACAAAGTATTTTATTAAAGATCCAATGAAGAAATTTTCAAAGGATTAAAAATTATTTAATAAAAAATTAAATAATAAATAGTATTAGTGTTACAAGTCATCAAAAAAGTAAAAAAACGATCATTTGAAACACGTCCTCTCTGCTACAGGTTCTCAGCTTTTATATACTTCCAGAATCGTCTCAACAGCGAGAGAAGTCACTTTCGCCACCTAGCGGTGAAAGTATAGGAGCGACAGTAATCTTTAACATTACTAAGGAAACCATGTGGAATACCACGTAGGATTCACATGGGATTCTGTTTAGGATTTGACTGGGAAAAACATGTGGGATTTGATATGGTTTTATGCATAGATAAACTGTTCAAATACCCCATGTCTATTCCTAACTAAAATCCTGTCTCAATTTCCCATATGGTTTGACATGGGAAACCACATGGTAAACCACGTGGTTTCCTTCATGGAAGTAGGGTTTTACATGGTTTTTGACATAGGATCCCATGTGGTTTCCCATGTGGGGATTTTCAATAGGGACCAGGTCAACTGTGTTAAAAAAATTTCGTTGATTTTCTAAAATGTTAAAACTTTTATGAAAATCTGTAGTTCACAACAAAACAATAAAATAATTTATCCGTTTTTTTGAAATTTTAAATTTTTGTTATTTTTTTTGCATTAACAAAATATTACAAAATTTAAAAAAAATTAATAACTCAAAAGCCGTTTACACTAAAATAATGAAACTTACACTATTTACACAAAATTGTTCACTCTTTTAAAATAAAATATTTGCATGATTGTAAATTTAAAAATTCCATATTTTTAATAACAATTTTATTAACAATTTGAATTATTTATGTTTTCTACCGCTCCTGTTGCAATGAAACTCATAGGAAGTATACTCAGTAGTCTCTTCTTGAAACCCAAAAAAAATTTTGGTATTTTCAATTTGGAAAATGTACATAACGAATTTTTTTATTAAAAACGCGCGCCAACTCCACAGTAGGAAAAAGTTGATTGTTGTAGAAAATTCAGTTTAGAGGTTACAAATATTATTTGTTTTTAATAATTTTTTTTAAATGAAAGTTTGTAAAATTTCGCACCGATCTGTGGCGGTAGAATTTCGAAAACTGTTAACTAATTTTTTTTATTTAACAATATATATGATCAAAAGAGAAAAAAAATTCCAAAATATTAGTTAACAAATGCGTAGCATTAATATTTTTTAAAGTTAAGATATCAGATTTAATCTGATGGGTGCACAATTTTATAAACTTTCATTTTAAAAAAAATTATTAAGAACAAATAATATTTGTAACTTCTAGACTGAATTTTCCACGACAATCAAATTTTTCCCATTGTGGAGTGGATGCGCGTTTTTAATAAAAAATTCGTTATGTACATTCCAAATTGAAAATACAAACATTTTTTTTTGAGTTTCAAGAAGAGACTACTGAGTATACTTCCTATGAGTTTCATTGCAACAGGAGCGGTAAAAAACATAAATAATTTAAATTGTTTATAAAATTGTTATTAAAAATATGCAATTTTTAAATTTACAATCATGCAAATATTTTCTTTTAATAGAGTGAACAATTTTGTGTAAATAGTGTAAGTTTCATTAATTTATTGTAAACGGCTTTTGAGTTATTAATTTTTTTTTAATTTTGCAATATTTTGTTAATGCAAAAAAAATAACAAAAATTTAAAATTTCAAAAAAACGGTTAAAAGTGTTTTATTGTTTTGTTGTAAACTACAGATTTTCATAAAAGTTTTAACATTTTAGAAAATCAACGAAATTCTTTTAACCCTTTCACGCCCATGGGACATATACGTCCCACCTACAAAAACCTCAATATCTTTGAAAAAACTTAATATTTTTGAATCTAATTTCGTGCGTTCTCTTCAGGAAGAATAAGGCTTTAAAAATAAGTAACCTAGATCATGTTAAAAAATTCCTATTGTTTAAAAAAATTGATAAATTATTGTTAAAAATCATGAATTTTTAAAATATTTTAAAATCGCCTAAAAATTGTTACTCGGGGGTTTTCGGGGTCGCTGATTACGAATCCGGTGCTAGTTTTTCAAAATTCAAAATGGCGGATCTAATATGGCGGACGACAAATGTAAAAATTAAACGGTTTGGTATGAAACTTGTTACTCGGGGGTTTTTAGGGTCGCTGATTACGAATATAATATCAGTTTTTTAAAATTCAAATGACGGTTCCAAGATGGCGGAAGATTATTTTTAAACATTTTAATTTCACCTGAAAATTGTTACTCGGGGGTTTTCGGGGTCGCTGATTACGAATTAAGTGTTAATTTTTAAAAATTCAAAATGGCGGATCCTATACGGCGGACGACAAATGTAAAAATTGTTTGGATTAGAGGGAAACTTGTCACTCAAGGGTTTTTATGGTCTCTTATCACGAATTTGTAGTTTATTTTAAAATTGCGATTGTGTATTTATTTATTTCTGTCAGTAGATGGACTTGTTTCTTTCTACTCTCACTGGATTCGTAATCAGCGACCCCGAAAACCCCTGAGTAACAAGTTTCTAGTGAAACTAAACGATTTTAAAAATAACGTCCGCTATATTGGATCCGCCATTTTGAATTTTAAAAATATAACACCGGATTCGTATTGAGCGACCCTGAAAACCCCCGAGTAACAAGTTTCTGGTAAAACTAAACGATTTAAAAGAAATCGTCCGCCATCTTGGATCCGCCATTTTGAATTTTTAAAAAATGATGTCATATTCGTAATCAGCGACCTCAAAAACCCCCGAGTAATAATTTCCAAGCCAATCCGATCAATCTGTAAAAAAGTTGCCCGCCATATTGGATACGCCATTTTGAATTAAAAAAATGTTATAATTCTGATATCAGATTCGTAATCAGCGACCCCGAAAACTATGAATAACGTTACACTTACGTTTTTTTAACCGTCCAGTTATGGCTGGGTGTGAAAGGGTTAACACAGTTGAGCTGGTCTGACCTAGTCATTTTGCGAATTTTAATTTTTACGAATTTTCTGTTTTTTATTTCGCTTAATGTTATTTTTTGCAAATATTTGCAAAAAATTACAAAGCGGTCAAATGACATTTGACCAAAAATTTATTAAATATTTAATTAATATTTTTAACATAATAGCATATATTGCAAATCTCTATAAATATTTTAATTTCTGCTTGTATTTTTATAGGTACTTACAAAAATTATAATATTTTACATAAACTTACGTTTTTCAAAGTTGCAGTTTATATAGACAGGTCGAAAAATATTTCTCACGTCGATTCGATAGCCGCGGTCGTTAAGCGTTTAGATAGATAGGTCATAGGTGCGGGGTTCGATTCCCATAGGGTACAAGTTTTAATTTAATTCTTCCAGTTTAATTAAAATGTTTGTATGTTTGGAGTGTGCTAAGAATATAATGTTATTAATGGTCATAAGAATCTTTTATTTTTTTTTCCACAAATATTTTTTTCAAATCGTATGTTTTCAATTGTAACCACCTTGGATACAATAGGAAAGAACTTTCTGTTATTTTTCGATATAGGATTTGATAGAATTTAAATCAAAAAATCTTATTGGATTGGAAACAATTTTTAATAATCAATTTTGATAGAATTTGATAGGACTTTCTTTGAAATCAGTGGGACAACATGGGACAATTTTCGGATAGACAAAGTATTGATTTGGATAGACTTTCTATTAAAAGTATGTAATAGAAACTGATTGCAATTGTTGAAAATTTTGGATTCAGAAACACGATTGAAATGGAAAGAATTTTTTTTTTCCATTTCTATCAAATTTTTTAAACAGGGTGTACCCATAATAGTATAGTTTTCGGGGATCTGAAGATGAGAGATGTTATTAAAAAATTGCCAACTGTCCTTTAGGTTTATTTTTGATTTTAAGGTTTCTTTTTTTAAAATGTTTTGGTAAAGTACTGATAAACTATATAAAGGAGAGTTTATAAAAGAGGTGACAGGTCTTAATGGATACCCAACCTTATGTATTTTCGGAAGACCGTAAAACAAAGGAGGCAAACCATTAGTACATTTAATATTGCGAAATGTGAAATCGGAGATTATGTCTTGAGACAGCCAATCGTTCACCAGGGATGATAAAGTTTTTTGAATTGAATTTATAGGGTTTTTTATTTTTTCATAAACATTTTGATCGTTAAGCATTAAATTTACTTTATTTATATAATCATCTTTTGATTGCAAAACTGTAATTTTACCTTTATCTGCCTTGGTTACTATAAGGTTTTGGTTTTCCTTTAGGAACATTCTTGTTTCTTCAAATTTTCGTTCTAACAATCGCAAGTTTGGGTTCCACTCTTCTTTGGAGTTTAAAAAATGTTTAAGGTGAAAGGTGACATTTCATCGCAATGAGTTCATAACTCTGTCGGAAAACTTGAAATTTTTTGACTCTACACCAGTAATAAATCTTTGAACCGGAACTGATGATTTCCTACAAGGCAAAACAAATTTACCACCCAGACTCAACACTTGTTTAACACTATCCGGGACATAAACACCAGTTAAATTTTTAAAAGATTTATCTACATTAACCTGTATGTCTACGGTTTGATTAAACGTTAAATTAGTTATTTTTCTTTTTGAAACATGAATTAATTTTTTACCGTAATTTTTTATCTTATTCAAATTGTAATTTTTTAATTCTTGGAAAAAATTAAATGAAGTTAAGTTAATTATATTTTTCATTTAAATCTTTACTTTATTATACTTGGCTTAAAATTAAAAAGGAGTTATACACTCCATATACTTAATAGACTTTAATGTTAATAATATTCTAAACATAAAAAACAAAAAAAAACTAATAATAACATCGACATATGTATATATATATATATATATACTGAATTATATGTATTTATACTTGTAAAAAACGGTATTTACATTATAAGCTATTGCAATAAATTATTTTTAAAAAAATATCTACAATAATGCCATTAAATAATATCCAAGTTTTTCTTCTTCTTTTTCATTTTCATTGGGATCGGTCCAGGCATTTTAAACACCGTACTGCAAAAAAAAGTAAATCTTTAAGTAATTTTTTCAATGCAACATCCTGTAAAAATAGTTACTGTTCAATAAATTTGCAATTTGTACCAAAAATCAAATTCCCCTTTTTCTGACTACCAATAATTTAATTTATTTCTCGAAAGAATTCTTCACGAAAATTCAATTACTTTCATAAAGAATAACATTATTTGCAGGGAATCAATTATTTTTAGTACAATTTCAATAAAAATTCTTCGAAAGAATTCAATTATTTTCAAAAATTTTAATAAAAATCTTCGAAAGAATTCAATTAATTTCAAAAAATTTAATAAATTCTTCGAAATAATTTAATTATTTTCCAAAAATTTAATAAATTCTTCGGAAAAATTTAATTATTTTTATTAAAAAAGTAAAATTCTTCGCAAGAATTAAATTACTTTTATGGATAACAAAATTCTTCTCAAGAATTCAATAATCAAATTTTTAGTTATAATTATTCAATTATTTTCAGTATTTTAATAAAATTCCTTTAATGAATTAAATTATTTTAAAAAATTATAATAAAATTCTGAAAAGAATTTAATTATTGTAGGGGAGAGTCTCCAGTTGTGAGACGGGTTTCATTTTTGACCCGTAAATTGTAAACGGGTAAACGAAATTGTTAATAAAATACACCGTTCGAAAGGTAACAGAAATACGCAACTTTTATTAAAAGAAAGTATAGTGTTTCGATGAACTCAAAAAGTTTTACGATACATTTTCCGAGCACATCGCTTTTTTCAAAAAAAAAAAAATGTCTCCAGTTGTGAGACACTCATTAAAAATTGCTAAAATTTAATAAGTTTGACATAAAACGTTATGTTTAGTAGAAATAATTAAATATATTAATAATATATATTATTATATACTAAATAATAATATTTATTCGCCAAAATATGACTATCAAATAAACACAATTTAATAGCTTGAACAAGAGCATTAAAATTGATTTCTTCTGAATCAATTGACTTTTTTCCACTTGACATGCCCAAAAATACTAGAAAAAAAATCAAAACAACATTTAAATAGTATGCCTGCAAAGTCGTATTTTTTATGCTGCCCAGATGGGTGTTGACACCGTCTCACAACTGGTGATATGCTGTGTCTCACACCCAGAAATTGGCGCTATTTTGAAAAAGGAAAATTAAATTATTTTCAACCGTAGATTGGAACAATGCAATATTGCATCACAAAATATAAGGAAAACACTAAAAGAAAATGCATTACATTTACCTTTTCCAATTAATTAACTTGGAAAAAAAGTACTTTGTATTTATTGAAAAAACGCTTTTTAGTCGATTATCACACACAGTGTTGGTATTTAACAAAAACAGTTTATATATCCGCTTCGGCGTACACGAAAAAGTTGGCTCATATAAAAAGAAATGTTTTTATATAAACCAATCGGCTTTTTAATATTGCATGTTAAAAAAAATTGACTGTCTCACAACTGGAGGTGTCTCACAACTGGAGACTCTCCCCTATAAAAATTTTAATAGGGGAGACTGGGGCGAAAGGTTAAATTCTGCATAAATGATTTTTTTAGACAATATAATCCGCTTAGATGCAAATATTTATATATCAATATTGCAGGGCAACTTGTCCCCTACAACTTTCAATAAAAAAGCTTCTGACATTTTCGCATAAAATACATATTTTGTCCGTTTTTGAAAATTTTGTTTTTTTTTTACTTTTCGCCCCATGCTGGGGCGAAAAGTTAAATGCCTGGGGCTAAATGTTAAATTCTATTTTTAACCTACTAATACTATTTTCTGATAGGTGTTGAAAAATGAAAATTTTCTTTTTTTTTGAAATTTCAATTTATTAACTTTATAACTTTTATTAACTAAATTACTTGTTTACGTAGGTATACTTTAAAATACATTGTATTTTAAAACTGTGTGGCATGATGTAAAATTACCATGTTAGGTTATGTATAATCACCACGTCGGACTAGTCGCCATACTTTCCAGCGTCGGACATTGTAAATTTACACGAGATTTTTTTACAGTGTACATTTAACTTTTCGCCCCACCCATTATTATTTAACATTTCGCCCCAGGGTGCATTTTTGGCTTTAACAACAAATAAAAAAAATCTGACTAAAGATATTCAGAAAATACCTTCAGGTATCTCTTCATGGGACCCAAATAAGGACCTAAAAAAATCGCTATGAGAATAAATTAAAAAAATATACTTAAAAGTTGATATATTCTTTTACGAAAAAATTTTCAAAAGTAGGGTGAAAACAAACTTTAAATATGGACACCACAAAAATGAACAGAATGTCACATAACTCCGGACATTTATTTAGAGTGATAACACCCTTCTATAATTAAAATTGCAATGCTCTAACTATTTCCGTTCGAAAGATAATGAATTTTAACTGTTTTAACAGTTTAACCTTTCGCCCCAGTCTCTCCTGTATAATTCAATAATCAAAGGCTTAATTTTAACTATTAACAAGCACGAATATTTCAAAAAATTGAATGAAATCCTCCATAAATTTCAATCACTTTCAAAATTTTCAATTAAAATTATTAAAAAAAACTCCGTCTTTTGAATATAAAAAATTCAAAAAAATTCTTCAAAAAAATTATGTAAAATATTAAATAAGGTAATTATTAAATTTTTCTTGCAAAAATTGTATCAAAAAACATATTCTCTAAATCTGAATAAGTAAACATTTGAAGTAATTCTAAAAAAGGTGATGTGGAATTTCTGAAAATCAATTTTTTATTTTTACATAGAATAAGACATTAAAATAAATAAAATCCAGTTTTTCTTACAAAATAAATAACAATAATCGTCTTTCGCATTGATAAAAATTAGTTTTTCTACAGTAATTTTAAATGAATTATTATGTTTTAGAAAGTTAAATTAAATTATGATTTCTAATGTAAAACAATTTTGTTTAATTAATTTTTGTTATTATTTAATCTTCAAAACATTAAGAAAGCAAACAGAAGCAACTATCTTTAAATTGCGAATAGAATCCGGAATTTAACAATTATTAATGTATATTAATATTATTATTATAATATTATTGCAAAAAGTAATAAATAACAATTTTCTAATTTAAAATCAAAAGAATACAATATTAAATTTCAACTTACTGACAAGTGGTGCAGATTGGACTGAATTTGCAGAAAACTGAGAACAAAAAGTTATTGACAGTTTTTATATAAGTTAAAAATGTGACATAAATCTTGAAATGATTAATGTTTCTTACTTGAAAGACATACGGAGCAAACGTAACCAATATCGACAAGTTCTTGGTGGCAAAAGCAAGCTGCTCGATAGTCAACTTTGACAGGAGGTGGTAGAACAAGTTTCGACCGAACATCAGGATCAGGAAGAAACACCCACTGAATCATTAAGAAAATTCTCCTTACGTCAAATTTTCAAACTTCTCCACACCCTCTCGCCTTATTTTCCAATAATTAAAAAATCTAATAAATTTAATCTTCACATATTATAATTTCGTCATTCAAATGTTATTTCAAAACAGAATAATTAATAAAATAGAAATAGAATATTAATAAATAAATTAATAGAAAATTTAAAAAAAATTAATAAACTCCACCATACTTAACTTCTTCAACAAAAAAACAAAATATAATGTTCTGTTCTCCTCCATTCTTCACCCCAATGGGAAGTAAACGATTGGTTCAATAATGGGCCATGCTTGGCGAACTCCGTTCCATTATTGGAACATTAATGGCAACCATCATTGGACCACCAATGGTTTAAACTTGGGATGATCACGCTACTGCCAATGATCGGTAGCCAAGCATCGGGCCAATATTAGTTGCCAAGGAATTGCCAAGGAGACAAAATCGATTTTCAAAAGCTTGATTTTTTATTGGCAGCCAACAAAAAACCAAGGTTTTGAAAATTGATTTTTTTTAATTATTAATTAAAATTTATTTTTAAAAAATATATTTTTCAAAAATTTATTTTAAAAAAATATATTTTTTAAAAATATATATTTTTTTAAATTAATAGAACATATTAATTTAATTTGTCACCTCTGGTAAAACAAAGATGAAAGACTGATAAATTCCCTCACTTTATATTTTACAGTGGAGGGATAACTGTGAATGTCTTTGCGAGAGAGGAGCAGGTACTTATATAGAGCCAGTGAAACAGGTCACAAGCGAGAAGAAATCACTAGCATGCACTCTGGCGGCGCTTGTCGGAACTGTTTTCTGGCGCGCATGCATATCCTGACATTATCGACGCAGCGCTTGGCAACCAACGTTGCGCCACTTCCGACATGCGCCGCCAGAGTGCATGCTAGTGATTTGTTCTCGCTTGTGACCTTTCTCACTGGCTCTATATAAGTACCTGCTCCTCTCTCGCAAAGACATTCACAGTCATCCCTCCACTGTAAGATATAAAGTGAGGGAATTTATCAGTCTTTCATCTTTGTTTTACCAGAGGTGACAAATTAAATTAATATGTTCTATTAATTTAAAAAAATATATATTTTTGAAAAATATATTTTTTTAAAATTAATTTTTGAAAAATATATTTTTTAAAAATAAATTTTAATTAATAATTAAAAAAAATCAATTTTCAAAACCTTGGTTTTTTGTTGGCTGCCAATAAAAAATCAAGCTTTTGAAAATCGATTTTGTCTCCTTGGCAATTCCTTGGCAACTAATATTGGCCCGATGCTTGGCTACCGATCATTGGCAGTAGCGTGATCATCCCAAGTTTAAACCATTGGTGGTCCAATGATGGTTGCCAATTGTTTTGCCAAGAAAAAACCATTGGGTACCAAGCATGGCCCATTATTGAACCAATCGTTAACATTGGCAACTTCCCGTTGGGACGTGTACAATTTTCAATTTTTCAAAATTTAATAATATACAATTTACTGTCGGGGCGAAAAAAATTATAATCATTCAAAAAAAAAAGAAAACGAATTGAAAGCTTTGTAACTTCAAAAAAAAGCAATTAACCAATTAATGAATTTCCGCTGTAATTTTTTGTACTTTCTCTTGCGTAAATTGCATAGGCATTTCACTTTGACTGCAACTACAAACGTTTTACGATCCTTAATTAAAATGAAAGCATTTCAAGTTCTAGAGGCCAGAATTAGAAGAATTCTCCAATTAAACAGGTGTATTATGTATCTTTATAATAAATCGATTATTAGAAAAATAATTTCAATCTTTTGTTTTCACTAATAGTTCAAATAAAAACAATTTTAAAAAAATAATTAAGGAATAAGACAGAAAATTCCTTTCTCAATATTCAACTATCTTGAAACTACGCTCAGTCGTTGTTATAAAGTTTAATATAGAAAGTTTCGCGTGGCCACATCAAAGATCTCTCTCTCTCTCTCCCTTACACACACACACACACACACACACTGTTATAGGTAGTGGAATATTTAAAGTTTTATTTCAGTCAAAAAAGATAGAGTCGACAGAGAATTGGAAAAAAGGACAAATCAGACAAAAATGAAAAATTTCGACATATTTCAGAAAAATGATTGAAAAAATTTCGAACAACTTTGATAAACAAATGACAAACAAATATGAAACATCAAACAACGAGAAAAAAATCGAGAAAAATTCGTTTTTCTCTTCTATTTCGGTAAAATTGAACCGCGACAGTATTAAATAGAGCAAAAGAGTGGTAAACGATCCAAAAATAAAAAGGGTAATAAATGTAAATATAGTATTTTGTTTCAGAAAGAAAAAGGTTTCATCGCTGAATATGTGAGTCATAAACCTTTTTTATGATATTTCAACTGATATAAAACAAATATAAAAAATGAATGAATCACTAAAACGTTAGCAAATAAAATAAATTCTAATTAAAATATAACAGGATTGGCACAAAAAATTAATTTTCTTTTTCCCTGACATTTCCCTGATTTCCAGACAAAATTTTAACTTTTTCCTTACCCCAAAAGAATATTCTAATTCACTCTAAAAATGATTAGATACTCAAAAAAAAATGTTCTAATACATTTACACGGAGAAAACTGGATATTCAAAAGTAGATATTGAAAAAATATATTATCTGGATATTAACGCTTAACATCCAGATATTTACTTTATATATCTAGATAGCTGTCCCTATGTTAAAGAATAAAAATATTAAACTTTAACATCTAGATATTTACCTTAAATATCCAATTTTCTCCGTGTATTTCCGAATTTTTTTATAATTGTAAAATTATTCAAAAACACCAAGTTTTATTTAAAATAAATATTTAATCATTAATATTTTTCTGTAGGAATTAAGATTTTCAAAAATTTCAAATTCAAACCTTTTTGAAATTCAACAACCTATAAAAATATTATTAAAAAAACTCGGAGTAATCGATTTCTTCACGTTAGATAATAAATAAAAATGACCGAGTGATAAAATCGTACTTTTATATTATAAGAATATTGATCGTTGGCGGAATCCCGTGGCCGAATGTCCAGGCAAATGCGAGTACTCCTAACTCAAGTCGGATGCAACCGCAAAATAGGGATTTTAATTTGTGTTGTGAGTTTAGTTAGAGAGAGGTAAAACAAGATCTGAGGAAATTGTAACGACCTTATGAAAGGTATACGATGAAATCTTACTTTACTTTATAAGAATATTGTTAATGTAACTTTTTCAATATTATTTTCATCATTTCAATTCAATTATTATTTTCTTGAATTTTTAACTAAAACTCTTCTTTAAATCGATTATTTTTAATACTTATTGAAAAAATTCTTTGAGAATTTCAAATTAATTTGTTTACAAATCAATTTTACAAAATTTCGGTAATTCGGAAAATCTTCAATTAAATATACATTAGAAAATAAAAACTTCAATTAATTTTTTAAAAATTCAATTAAACTTTTTTAAAAAAATTAATTCTACAGAATTATTAGTTAAAAGTATGGAAAATTCAGATTTTCAATGATTTTAATTTAAAACCTTTTTAAAATAATTATTTCTAAAAATTAACGCAATAATGCTTTTAAGAATTTTATCAACAAATTTTTAAATAATATTGAATTTTTTTGACGAATTTTAATAAAATTTTTAAGAATAATTACATTTTTCAAGAAATTCGATTAAAATTGTATCAAAAATAATTAAAATTCTGCGATGAGTTTTATTATTTATAAAAATAATTAAATTCCTAAGAACAGTTTTATTATTTATGAAAATAATTGAATTATTGCGAAGAAATTTATTTTAAAAATTAGTAAATAATTGAATTCCTGTGAAATTTTTATTATTTATGGAAAAAATTAAATTTTTGCGTAGAATTTTATTCAAAATTATTTTTAAATAATTGAATTCTTTTGGAAAATTTTCTTAAAATAGTAATTATTGAAAAACATTGAATTGACAAAAAGTTTTGAAAATAATTGAATTACGGAATAGAATTTTATTATTTATAAAGGTAATTGAAATTTTGACCAGAATTTTTGTAATTCTTTGAACATAATTGAATTTCTGCAAAGAATTTTCTTACTTTTGAATCCTTTTCAAAATTCAATTATTTCCTAAATTCATGGTATAAAGCTTTAATATTCAATTATTATCTAAAATTTTAATTATAATTCATGTTTAAATCAATTTTAATTTGAAAATTCTACGAGAATTCAATTATTTAAAAACAAAAATAAATAATTTATTGAATAATCGAATGTTTCTCAAAATTGAATTCTCATAACGAATTTTATCAACAAATTTTTAGGAATAATTACATACATTCTTCAAGGAAATCGATTAAAATTGTACAAATAATTGAAATTCTGTGATATGATGAGTTTTATTATTTATGAAAATAATTGAATCTCTGCAAAAATTTTTATTATTTATGAAAATAATTGAATCCCTGTAAAAAATTGTATGATTTATGAAAATAATTGAATAATTACAAACAAAAAAATTTGTAAATAATTGAATTCCTGTGAAATTTTTATTATTTATGAAAATTATTGAATTTCTTATAAGAATTTTATTACTTTTGAAAGTAAATGCATTTCTGCAATCATTTGCAACTTTTCAAAAATTCAATTTTTTAGTGTTTTTATCTAAAATTCTTCTATAAATCCATTAGGTATTTTTAATTCAAAAATTTAACAAATTTCAGAAGATTTTGAATTATTAAAATTTTTGAAAAATCTAAGTTCTTTAAAATTTCTAAACAAAATTCATTGAAAATTTAAATTTTCTAAAATTTCAAATTGAAACCTTTTGGAGTTTATCTATTTATAAAAATTGTAAACGCAACTCTTTTAAATAAAAGGAAATTATTGTCAGAAATAGAAATACTTTCCATAAAAATACCTTGTTTTTCCCTAACCTGTGGCAACCCTGAATAACACTTAAATTATAATTATTAATTAAAAATAAACTCACCAATAAATACTGCAGCAAACCCGGTAATTGAGGAATTTTCAAATAATTTCCACCTGTTAAATCGCAACCCTGTTGCAGCAAAGTTAATTCATGATCCAAACTGCAAACATCTAATATCACCCCCTAAAGAATGAAATTAACTTGAACTTTGAACAATCTTTGAACAATCTTTGTTGAATAGTACAAACCATTTTTTGTGCCGTAAAAAAGATGTTCATATAATTCATATATTGTCCCGCTGAATCATGACTGGCGGTAATTACAAGAACTCGTGAATTAAGTTTCTCGCCGGCAACTTTTTCTCTCTCCAATCTCGAGATATAACAAAGTGACATGGATAGAGCACCAGAGATTAAACTCTCGAAATTCGAAAGTCCATCCGAAGGCATATCGTTTATCATTTGCTGCAATCGTTGCCGTATTGTTCGTTCGACCAATGTAAATAGCTCATACTGCCCATCAATTTGTCTCACCTCCGATCGTTTTTCATCTGGATAGAGGAACTGTGCTCCATTTCCATGACATGCCATTACGGCAAGAAGATTGTTGGGTGTTTTCATGAGATGTGCATTCGCAAAGACAATCGCTGAATCTAGGCATTGTGTGATAACTTGTTTAACGATTCTCTGCACTGGACTCACATCGAGTATTAAAATTAGTAAATTCTTCTCGACAACTGTACAAAATTTTTAATCATTTTTTTATTTACTCATATTAATCATTATTATAGTAAATAGAACGGAAAAACATTAAATAATAAAATTTTTCATGCGGTAATAAAATCAAGTTGAAAAACTTGAGTCTTTTAACTTTCTCAATAAACAAAATTTTAAAATACCTTGTCAAAGTTATCAGAAAAATTTAATAACCATTTCATTTATAATCAATAAAATATTTAATTAAAGGAAAAATTATAAAAAGTTTTGTAGGTTATGTTTGAAAACTACAATTGAATTCAATTGAAATTTCAATCAATTTTGCATCGCATATCATATTTTATACATTACTCAGTTAAAAAAATACTAAACTTACTATTTTCCATAGTATTCCCAATTTAAATAACACAAAAATTCAATCAATTTATGAAAAATTCTGATGACTTTCCGGGCATTTAAACAAAAATCACAAAAATCGAATGAAACTAAACCGCCAGGTGTCACTAGTTGAGCGTCAACTGTTAAGTCCAACGCACAATAGGTTCTCGAACGAGACGCATGAGATAGATAAGGACACAAATATATCTCTTTCATTTTCTAACTCATGCTTTGCGTTCGAAAACGACTTTCGCGAACCTATTGTGCTTAGGCCTTATAGGCCTTTCTCCAATAGGTTTTAAAAAGTGTGCGAATGACTGCGTTGCGTTGATTTTAGCATGTGTTGCTATAGCAACCGACGCAGACACAGAGTTGAGACGCATGCATATCCCCTAATAGCCAAGTAGTCGAATGATCAAATAGTCAAATGCCAAGTAATCGAATGGACAAAACGTCGAATGCTAAAAACATCGAATCATCATCTAGTCGAATGCTCAAATAGTCGAATCTTCATTTAATCGAATGCTAAAAACATCGAATTCTCAATTTGTCGAATGTTCAAAACGTCGAATGCTCAAAACGTCGAATCGTCATTTAGTCGAATGGTAAAACCATCGAAAAGTCCATTCGTCGAATGCTTAAATAGTCGAAACGCCATCTGTTCGAATTGTCAAGTAGTAGAATAGTAAAGTTGTCGAATGTTCAAAACGTCGAATCGTCATCTGTTCGAATTGCCAAGTAGTAGAATGGTAAAGTAGTTGAATGGACAAAAAGTCGAAACGCCATCTGTTCGAATTATCAAGTAGTAGAATGGTAAAGTTGTCGAATGTTCAAAACATCGAATCGTCAAGGCGCTTGCACACTTCCAAATTTTTAGGCGAGCAGCGAATTTTCACGGCCTTGAAATGCACATTACTAAATATGATTGGCTCTGACAAAGTACATTTTCACGCAGCTTTTTGTAGAGCCAATCATATTTAGTAATATGAGTTTCAAGGCCATGAAAATTCGCTGCTCGCCCAAAATTTTGGAAGTGTGCAAGCGCCTTAAATATGATTGGCTCTGACAAAGTACATTTTCACGCAGCTTTTTGTAGAGCCAATCATATTTAGTAATATGAGTTTCAAGGCCATGAAAATTCGCTGCTCGCCCAAAATTTTGGAAGTGTGCAAGCGCCTTAAAAGTGATTGATTGGCCGGATTCGACTTGTTAAATCCTTTAAAAAGGAAGCGGGATAATTTAAATGAAACAATATTAAATTCCGTATAAGGGAAGGGAAACCAGTTCGAAAGAAGATAATTTATTTGTCTCCTTTCGAAGGTAAAACCCTTTAAGTTTATTGAAGTACTTTGTTCAATCAAGCTGGCTAAGGAACTTGGACGACAAGAACCTTTCTAGTCAAGCGCAAGATTAGAACTCTACAAGTTTGTTGTCAGACGAGACGGAGATGCTCTCCGTCTTGTGTCCATTTTAGTCCGAATGCGCATGCTCGCTATGACGCGCACTCTTATTGGTTATGTATTCAACATCGAGACACTAATACTTTTAGGCACGACACTGTGAATTCTACACACACATAAAATAAAAGAGTATCTCTTATACATACTATATTCACTCATCATACTTTTGCTCTATTTATAAGATTTATAATAAATTGTTCGATTTATGATTAATGAATCTAAATTACAATTACATTACCACATTTAAATGTGTGAAGTGTCTTACATTATAATTATATTGTACATAAAGAATATAACATGAAGATAATATAATATATACATAATTTCTAATATGTAAACATACTCATGTGCATATTATACATCTGCACATTACACACACATATATACACATTCAACATTTGTTAGTTAATAACAATAAAAATAAAGTAGTTGTTTTGATATTAATTAGTAAAGTATAATTTGGAAAAGAAGTTAGTACAATATCAAAATATGTAACATTAATTTAATTACAATAATTATTTTAATTATTATAGAAATTATAAATGAAATCAATTCATATTTATTTATCAGAAAAAAGTGCCGAATGTGGGATTTCCAAAACGTGCCTTTTTCATGAGAAAAAGGATATAACGAATTTTGCAGGCAGATGTGATTTTACTGCTCTGCCTAAAAAAGGGTCATCTTAAGAAATTGGTTCGCATATTTTTATGACACCTTCTTTACCTACGGTTTACATTACAACTCTATTGGATTTCTAGAAGACGTTGTTTTTTTAGTTGACAAGAAATTCTATTTCCTTATTACTGAAAATGTGTTTTTGAGTCTTAGACTAAGTTTTATGATTTTATTAGAAGAACATATTGCTTGGAAATCCCTAAGGCTATTTCTTAATTCTTCTTTTCATTCGTATTTTCAACATAAGAATGTTTTTTGAACACATTCTTACTTGAAGGTATATTTGTAAAAATACGATGCTAAGTTCAATTCAATCTCAGGGTTTTAATCAAAATATAATTAATATTATATTTTGCCGCGACATTTTAAACGCATCTCGATTAATCGAGAAATACTCGAGCGAGATAATAGTCGCTCGTCACATCAACATTCCGGAATTTAAAAACTCAATTTAAATAAGGAAAATAATTAAAAAAAGGATTAATCAATAACTGTAGGACTTATTATCTAATAATGAAGTTTATAACATTTGTTGCAATTGTTTTGATGACCTACATGATTTATAAAGAGTATCAAAGAAGCAATTGATCAAATTCAAATTCAAGCAGGTAATTTCCAAATTTCATAACCTCAAAAAAACCCAAGCTTTCAGAAAAAGGGGAAAAAGGCGCGATTCACTCATATACCGATACCGCTGTGCTGTGTGCTGTTGTATATGACACTTTAATCTTAACATTTTTATTTTTATTATATTTTTCTATTATTTGTTAATTTCAATCATATTTTATTGATTACGACCGATTTATAATTTAAGGGACTTCAAAGGACTTCTTCAACGTTTGGTAAGAAATAAAATTTTCCCTTAGAAAAAAGTGCGTCAAAAATTTTGACCATTTTGACAAACAAATTTAGGTTATAAAACGATTTTTCCAATAATAACTTAACACAAAAAAATAATTATCAATATCGCATATCTTAATCGAATATTATTAAAATTTCTTCCTGCAATTTTAGATTTGGAGAATTTCCTTCACGTCAATAACCAAAAAAATTTTGTATACAATTATTCAGTATGTCTGCTGAAATTAAAACCGAAATTCGAGAAGTTCCATCTCCAGAACCAATGGATGATGAAAATGATGCTTTACTCGATGAAATTTGCGCAAATATAATAAATGAAACTAAGAAAGAAAATATAGAAACAATTTTTGAGAAAAAGGAGATTGTCGATGAGTGTATAATTAAGACGAAAGAAATTGTGGTGAAAACTGGAGTTAATGAAGTGAGACATTGTTCAGAGGATAGTAAACGAAAATTTAATCAAGATAAAAAAGTGGATTACGAAAAAAATGCGAAAAATGTGAGAAAAGACGAAAGACCATGGTGTGACGATGAGGATGATGATGAGGATGAAGAATATGAATCTGTGCCTAAAAGGATACGCGAAAGCCACAATAATGGTTTAGAGGAAGAGCAAAAGAGACTTAGAAATAATAGTGCTTCAAGTAGTAGTACAACTTCCTCTGGTCCCAATATCAAAAAGCAAGTTGAATATGAAACTGATGCATCTCTGCTGGCTCGCAGACAAAAAGATATCGATTATGGAAAAAATACTATAGGCTACGACAGATACGTTCAACAGATTCCCAAGTAAGTAAAATTAATTCAAAAATAAATCAACATACAATAACAAGGAGAAGTAAGGGCTTTTTATTAAAAGTACTGGAAAAAAATAAATTTTTAGAATTCATAAGAAAATTCTAAATTTTTGTCTTTTTTGTTTTGTTCCATTTTTTCTATTTCTCACAATAATTTCTTTTTAAAATCTTCATTTTTTAAGAGCTATCATAAAATTATTACTTATAAATTATTTAATCAATAATTTTACTTAGGTATTATTTAAAATTAACTGCATTTTAAAGAGATTCCATTTACAATTTTCATAAATAGATCAAATTCAAAAGGTTTTAATTTTAAATTTTACAAAATTACAATTTTGATTGAATTTAATTAAAAATTTTAATGAACCTAGATTTTTCAAAAATTTTAATAATTCAAATTCTTCTGAAATTAGATCAATTTTTTAATATATATTTACATAATTAATTATTAAAAATAATAGATTTATAGAAGAATTTTAGTTAAAAATACTAAAACAAATTTAATTTTTGAAAACTTACAAATGATTGCAGAAATTCAATTATTTTCAAAAGTATTAAAATTCTGCGCAGACATTCAATTATGTTCAAAAATTTAAAAAAAATTTCAAGTATCTTTATAAATAATAAAATTCTTCTCCGAATTTCAATTGTTTTCAAGAATTTTAATAATATTCTTTGCAAAATTCAAAATTATTTACAAAAAATTTAATAAAATTCTACGCAAACATTTAATTATTTTTATAAATAATAACAATTTCCCAGGATTGCAATTATTTACAAATTTTTTATAAATTTCTTTCCAATAATTCAATTATTTTTATAAATAGTAAAACTGTTCTTAGGAATTTAATTATTTTTGATACAATTTTAATCGAATTCCTCGAAAAATGTAATTATTCTTAAACATTTTAATAAAATTCGTCAAAAGAATTCAATATTATTTAAAAATTTGTTGATAAAATTTTTTATGAGAATTCAATTTTAACAAACATTCAATTATTCAATAAATTATTTTTTTTTTAATTTAAATAATTGAATTTTCGTCGAATTTTGTTATAAAAATTGATTTAAAAATGAATTTCCGAATAATTGATTTATTATTTATGAAAATAATTGAATTATTTTGAGTAATTTTATTACTGACTTATAAAAATAATTGAATTCTTGCGAAGAACTTTATTAGCATTAATTCCTATGGAAAAATAATGATTAAATATTTATTTAAAAAAGAAGTTATTAATGTTTTCGAATAATTTTACAATTAAAGAAATTTGGGCCCTGACCGTTTTTTAGGGTCAGGGCAAGAAGGCTAGAGACAGGAGGTGAAACTTCGGTAGTGGGGATGAGTCAAGAGCCTTTCTTTAACCAGGCGTTTTCCGTTTCGAAAAGTCGCCGGCGCGGTGCTTCTGCACATCACTCACACATTCAAATTCTTGTATACCGTGTGTTTCACATGTGTATGATATGATTTTAATTTGAGGTTAACTTTAAAGTGCAATCGAGACCCAATGTGTGTCATAACGGATATATGTATATATATATATATAGAAATAATGTGAGTGACTATTAAATGAAGTGTTATTCAAATAGTTAAAAATTCCGAAAACGTGCTGTGTGAAAAGTTGTAACAAGAAGAAAGATAAACACAACAATATGACTATTACTTTTTGTTAACTTTTAATATACTTCATGCTACAGTTTACACATTTTTTTGGTTTTGAAACTTTTTTTTAATAACTAAAAGATGTTTAAAAATATAAATTTCTATATTTCATATTGTATTTGTATAGAATATATTTTCCCGTGTTTACGTGTTTAGATGCGCAGAAGTCCATGTGGTCTATTGCGGCGAAAACTTTTTTGAAAGTAAACGCCTGACCATACATCAGCTGAGTGACTCAGCATTGCCATACCCCCACTACCGAAGTTTTACCTCCTGTCTCTAGTCTTCTTGGGTCAGGGAAAAAGTCAAAAATTGTTCTGGAAATCAGGGAAAAACAAAATTAAATATTTGTGGCAACCCTGAATAAATTTCAAATTACAGGTAAAGTCTTTAGAAACTTTTTTTTAAATCTTTGATCATTTTTAATTAAACTTTTTAGAGATCAACGTCTTAAGGATCATCCAAGGACACCTCCAATGCATCTGAAATACACCAGAAGAGGCTGGGATGGAATGGTAAAATTGTGGCGAAAAAATCTTCACATTTGGGATCCACCGCAAGATGAATCTGAAGATAATGATAATGATGAAACAAGCGAGGAAAACGGTATTGCTTGTCAATGATATAGTTTCCTTTTTTTATTTTTATAAAGAATATAATTTTAAGTTCGTCTCGGCCAAATGTGTAAGATTTGTACTAAAATAGCTTTATGAAACTAAAAATAATTTTCTAAAGCGAGTATAATATACACTTTCATACATTTATGAAAACGAAAACTGTTTCTTTTTTCTAAAAAAATTAATTACCTTAATTTTTTTCATAATTTATTTGTTTCCAATATATAAATAAATCTTGTATAATTATACTTAAAACTCCTCTTAAATTCCAACTAAAAACTAATCGAAATATAATCTCACTTATGAATTGCAAATATTATGATGATTTTGTTTCTAAAATGTTGAGAATTTTATCTAATTTTTGATTAGTCTTTTGCTCCACTTGGTCTATTTTGTCCATCAATCGTTTTTCCATATCTACAAATTTTTTATCTATATAACTTTTAATATCATTTTCATTTGGTTTTGTGATAGAAATTGTTTCAATTTTCTGTTTATCTTTTTCTTTAGTAACGATTTTTTGCTTATGTGGTAAGAAGCCCATTCCTATAAATTTTGTTAAATATAAATCAATATCTTCATTTGATGAATTCGATTCACGTCCATTGAGTGACTGGAACACTTTATTTGCTATTTCAACACTTTTCGATTTAGATTTATTGAAATTTAGCAAAAAATCATTTATTATTTGAGGATTAAACATTTTTGTCTCCTCTTTCGATAATTGGTCTGTTAATGTCAGCCTTACACCATATAACCACATTAATGAAGTCTTATTCTTCACTTTTGTGAACTAAATTATAGAAAGAATTTTTAATACAAAATTATGATTGTATTATATTCATGATAATTATAGATATAGTTAAAAATTACCTGAATACTCGCTTCCGATGTGGGTGGATCAAAATTCATTTCTCCCAAATAAACGGAATTATTTTCAAATTCATCGACAAATTCGGCAAAAATTGTTGCTGCATATTCTCCAGATTGTTTGAAAAATTCTAAAACAGGCGCTTCCGATACTAAAGCGATGCTACTTATTTTCTGACCATTTGTTATTTTGATATCAAACAGACAAGGTTCGTCTAAATTTTTTCTATTGCAGAGTCCAAGACATGTGTCTAGTGAAACAATATCTTCCAAGTTTGGTCTATAACAAGAAGACAAGAAATACTTAGAGTTTTTATGTTAAAAGATTCACAAAAAAGTGAATCTTTGGCATTTTTACTACAAGAGAAATAACAAGAAATAAAATAATTTTAACTGCGTTAAGAATATTTACCGTTTCGCTATTTTTGAACGAGGAACAATGGAAATGGTGTCGGAAAATGTTTTTTCATTATTTATCTCCCAATTTGATGATATTTCACAAATTTCATTAAATTTTCTTCGTGTATTAATATCTAATGAATCACTGCTGTTATTACTGTCACGACGCTCACTTATTGCATCCATTATCACAGTTATTTCTCATAGAACGTGGTGAATTATTTATATTTCATAAAAGTTAATAAAAATGCCACTTTCTATGAATTTAGTCGCAAACATAATTTGAAAAAAAACATTAAAATAAATAATCTTGTCTGTCAAAATGTCAAAATGCCTGGAAGGTTAGGTACACCAACATGTGCTTTATTTAAGGCAGTTTACACGAGAACGTTCGGAATCCGTTTCCGATTGGTTGAGAGTAATATAACCAATTCTTAATTCCAATTTCCATTGGTTACCAAGTTTTTTAAAAATGGCATCCACGGCTGACATTTAAAAATAAACATTTAAATGATTTTAATATTTCGTTATTTCTCTCAATTATGTTTAAATAAACTCTTGTTTATTTAAAGTTTACGTACAAAAATGCTAAAACAAAAATTTATTTCAAATTTCAGTCGTTTATTACCGAATAATGAGAAAATATTGAGTCAGGTTTCGTTTAAGGGCGATGGGAAAATTATCGACCGAAGCGCTTCACTTGTCGTTGTCATCCGTGAGTTTGTGCGAGAACGTCGTGACATAACGTACTTTTATTCTACAAATAAAATGTCGAAATACCGAATTGTTATGGTTCGCCATGGCGAAAGTGAATGGAATCAATTGAACTTGTTCTGCGGATGGTACGATGCTGGTTTATCCGAAAAAGGTATTTATTTTATGTAATAATTGGGAACAATTGTCATTCCCTCTTTCAAGGTCAAAAGGTCGTTACAGTAAAATTTATTTTTCCAATTTTCATCTAGTTTTGAATAGAAACATCTATTTCACTATATTTGGAGAAATTTTTATAAAAATTTCTTTATAGTTATTCGATTCATAAAACAAGATATTTTTCAGGAAAGAGTGAAGCTGCTGCCGCAGGAAAAGCATTAAAAGATGCAGGATATAAATTCGATTGTGCTCATACTTCGGTGTTAACTCGAGCTCAAGTGACACTGCAATCAATTCTCAAGGAAATTGGTCAGGAGAGTATTCCAATTCATAAAACTTGGCGTTTAAATGAACGTCACTATGGTGGATTAACAGGAATGAATAAAGCAGAAACTGCTGCCAAGTACGGCGAAGAACAGGTGCAAATTTGGAGGAGATCCTTTGACACTCCACCACCACCAATGGAGCCGGATCACAAATACTATGACAATATTGTCAAAGATGCAAGATACGCCGATGGACCAAAACCCGAGGAATTTCCCAAATTCGAGTCACTTAAATTAACAATTGAGAGAACATTGCCCTACTGGAACGATACCATCATTCCACAACTCAAGGAAGGAAAGCAAATTATTATCGCTGCTCATGGAAACAGTCTACGGGGAATTGTCAAACATCTTGATCGTAAGTTTCCACTGTAACTTCAAATTACTAAATTGTATTTAATCTATCATTTCAATTTTCAGAGATGAGCAACGATCAAATTATGGGACTGAATCTTCCAACGGGTATTCCATTTGTTTACGAACTAGATGCGAATTTTAAACCTGTAGTTTCTATGAAATTCTTGGGTGACGAAGAGACTGTTAAAGCTGCGATCGCAGCGGTTGCTGCGCAGGGAAAAGCTAAATAATTTCTTTAAATTGTATTTGTGTAAAAAACTACCACTTATTGCGATTGATTCACCAGTTAGCAGAATGTACATTTTTTAATTTATATTTAATTTATAGGTTACAAAAGACAAAGAAATTGTATAAAAGAAAACTACTTTTCGTTTTCCACGTCAGCTTTCAAAATATTCGGAATTTATTTTCCTTAAAACTTTGAATTCTGTTGTACATAAAATCTAAACTTGTAAAATTGAAATATTACAAATTAAAACATGTTAAATGTGCATTGTAAAAAATGTCACTTATTAAAAAATGGAATGACAAATAAAAATTACTTTAAGGGAAATGAAATTTTAATTTATTTCTAATGCTAGCTGATATCAAAAAAACCATTTTTAAATTCTCGAAAAACTATTTAAAACAATTATAATATCTTTAAATAGATTCATGTCATTTTTGGAAGATTTAAATATATCTTATAGAGGCACGTGACCAAATCACGTGACTCAATGTTTTTGTATAAAGAAAAAAACGTAGTCTAAAAGGTGCATTGAGAATAAGTTGAAAGCACTGAAAGAAAAGGATGTGTGTTATTCGACACTTGTTAAAAATCACTGCAAACTAATTAGAAAATACTAAATTGTGTCTTAATAATAATTAACAAGTTTTTCAATTATCTCAACTTTCTACAAATGGCCATTGCATATAGATTGAAATTTGAGGTTATATAAAAAAAAGTAAACACAAAAATAATTATAAAGTGTCTGTTTTCTTTTGAACACTGACCTTATAATTAAAAATGGCTAGTGTGGATTTTAAAGTTGTTCTTCTTGGTGACAGAGCAGTTGGAAAAACATGTTTAATAAAACGTTTTGTAAATGATACCTTTAACGAAGACGTAGCATGTGCTGTAAGTATGTCTCATATACAATTTCAATTCTGAACTTTACTCTCCGCACTTATGAAAAAACGAAAATATTTCACAAAACACTCAAAAACAAAGAAATCACCTAAAAAAACTTGTTTGTAGACAATTGGCGTAGCTTTTGCAGCTAAACAAATTCAAGTTGGTGATCGAAAGATAACAATGGGTTTATGGGACACATCAGGCTGTGAGAGGTAAGTAAATAATTTACAATCTCTTATTATTTACAAGAATATAATTTATATTTAATATCGAATTTTCAGATTTGAATCAATGGTTAGAGGCTATTATCGAGGTGCAAAAGCAGCGATAATTTGTTACGATATTTGTAATTTAGAGTCATTTAAAAGGGCAAAATTTTGGATAAGAGAAGTGAGAGAGGTCGAAGAAAAATGTAAAGTTTATTTATGTGCAACAAAAGAAGACGTATTAACAAACAATGAAAATTCTGCTTCTCCCGATATAGAAATTGTCGAAAATTATGCACAAGGTATACAATCAAAATTTTTCATCACTTCAAGTAAAGCTGGAAGCAACATTGGTGAGTTAATTTATATAAAATTTAATAATTTCTTAATAAAATTAATTTAATTTATTTCTCTATTCACAAAATTATAGCCGAATTATTTGAGGAAATTGCAAAAGATTATGCCTCGAATCCAGATAATGTTCAAAAAGAAGAGGAAAAATTTATTACACTAACGGAAACGGCAATTTCTCAGAGGTTTTGTTATTGTTAATTACGGTGTGGCTACTCGTTTTATTTATTTAAAAACATTTTTTTCGTATTTTTCTATTCTAAAAATAGATTCTATTCATCGAGATTTGATATTTTGGATATTTATAAAATTAAGTTTATAAAAAAAACACTACATAAATTGTTGTCCTTGCAATCCTTGCAATGATTTTGAAATTCGAGTAGCCACTTTTAATTACTAGGTAAAGACGATCGCATTGAGAACTGATGACTCATATCTGACTGAAACGAGCTAAACTTATTCTTTATATTATGTATAAAAATAACGAAACTGTGAAAAATAGAAATATTCCGCCATATATTTGTCAAGTATATATCCACTTCACAGTATCTTTAGTTTATACACGAAGAAAGTATTTTTCAAACAGTATATTTTATTCAATAAATGGCTATGAATTTTATTCTTTTCGTTTATTACCCTCAATGTAGCAATTTTTTAATAAAAAATTTTAATCTTATACCTCCCGAAATAGGACGAATAATTTCGAAAGCACTATAACTAATCTAATAGAAAAAATTTATCAATTTTATTTCCTTCACTTATCCAGGCATTAATAAAAATCGAAGAAAAACTGATTGAATGTAGAAATAATTGTGAATGCAGTAGGTACATATTTACCATAAAAGTGCCGACGAATGATATTTGAAGATTCTTCGATTATTGTAAATAGGAAAAATCACAATCAGAATTTCCATAAAAAGTTGCGTTTTGGAACCTAGAGAAATTCAATATTAAGACAAATGTTATATTCACTGAAAAATTCATTTTATTAAAATTAGATAACAATTGTAGATAAAAAAATGTGATCAGCAATTCCACTTACATAAAAAATTTAATTTTTTGGATTCCAAATAAATTCTTTCTATCTTTTGTACAAAAATGCAAATTCCATTCACTAGGACAAGAAAATCAGTTAACTGTCACTGATTGTTCTCTTTTTTCTATTATGTATAATTTTCATTGAGAAGATGTTGTATATGGAAATATTGTCTGACAACTTTGTTTAGCTTGTTCGTATATTCCAAAAAATAAAATAGCTCCAACCGTATAACCACAAACTCTTGGATAGAAACCCGCAAACAATCTGAAAATAAAAATTTTAAATTAGAAAAAAATTTTCCTTTTTTAACATAATAAAATGTAATTGAAAATAACCACAATTTGTAAAATTGAGCCTCCCAATTCAAGAACTCGCCCGACGCTCGGATGAACACTCTAAAGGCGCTCTCACAGCTAGTAGGCAGCATACAAATTTGAATTTACTATCTCTTTCACTCTAATTGATTTTCTCTCTTACTCCAATTACTGCCTGCGCAGGCAGGCAGAGCTGTGAGAGCTCCATAACGCCAGTCAAACGTTAAGAAAAGTCACAAAAATTAAAATTTGAAATTTTGATTTTTTAGAAGCACTACCTTGTAGGAAATTGAATAGCGCATCTTTTTTCCTATGAATTTTTTTCGTAGGATGAATATTGTCGGAAATAATGACGAAAAATGGTAAAATTTTGTTTTTCAAATTTCATTGCTTTTTAAAACATAAATCATCGTATCTTCGACAATTATTGTCGAATTGACTTCAAATTTGGTATGCAAGTCTATTTGGGTTCTGGGAAGACGATAAAATGATCAGAATGTAAAAATTTCCTAATTGTTCACTAATTTGTTAATGTAAATAAAGGCTTGTCAATTTTAGGTTAACTTACCTTCGTCGACAAAAAGTCTGCGGTGAACTTTCGAATTGAAAAAACTTCCAGTGAGACATTTGTTTATTAGTATATAAGGAAGTTTTTTGGAAAATATTAGATTGATTTAGTAAAAAATGTGGAAAATATTAAGGTTTAAAGACAGCGTGGAGAGCGCGACATCGAGTCGCGGCGTGCAAATATCACTAAACACCAACTTTATAGGACGTCAGTTGTTGAATTTGTTCTTATTACCTCGGTTATTACTCAGTACTTTAAAAAAAGCATTAAATAAATTATTGGGATATAATTATAACGCTATGTTTAACATTATAACAAACATAAAAATTCTATAAATAATAAAGAACTAGCAACAATTCGCGCGGCTAACTTTTTACTACATTTTATAAATAAAATTAGCAATTTTAAAAATAATAGAATTTGAAAACTTTCTAATTTAAATTTTTGTTGAAAACACTGAAAAAATTCAATTTTGGAGAAATTACAAATAATTGCAGAAATTCAACTATTTTCAAAAAAAAAAAAAAATAATAAAATTCTTCTTATAAAATTCAACTATGTACAAAATTTGAAAAAAAATTTTGTAAAAATCCCGATTATCTTTATAAATAACATTTAGGAAAATAATTAAACTTTGGAAAAGAATTTTGTTATTTATAAAGATAATCGGGATTTTTACAAAATTTTTTTTCAAATTTTGTACATAGTTGAATTTTATAAGAAGAATTTTATTATTTTTTTTTTTTTTGAAAATAGTTGAATTTCTGCAATTATTTGTAATTTCTCCAAAATTGAATTTTTTTAGTGTTTTCAACAAAAATTTAAATTAGAAAGTTTTCAAATTCTATTATTTTTAAAATTGCTAATTTTATTTATAAAATGTAGTAAAAAGTTAGCCGCGCGAATTGTTGCTAGTTCTTTATTATTTATAGAATTTTTATGTTTGTTATAATGTTAAACATAGCGTTATAATTATATCCCAATAATTTATTTAATGCTTTTTTTAAAGTACTGAGTAATAACCGAGGTAATAAGAACAAATTCAACAACTGACGTCCTATAAAGTTGGTGTTTAGTGATATTTGCACGCCGCGACTCGATGTCGCGCTCTCCGCGCTGTCTTTAAACCTTAATATTTTCCACATTTTTTACTAAATCAATCTAATATTTTCCAAAAAACTTCCTTATATACTAATAAACAAATGTCTCACTGGAAGTTTTTTCAATTCGAAAGTTCACCGCAGACTTTTTGTCGACGAAGGTAAGTTAACCTAAAATTGACAAGCCTTTATTTACATTAACAAATTAGTGAACAATTAGGAAATTTTTACATTCTGATCATTTTATCGTCTTCCCAGAACCCAAATAGACTTGCATACCAAATTTGAAGTCAATTCGACAATAATTGTCGAAGATACGATGATTTATGTTTTAAAAAGCAATGAAATTTGAAAAACAAAATTTTACCATTTTTCGTCATTATTTCCGACAATATTCATCCTACGAAAAAAGTTCAAAGGAAAAAAAGATGCGATATTCAATTTCCTACAAGGTAGTGCTTCTAAAAAATCAAAATTTCAAATTTTAATTTTTGTGACTTTTCTTAACGTTTGACTGGCGTTAGAGTGTTCATCCGAGCGTCGGGCGAGTTCTTGAATTGGGAGGCTCAATTACCCTCTAACTCCATTTTCACGATAAATTTCTCGAAACATTGCTGTAATTTTCACTTCCGCTTTATCGGCATTTGTGCTTGCTAACATAATTCTTGTTTTTGCGACATCTAATGGTGTTGTGACAGTCGCGGAAATAGCCACTGAAAATTAAAAAGATGTTTAAAATATTTCACCTAAGGTACAATAAGATTATATTTTATTAACTAAACAAAATCTATATTAATTTTTTTCAAAATTCTCTTGTCGAAGAATTTTATTAAAATATTTGCAAATAATTAAATTCTTTCGAGGGATTCAATTAAAAATTGTACTGAAATTATTGAATTCTACTAAAAAAATTTATTATTTATGAAAATAATTAAATTATTTTAAAGAATTTCTTTGAATGTTTTGATAATAATCAAATTTTTTAAATAATTTCAATTAAAAAATTTGAAAGTAATAGAATTTCTTTTAAATTTTTAAAATAATTGTATTTGTTAATAATAATTGTAGGTAATTGAAAATTTTAAGTAAATAACTCAATTGAGGCCTTGGATCCAATAACTCGCCCGACGCTAGGAGGAACGCGCAACTGCCACACTGTAAAAAGTCTTAAGGAAATTTTCCTAAAGTTGGTAATTTTATTTTACAAAATCCTTGGCAAAAAAACTTCATTTAATGCGTCAAAAATACAGAATTTAAAATGAAAAATACGAAATCTTGTAATTTTGCCATATTAAATGTGTCGATTATCAAATCTCCGGCGAATTTAATACTTTTACTGTAGGTAATAATATTGCCCACTATAGATGTAGCGAAATGACAAGTGACGGTGAAAATACAGCAGATGGGAAAATTCCTAAATCCGAACGTTAACCTTACTAGTTTCTACATGTCATTTATCCAAAATATGGAACTTTTTTTTCCTGGAGAAAAAGGAATATTGCCGTTTTTAATATGTCACAATTACAAGTTTATGTAAAAGTGACATATTAAAACTAGGTAATAAACATTCCTATTATCAGTCTAGTAAAATTCCCTTAAGACTTTTTACAGTGCAGTCAGTTAGCAGTGAGCGCCTCTGGGCCACTCACTGCTACCCGACTGGTATTAGCGCGTGCCTTCGAGCGTCGGGCGAGTTATTAGATCCAAGGCCTCAATTCTTCTCAGAATTTCATTACAATTTTTTAAAACAATTGAATTCAAGGAATTTTATTAAAATATTGAAAATAATTGAATTCTTTTGAGGAATTCAGTTAAAATTGTATCGAAGATAATTCACTTCCTGTTAAGAATTTTATTATTTATGAAAAAAATTTACTTTTTTGTCTTTGCAAAAAATTTTATCATTTATAAAAAAAATTGAATTTCTGCGAAGAATGTTATTATTTATAAAAAGATAATTGAATTCTGGCGAAGAATTTCATTAAAATTGTTTTAATCAATTCTAAAACTTTAATATTTTTCTAGTACTTTTGATAAAATTCCTTGGTTTTTCTGTGATTCCCTTAACCAATTTTATTTTCCTCACCTGGGACAACCCTGTACAATTATCAATTGTAATTACTCCTTTTAATTTTAAATTAGAGTTTCTTAATATAATTATTATTTTCTTGTTTTTTCTTGAGGAAAAGGAAAGTTTTGTGCTATAATTACCAGATGCTGCTCCACAAATAGCACCTTCCAAAGGAGTGCATTCTCGCTTCATATATCGCTTATAGCGAAGCTTAAAATACTCCCATAAGGGCATTTGAGTAAAACCAAATGGCATATCACGAAGAACCGTTGTGCCATATCCTCGATAAAGTGTTTTCAAACCTAACGAACTTATCTTATCTTTCAATAAAGCTTGTCTTCTTTGCTTAATTACTTCGACAGGTACTCTAATTAAACAAGCAGCCTGCAATTTTGTTTTAAATTAATTAAATTTTATTAAAAAAATTAACCCATCACTCAAGTCATTTAACCCTAGAAGGAGTACGTTAATTTACTCACCCTCTAAGGAGTAACTGGGGTGTCCCGACACCCCACGCTTTAAACTTGTTTTATAAGGTTTCTATTTGACGTAAAAAAATAATTATAATGAATTGATTGGTTTTTTGGTAAGGAAGACAATAATATTATTCATATTTTGATAAATTAAAAAAATTTTGAAAAAAAACCATAAAAACCCAAAAAAAACACCAAAAAATTGCAAAATTGACTTTTTTCACAAAAAACGTAAAAAACGTAAAAAAATAATTATAATGAATTGATTGGTTTTTTAGTAAGGAAGACAATAATATTATTCATATTTTGATAAATTAAAAAAATTTTGAAAAAAAACCATAAAAACCCAAAAAAACACCAAAAAATTGCAAAATTGACTTTTTTCACAAAAAACGTAAAAAACGTAAAAAAATAATTATAATGAATTGATTAGTTTTTTAGTAAGGAAGACAATAATATTATTCATATTTTGATAAATTAAAATAATTTTGAAAAAAAACCATAAAAACCCAAAAAAAACAGCAAAAAATTGCAAAATTGACTTTTTTCACAAAAAACGTTGTAGTTTCTTAAAAATTTGACTAATTTAAAAACTATTTTAGGTTTTTAAAGTTAAATAGATACACTTTTTAGGGGAAAAAATCAGTTTTTGTATTACTTCCAAAAAACATAATTATTTGAACATCTGAAGTGAAAGAAATTAAAGACAATTGACGAATAGTGAAAATCATAAAAATGAACTGTAAAATGGACTTAAACAATTAATATTTACTAAAAATGGTGTTATAAATTTAAAATTTTACAAATTTAATATATCTGAATATATTAACATTAAAATTAATAACTTATGAAATGATTCTGTAAATTAATATTTAATCAAAGTTTTAATTAACAATTCATAATACCTCTAATATATGTTAAAATATTAGTAACAATATAGAATTTATAAATTAAATTTGACTGTCATATACTACATTTTTCTGTATTAGAATTTAATTTCTGACTGTAGAGAGAGCACAGAAATTTTTAATAAATCTTAACTCAAATTTCATAAGTTGTTACAAATACAGAATATCTATTTTTCATAAAAATAGAATTTTTGTATGAAAATGTTTCTTTTTTATAAAATAAAACTTTTTCATGCATAACCTATCAATTTATACTTTATAAAATGATGATTTTAACTGATTAAAAACGATTTTTTTTTAAAATTTGAATTTACTTATCTTGACAATTTTTCTAACCTTAGGGAGTAACTGGGGTGTCCAGACACCCCAGGCGTATTTGAACAGGAGATAGAGCTCTTCCTAGAGCAAAACTTTTGGCGGCACATACAAGTGTCAAAAGATAGAGGTTCAAACTAAATTATCAACGGGTTTTGAGCGTAAAAAAATTATTGGTTAAGCCATGGGAATACTTTGAATTTTGCTTGGGGTGTCTAGGCACCCCGGTTACTCCTTCTAGGGTTAAATATATTATTTTTCTATTACTTTTCAAGTTTCACTTAATTTAGAAATCTAAATTAGATCTTTTTAATTTTTAGAATTAAAAAGAAAGCTAAAATTAAATACAATTAAAAGAAATCTTTTTACCATTTCACCAGTGGCCGCAGCTCCCATATGCACCATCCAGTGATATTTATAGGGAACATTTGGTTGTAAAAATTCCTTTATACCTTCATAAGTTATAAAAAAAATTGAAGCTGAAAGCAAAATTTTTAATTACTTCTCCGTGTAAATTTTCTTCAATCGAAATTGATTTATTTTTAATAACCTTACCTGATGGTGCAGATCCTACCATAACAGGTATAATTCCCTGATAAAGGCGTGTAAATCCTCCTGATTTCATAAAGCCATGTTGACTTTGCAATCTTGTTTTCAAAGTATCTATTGGAAAAAATACTAAGTCGCATATTGTTCCCGCAAATGCCCCAGACTGATATTCGAGAAATAAAAAATTATTATTGCCTTATCTTGTTCTCCATATATACACGTGTGTGTAAATTAAAAAAAACCTTCAGCATTATCAGAGAGAAAATTAAACAAGACATATGGCGAACTTTCCTTTCAAATATAATTTTTTTAAATATGACAATTACCTTTTTAGTTAAAAATAATTTTTTACCTCAAAAACTGCACAATATTTTATTTCTTTATCGTTATTATTTAGATAAGCAAATAAATTATAATTATTATTCTCTGTGATAAAATGGAATAAATATTCAATAATGCTGAAGGCTATGATCTAACCTATAAAGTTGTAACAAAACTTTTTTGCAATACTCACAATCATAGAAGATAGAAAAATATTTCTCGCATGATATTCATTTAAAGATTTTGTATCGTCGTGAAGCATTGTTTATTTTATAATTTATAAACTTTTAGTACATAAAGTGCTAAACTCAGACAATTTCAAAATTGTAAACTCAAAACACCGAAATCATTGACACAAAAGAAAATTAATGTCACATTATAGTTAGAATGACTAATAACTTTTTAGACGGTATATAATTATTAATAGTCCGTTGTTCACTTTATAATGAGGAAAATAATTAATTGTTAAATGCAAGAAAACTTGAGGAAAAATATGTAACTCACGTGCTCATTGTGTAATTGATTTAAAAGGTATTTCTGCTACTACCCGGTTGACGTGTCGTCTGCTTTTGTGTTCTGCTAGAAACGCGGATACGCGATACGCCATTTTTGTCATCTGATCATTATCAACAAAAACATCGTCAAGGAAAAACACATTCTGTCATGCGTATTTCGGGAAATATGTTTATCCCCTCTTTATGAATTTTCCGAGCATGAAAAGCGTAGAGTCGTAAAATTAACTATAAACTTTTATTAAAAAAAGAAACTCAGTGACAACCAGTGACAACCACTCATGTCATAACCATCCCAGATTTCTGTCAATTTTGAATCGTTTTGAGCCACATCATGAAAGAGTACTGGTTCAAGCAATATTGTAAATACTTTTCATCACCAACCGCAAAAGTGACAACATCGAAAAATGATATCATTGCTCTAAAAGTCGGTGTAATTCTTATATAACCTCAAAATTGTGTTTAGCATTATTGTCGGATATTATTTATAAACAATGGCACCGAATATTTTAAAAAGTAGCTTGCAAAATGCATCGTTTAGTATTATTTTTCAGGTATGTATATCTATTTTATTTTATTTGTTTTTTTAAAAATTATTTTAAAATAATATAAGACACTTTTTTAGATTCTATGTCGAGGCGTTACATTCCTGTTAAACGCTTTTACAGTACGACATGTAGGTCAGGATGTATTGGGTGTTATGAACGTCCGATTATTATTATTGGAATCAATGATTCTTTCTTTATGTAAAGAACCATTTTTTAAAGCATGTTTGACAAATACTGCGGAGCATAATTGGGCTCAAGTTGTAAATATTCTCTGGCTAACGTAAGTTTTCCAACATTTATAATTTTACAATTATGTGCCAATATGTAAAACCAATCAATATCGATAAGGAAATAACAAAAAAAATAAATTCAAAACGAGGAGAAATTAATTAATATAACAATTATGTACATGAAAAATGACTATTTTGAAGGGTACCAATTTCTGGGATGGCTTCCGCAATTCTTGGCTATATTTGGCTTTCACTTTTATCAACTGTTGAAGAATTGCCACCGTATTACACGTTTGCTGTCTGGGCTGTTGCATTATCCTGTATTATTGAATTATCCTCTTTAGTAGTTCAATTAGTTTCCAGCGCATTTTTATTCGTTAGATTGAAGGTACTTTTTCCAAATTTATGAATTAATATACTTAATTAAAACTCTTTCTTTTGGATAAATGTCCTCTTGTTTTTTTAAGATTGTTCTGGACTCTATTATGATTGCTCTTCGGACATTGACGTTCGTTTGCTTTATAATCTACAATCCAGAAAATGCTTTGCTTGCATTTGGAGTGGCACAATTATTAGCAGCAATATTTTACACCGCGAGTCATTACATTTATTTCCATTATTATATTAAAACATTGAAAAAAGATAAAAGTAAATTGAAGAGACGAATGTCCTTGAATGAAAACGAGGAATATATACTGTCGGATTTTCCATTTAAAACGATAAAGGACTTTTTGCCAGGACAACTTAGAAACAACGTAAGTATTGTAAATTAAACTTCTACTTAAATTTTCTTCATTTCCAACATTTTTTTTTATTTATTTTATTTTTTAAAATATTTTTCTATTACTAGCTAAATTTACCTATTTTCCTATTATGTTTATTCAGGGTTGCCACAAAAATTTAATTTTCTTTTTCTCTGACATTTCCCTGATTTCCCGAAAAAATTTTGACTTTTTCATTGACCCTAAGGAATATTCTGATTCACTCTAAAAATTATTAGATACTCAAAAAAACATACTATTATATTTACTTACGAATTTCTTTAATTGTAAAATTATTATTCAAAAACATCAACAGTTTTATTTAAAATAAATAATTAATCTTCATTATTTTTCCATAGGAATTAAGATTTTCAAAAATTTCAAATTCCAACCTTTTTGAAATTCAACAAGTTATAATAATTAAAGCTGTAGCAATTGCCTCTACGCGCTGTCGAAAAGGACTATACCAGTCTGTGAGCAGTGAGCGCCTCTGGGCCTCTCACTGCTACCTGACTGGTATTATCCCTTGCGACAGCGCGTAGGGGCAGTTGCTACATCCGCCCCTCAACTTTTAAAAAAAAATATAATTTACTTCAAGGAATATAAATTTTATTAAGAGCCAAGTAATATTTAAAATGTCCCGAGCACTTAATACTCTAAACGAAGCAACTATTACTATTTCGTAAAGATTTTTACTCAAAAAAGTAGTAATCCATAAGCTTCACTCTTTTATCATATATTCATACTTACATTTTTTACCTTTTTAGTAAATTATTGTAATTATTTTCAGGAATCTTCTTTGTTTGGCAAGTTGGGCGCATTGACGAGAAGCTTTTTCGGACAGGGTAGTTTAAAATTAATATTAACCGAGGGTGAAAGACTGATTATGACAATCATGCCTGTATTAACATTCAAAGAACAAGGAGCGTACGAATTAGTTAATAATTTAGGTTCCTTAGCAGCTAGGTTCATTTTCCGTCCAATAGAAGACAGTGGATATTTCTATTTTACTCAAATGGTACAACGAGATAAAACTTTAAACGAACAGAATCCTGTAAGTAATTAAATACAATTTAATATTTCTTTCTTATCACATCTACTATACTATTGTTTTTTTAATATTATCGTTACTGTTAGTATTATTCGTATTTATTATTATCACTATAGTTATTTATTTATTTAAGTACTAGCAAAATCCTACGCGCGCGATGCGCGCGTGAATGATTTAAAGAACTATCACGGTAGCAATTTACCTGCCTGTCTTACCACAGAAAAAGTACATACGGGAAAATTAGACGGAGAGCTAGCTACATAAAAATGCATGTTATAAGGTACATGAAAAATTAATATTTAGATAGGTTCCATTTGAGTCCCTAAGTACCGAATGCGAAGTCTGCCTGCGCGTTCTGGAAGATTAAGCCCGCGAATTGACGGTCGAAAATGATAAATTTGATAAGGAAAACATGTGATAAAGGTCATGGATAAAAGTTATAAAATTTAAAAGTATTTATCACCAGTAAGCTTATAAAATTTTGGCAGACAATTTTTTGGACGACAAAGTATTGGCAGACAGTGTCAAAGTTGCGTAATCCGTAGTGAAAAAAAGATCATAAGAGTCATGGCTAAAAATTAATGGAAATAGTTAATGAACTCTTATGGAAGCTATATGTCAAGTGGCAGACAAAAATTCGGATGATAACATCGAGGCAGACAACGATAAAAAGCGCGGTTCCCATGCGATTTCGCTGATTTCGCGCTATTTGCACTAAATAGTTAATTTTTGAAAAATGTGAAATTTTTTTGGGCTACATTAATTTTTAAACATAATTTAATGATTTTATAAACTTTTGAATGAATATAATTTATTTTAAATTAAATTTTTTATAAAAATAAAAAAAATAAAAATTGAAAATGTGATTTTTGTATAGAATTATTAATTTTTTTAATAAATAGATAATAGATTGAAACTTCTGAGAAAAATGTATCCTAATTTAAAAAAAGAAAGAGCAAAATCGGTCAGTTGGTTTAAAAGTTAGAGCAACTTTTCAGAATTTGAAAAGTTGGTATCAATTCTGGCGTGAGCGATTGCTGCCGCGTGTCGCTGGATTCCCCCACTCTGCCCACCTAAGGAAGGTAAAATCTCGCACTCACTTTTACCTCTATTTTAAACAACTAAATAGTGCAGTATGGATTCCATAATTTTTTTGGTAATAGTGTTGTTAAGAATCTTTATATTTGTATAAAAAAAATTGTAAAATGTTAATAAATAAAATGTCACGATTAGAAATATTTAAAAAAAATTATTTCCCCCCCCTTGGAGTTAGGTGCAATTTTTTTCTTTTAAAATTTCAAAAAAATATGTTTAATTAAATTACTTTTTTTCCCGATATTATGAAACAAAAATTGGCTGAGATACGCTTAATTGTTTATAGTGGGAAATATTACCTCTTTTCTGCAACTATTTTTATGCAAATAAACAAGAAAAATCATTTAGTGTGTATATGTAAAGGATAGATCTCATCTTCGCAAGTGAAACGATATTTTGAAAAATGTGATTTTTTGAGTTTCCTTCATTTTTCATACATAAAAAGAAACATTGTTTTTAGTAAACAAATGGATTTATTTAAAAACTATTTATCCCATTGGGCTCAAATTTGATACACTCTTTAAAGGTATCAAGGGCAATACTTTCTGTCAGTTTAAAAGTCATCTCATTAAAATTAAACAAATTATTAAACAATTAAGAAATTGCAATTTTTATCTGTTTAAATTAATTTTCTCATGAACAAATAATTGAAAATTTTTTGCGACCTATCATTTTATATGTCTTTTTAAGCTCTATCTCATTAAAATTAAACAAATTATTAAACAATTAAGAAATACAGTTAATAGTGATTTTGAGAATATAAGGAGTGTCATATGTGATTTATTAATTTCACTCTACAATAGTGTTTTGTATTCGGTAAATTTATACATACAATGTTAACTTTTTGAAGTAAATTTACTAAATTAATTTACTTAATTATTAAATACTAATTTTTATTTCGCCAAATAATATTTACCTCAATGTTTATAATAAATTTTCTACGAAAGACTGTAATAATAATATAATTATGCACACTTAACCTTAAATTATAAGTTTTATATTATACTTTCCTGATAATATGAACTTATCAATTAATAGCATAAATTTTTTAATTGTATAAAATAGAATCTTATGCTTCATTATTTACATCTGATTCAATTTCCTCCACATCTTCTTCACTGTCGCACTCGATATCATCCTCAGATTCGATTTCATTTATGTCAGCTGAAAAATGAAAACAATTAATAACTCATACTTTTAATAAATAAAATTGTCAGTGTATGTATAAAGATTTGTACCTTCAGACTCTTCTTGATTGGATTGATTAATTTAAACAGATAAAAATTGCAATTTCTTAATTGTTTAATAATTTGTTTAATTTTAATGAGATGACTTTTAAACTGACAGAAAGTATTGCCCTTGATACCTTTAAAGAGTGTATCAAATTTGAGCCCAATGGGATAAATAGTTTTTAAATAAATCCATTTGTTTACTAAAAACAATGTTTCTTTTATGTATGAAAAATGAAGGAAACTCAAAAAATCACATTTTTCAAAATATCGTTTCACTTGCGAAGATGAGATCTATCCTTTACATATACACACTAAATGATTTTTCTTGTTTATTTGCATAAAAATAGTTGCAGAAAAGAGGTAATATTTCCCACTATAAACAATTAAGCGTATCTCAGCCAATTTTTGTTTCATAATATCGGGAAAAAAAGTAATTTAATTAAACATATTTTTTTGAAATTTTAAAAGAAAAAAATTGCACCTAACTCCAAGGGGGGGGAAATAATTTTTTTTAAATATTTCTAATCGTGACATTTTATTTATTAACATTTTACAATTTTTTTTATACAAATATAAAGATTCTTAACAACACTATTACCAAAAAAATTATGGAATCCATACTGCACTATTTAGTTGTTTAAAATAGAGGTAAAAGTGAGTGCGAGATTTTACCTTCCTTAGGTGGGCAGAGTGGGGGAATCCAGCGACACGCGGCAGCAATCGCTCACGCCAGAATTGATACCAACTTTTCAAATTCTGAAAAGTTGCTCTAACTTTTAAACCAACTGACCGATTTTGCTCTTTCTTTTTTTAAATTAGGATACATTTTTCTCAGAAGTTTCAATCTATTATCTATTTATTAAAAAAATTAATAATTCTATACAAAAATCACATTTTCAATTTTTATTTTTTTTATTTTTATAAAAAATTTAATTTAAAATAAATTATATTCATTCAAAAGTTTATAAAATCATTAAATTATGTTTAAAAATTAATGTAGCCCAAAAAAATTTCACATTTTTCAAAAATTAACTATTTAGTGCAAATAGCGCGAAATCAGCGAAATCGCATGGGAACCGCGCTTTTTATCGTTGTCTGCCTCGATGTTATCATCCGAATTTTTGTCTGCCACTTGACATATAGCTTCCATAAGAGTTCATTAACTATTTCCATTAATTTTTAGCCATGACTCTTATGATCTTTTTTTCACTACGGATTACGCAACTTTGACACTGTCTGCCAATACTTTGTCGTCCAAAAAATTGTCTGCCAAAATTTTATAAGCTTACTGGTGATAAATACTTTTAAATTTTATAACTTTTATCCATGACCTTTATCACATGTTTTCCTTATCAAATTTATCATTTTCGACCGTCAATTCGCGGGCTTAATCTTCCAGAACGCGCAGGCAGACTTCGCATTCGGTACTCAGGGACTCAAATGGAACCTATCTAAATATTAATTTTTCATGTACCTTATAACATGCATTTTTATGTAGCCAGCTCTTAGACTAAATGTTCATGATTAACCTTTAAAGTGCTAAGTGTTGAAAAATCACGCTCAGTGCTAACCCCGGTCTGTCAGACCGCTATTCTCTTCTGACAGTTTTTTAGTCATTTATCATTTTTAAAAGACAACTATTATAAATATTTTTTACTTTTTAACAAAAAAAGTCATTTCTGTATTATGCATTTATTTATTTTATAAATGCAGTCTATGAGAACTGTCAGTAGAACTATCTGCGCGTCAAGTTGCGCAGACGTCACTCATGGGAATATACTGTAATATACTTTCACTTAAAGCTAACCCCGGTCTCACAGACCGCTATACTTCAAATATTTATTTATATTACAAAATTTAACGAATAAAAATTTTTGAAAAAGTTGTCTCCTAACAGATTTTCATAAAATATGAAGCTACTAAAAAGTTCAAGTTCTTATTATACTTTGAAAAAAAGTTTCAAGCAAAGAAAATTTTAATAGCGGTCTGTCAGACCGGCATAGCACTTTAAAGGTTAATAAAATAAAGAATATATTTCAGAACTATGGATACGGAAAAATTTTTTAAAATCCTACAAAACAGTAGGTTGAAAATGTACGGAAAAAATTTTTCAGGGAAAGTTCTCGAACTGTACCTGAACACCTGAACAGTGAGAAAAGAACATGAGAAAAAGTTGAGGTCTAATCCTGCATTACACTAAAGAAATTCTTGAACTTTTCAGGAATCTACTGTGTAGAGCAGGAGAAATTCTCGAAGTTCACGGCAGATTTTTGAAAAATTCAGGGACATCTTTAGGTACAGTTCGGGAACTTTGACTGAAAAAATTTTTTCCGTGTTTTCGATAAAAATTATAATGAATTTAATGAAACTTTCTGAACTTTAGATAGAATAATTGTTGAACTACTCAACAATCGCAAAATTTTAAATTGTCTCTCAGTTTTCTCTTTTTTACTAATTAATATTGGTATATATTGTAATTTTTTGTAACTTCTCTAAAAAATTTTCCGTATTCACCATTTCAGAATAAATTCTCGATTTTTGTGAGACAACATTTTTTTGTGTTCCTTTTACAAATTGAAACATATCGATTATAATATCGATATGGGGTCATTCCCACCATTCCAGTGAAAACCGTCTAGAGCTGGTTGCTCGATGATTTTAAAAAATGATGTGATTAATATATAATATTCTTCAATAAAATTGGATTATATTTTAGTGGTTTATAGCCCCAAATATATTTTACATTCTTTTAAATATTTTTTTTAAATGTCTAACTGGTTATGCAGTCTAACATAACCCATTTTGCGAAAACTCAGTATAAATCATTAAAAATAGATTATAAATGCTGATTTTTATTTTAAATAAATATATTTTTGCTAAATTCATTTAAATAAATGAAAATTATTTGAAAATAACTCACCAGAACAGATAAATCAGAATTTTTTTGTACTTGCACAGTATTTTATTTAAATTTTTTGAAAATAATCAGGGGAACTTAGTCACCATAATTATAATTTTATTTTTTTAAATTTCTTCACAATATATTCAATTATTTTCATAAATAGTAAAACTCATTGCAGAATTTCAATTATTTTTAAGACAATTTTAATCAAATTCCTGGAAAAATGTAATTATTCTTAAAAATTTTATTAAAATTCGTCGAAAGAATTCAATTATTTCTAGAAACAGTAAAAAAATTTTCTCAAGAATTTAATTATTTCTGTAAGTTGCAAAATTCTTTAGATTTACAACTAAATTCTTTTGAATACTATTTTTAAAAAGAATCCTTTACTAGAATTCAGCTATTTTCATAAATTTTTATAAAATTCTAAAAAACAACTTAATTATTTTCAAATGTAATAAATTTCTTCACAGAAATTCAATTATATTTAAAAATTTGTTTAAATTCTTATCAAAATTGTAATTATTTTTATAAATAATTAAATTGTTCTGTACAATTCATTTTTTCAGAAATTTTAATAAAATTCTACACAAACATTCAATTACTTTCATAAATAATAACATTCTTTGGAAGTATTCAATTACTTTCATAAATAGTAAAATTCTTTGCAGAAATTCAATTATTATCAATAACATTTTAATAAAATTAAATAATCAAATTTTCAATTAAAGTTATTAAAAAAACATTATTTTCAAAAAATTTTAAGAAACTCGCCAAAAGAATTATTTAAACCGGGAACAAAAAAATTATTATTACAAATTTTTAATTCCTTAAATTGTCAATATTTAGGGACGTATGACTCTCCCCAAATTTAACTCTATATAATTGTTATTTCATGGAATTTTAAACTTTATAATTATTATTTACTCAAAAGAATTTAATGCAAACATTATTGCTTAGTTTTTATTTTATGTCACTGAATACGTAATTCGTAGAATATTCTATGAATTAATGAAAATCTATTGTTGATTATATGCAATAGAGATTATAAAAAATTATATCTTCCATTAAATTAAAATTATGTAAAATATTATTTCGCGTATTTAAATTTATGTTATTTGAAAAATATCCTATAAAACCATCATTATTTCAAATAAATAAAAATAATTCATAAAAATTATGAGAAATAAATATAATATTTTTAACGATTGTATTTAAAAATTAAAATATTAAGAATTGTAATAATGTTGTCATTAAATTATAGCCACTCACCTTAAGAGTAATTGGTGTTTATAAATTTTAAAATTCTAAATAACAATTATAATTGTATAAAGTAGAATTTGGGGGAAGTCATGCGTCCCTAATTTTTAACCACAAAAATAGAAACAACACTTTAAAACATATCTGTCATCAAAACATTAATTATATAGAAAAACAAAAGACGACACTTTTTGTTCACGGAATAGCAAATTATTATTATTATATGTATTATTGAACATTTACCATAAAAACTGATCTAAAAGTAGAATTTTCTTTTTTTCAGACAAAAGTACAAGAAAGCGTGAATGTGTTAATGAATCTCTGCTCGGCAGTTACTTCAATTGGTTTAATTGTTTTAGTTTTTGGACAATCATACTCATCATTATTATTATGGTTATACGGTGGTTCAAAATTAATTGACGATCCATTACCGGTATTCTTATTGAAAACACATTGTTTAGCTGTTTTATTATTGGGCGTAAATGGAGTCACTGAATGTTATACAAACGCAACTGCTGACAGTAAAACAATCAATAAGAATAATATTGTAATGATTTGTGAGTCTGTTGTTTTTCTCGTTGCATCGTATATATTTGTTTTATTATTTGGACCAGTAGGATTTATATTTGGTAATTGTGTTAATATGGGACTAAGAATTATTCATTCAGTTTTATTTATCAACAAAAGACATCGAGATACTAATCATCATCCACTTCGTGGTCTCATTTTAAAACCAGTTTTTAGTGGCTCTGTATTATTTGCAGCTTTAATAACCAACATTTCACAAGTGAGTAAAATCGGTATAAATTAATATTCAATTATAATTAATAATTATTAATATTAAATTAAACTGAATTTTTCTTTCTAGGCATATTTCTTTCCGGACGCTAAACTATTCCACTTTTTTATTGGAGGTGTAATGTTTTTAATTGTACTATTGTCATGGGCCTATGAGCATCAAGATTTAATTCGATTGGGCATTAGTAAGTGGTACGATAGACGAAACGGTCGTAGGAAGAGTGAATGACCTTAAATGTCATTTTCATAAATTAATTATTGTATATTACTAAATTCCAAAACAAAATTTTACAATATCGTTACATCTGTATATTTGTCAAATGATAATGTATAATTATATATATATATATATATATATTTATTTATTTATTTTATATAAATACCAATTATCACCAATCATTCACCTTAAACTCGTAATTTCAGCTAATCTACTCTATTCGATTATGTAAAAAATTTTAGCACATAAATAACAATTTTTTTCATATTATTATTGTTATAATTTAATTGACTTCAGCTTGAGATTGTTTTGTATATCGCCCCAACAACTGGCCCTTCCCGCTGTATTATACATTGTCTACAAAAATGAATTTTTTATGAAATCTCCAACGATTAATTACTATTAATTTTCCATAATTATTATTAAGCCTTAATCAGGGTTGCCACAAAAATTTAATTCTGTTTTCCCTGATTTACAGACAAAATTTTGACTTTTTCCCTGACTCAAAAGAATATTCTGATTCACTCTAAAAATGAATAGATACTCAAAAAAATGTCCTGTTGTATTTCGATTATTCGGAAATTCTCCAATTAAATATACATTAGAAAATAAAAACTTGAAAAATTTTAAACATTTCAATTAAGCTTTTTGAAGAAAATTAGTTCCATAGAAATTTTAATTAAAAGTATAAAAAATTCAGATTTTCAAAGATGTTAATTTGAAACCTTTAAAAAATTCAATTATTTCTCAAAATTGTAATTATTAGTAAATTCTAGCTAAAATTCAATTGTTATCTAAAACTTTAACTGAAATTGATTTTTAAGTCAATTTTTATTAGAAAATTCTACGTAAATTAAATTATTTCAATACAAAAATAAATAATTTATTGAATAATTGAATGTTTCTTAAAATTTAATTCTTATAACATAATTTTATCAACCAATTTTTAAATAATTGAATTCTTTGGACGAATTTTAATAAAATTTTTAAGAATAATTACATTTTTCGAGGATTTCGATCAAAATTGTATTAAATATAATTGAAATTCTGCAATGACTTTTATTATTTATGAAAATAATTGAATTATTTCGAAGAATTTCGTAAGCAAGTTCCAAACAACTGATTTTTTAAAAAACATTTATGCAAATTCTATTTTTAATAATTGAATTCCTGTGAAATTTTCATTATTTTAGAAAATAATTGAATATTCGTGTAGAACTTTGTCAAAATTTGTTTTTAAATTATTGAATTCTTTTGTAAAATTTTATTAAAATAATAGATACACAAATTATTAAATTAAGAAAATTTTTTGAAAATAATTGAATTTTATTACCTTTAAAAATAATTGAATTCTTGTGATGATTATTCTTGTTTATGAAAATAATTGACTTTCTCCGAATGATTTTATTATTTATAAAAATAATTAAATTTCTAAAAGGAATTTTAAAATTTATGACAATAATTGAATTGCTGCGAAGAATTTAATGACAAATTTTTAAATATTTGATTTTTTTGAAAAAATTTATGCAAATTCTATTTTAAATAATTGAATTACTGTTAAATTTTTATTTTTTTTGAAAAATAATTGAATGTTCGTGTAGAATTTTATAAAAAACTTTGTTCAATAATTGAATTCTTGTGATGAATATTGTTTTTATGAAAATAATTGAATTGTGCAATAAATTTTATAAAAACTCCTGAATATAATTGAATTTCGGCTGAGAATTTTGCTATTTATAAAGATAATTGAAATGTTGACAAGAATTTTAAAAAAATTTTTGAGAATTGTTGAATCTCTGGAAAGAATTTTGATATTTATTAAAATATAGTTGAATTCTTTCAAAGAATTGCGTTAAACTTTTTAAAATTGAAACTAATTTCAAGAGAATTGAAATGAAGCAAACAAAAAGACACAAAAATTAAGAATTTTCTTATAAATTCTAAACATTTAATTTTTTCTAGTACTTTTAATAAAAATGCCTGACTTTTCTTTGATTTCCCTGTCCTGTGGCATCCCTGCTTAATGGGAATTAATCGAATATAGTAAATATTTGAGTTACCTGTTTTCACTTTGTAACGAAACAATAGGTGCCGTTGAATTTGGTTCCAATTTTGAGACTTTATCGGCAATTGCTGCTACAATTCCGGCACTATCAGTTATTGCATTGCCTTTTACTGCAAATTTTTCAAAAATATTTTTAAATTTATTTTGTACTAATTCATTGTAAGAGAAAAAATTTATTTTTCGTCTAAAGAGTTATGATTTTGGGATGAATTTAAAATTTGTTATGTAAATATATCAAAATGAGTGTTTATTTATATGTTTAATAAATGGCATAATCACCTCCTAAACATAATCCAGCGTAATCTGTTAAGATAACACCTGTCACACCTTCGCTGCTGCATCTGATAAGAAAAATTTGACGTTTATTAAATTATATATAAACATAACTATAATAACATAACCTCAAAATTTGACACTTTCTTACACATCGTCCATTGCTTTTTCAATGTTCCTTTCCATGACTTAAATTATTTTTTCGAACTCACAATAGTTTACTAAATTGTAAAACATACAAGAAAAAATCAAAAAATTAAATAATCTATTGAGAAAGATATTATCGTTGTCACAAAGTCACAAACAAAACTTATCATCCGCACGTGACCTTATACTAACACACGTAATAAATCCATGGACGTAGTAAGGGAGGATTATTTTATAACTATTTTGGACAACTAAAATCATAAAGTTTACTTATTTTTTATCAATAATGATTCTGGGGGTTTTACTATTTTTCCGAAACGTCTAATTTGTTTCGGTACATAAATTAATAAGACCGAGTGATTAAAATTTTTTAAAGTAATTTTCTCTTGATACGCTCCTGGAGAGTACATTTAAATTTAATGGGAACCAATACCTACAAAGCATCGTTGCATAAATGTACACATAAATACTGGGTGTTTAAATTCAATGAACTTTAATATGATCCCAAAGTTCTTTGTCAGCACATAAGCAGTGGAACATTCCATCGAATGATCGTAATTACATCACAAGAACATAATTATCAGGAGCAGAATATTGTTAAAATCTTTCAAAATATATGTTAATCTAAATAGCCTAAAGCAGTAAAGCTTCTAGTACGTTCTTAAAAGACACCTAGTGGAACTGGTGGACGTGACTTCTTCAGTGACAATAATGGCAGGTAAGTGTTGTACACGGATTTTGTTTACTCTCACTTTAAATTAACTTTCTTGCTGAATGAACACTTTGTTAATATTTCCTTTTAACAATAATTCAATTACAATACTATATTTCAAGAGACTGTATAACTTATAATTTTTAACAATTGTTTATGAAAAAAAATCCCGAGAAAGTGTAACACTTTGCATTCGCTTCATTCGCCCGAATAACTTTTTTTTATTTCACATTAAAACATGTATTTTTTTATGAGTCACGAGATATTTTCATTTCACTCAAATTATCAGTAATCAATTCTATATTATACATTATTTAGAAATAACTTTTGTCTTTATTTTCAAAACAAATTTAATTCATTTCTTCATTCAAAACATAAATTAACCGTAAGGGGGAAAAATAAAAGAAAAATTGAAAATTATTTAGTTTTTAGTGAATTTTAATTTTATTCTAAATATAATAAAGTCAAGTGAAATACGTTAGGTTTTCTTCTATAATGAATTTCAACATTTGACCTTCAAGTCTCGATTGAAAGGAAATATTTTTATTATTACGCTTTACAGTTATTTATAAAAAACAAAACAACTGAATGAATTTGTATTTTTTTGCATATTCAGTGGATAATTAATTAATTTCACTATGTTTATAAATGTATTTATTATTATTTATTATTCTTAATTATTTAGCTCTATTTTTATAATTTTCTGTAGGGAAATATTTTTTATATTTTTCCATTATTTAACTGTAATTGCTTTTAATTATTGTTTTTTTTTTCTATTATAGAACCAAGCCTTTATAAGGAGCTATTGAAGAGCGTTAGTTTTGGGAAAGAAACACGTCAATTTTATGACTTGACACGTTTTGGAGAAAAATATGGTAAAGTGCCTTTTTTTAGAATTCACGTATTTTGAAATTCAAATCGCATTGACCGTTGTTGACTTTCACAAAAATAACCTAATTAAATACTTATTACAGAACGGCTGCCGTTTTCAATTAGAGTTCTTTTGGAGAGCGCCGTTCGAAATTGCGATGATTTTCAGGTGAAAAAACAGGATGTAGAGAAAATTCTAAATTGGGAGGAGAATCAGACAATTGATGAAGGCGTTGAAGTTGCATTTAAACCAGCTAGAGTCATTCTACAAGTATGCATCAATTTTAAAAAAGAAACTAGTTTTTAAATTATTTTAATTATAATATAAAACCGAAATGCATAGACTGAAATAATTAATTATGTCATTTAAGTCTACTTGTCTAGACTATTAATGAATTTAATTTTTTTTATCAGGATTTGACGGGGGTACCAGCAGTTGTTGATTTTGCTGCTATGAGAGATGCTGTAAAAAATCTAGGAGGCGATCCAGATAAAATAAATCCCATTTGTCCTTCAGATTTGGTTATCGATCATTCTGTACAAGTTGACTTTAGCAGAAGGTATAATTTATTTTCAATATTTAATTATTAATCTATATTAAACACCAGTTTAATATATTTAAAAAATTTTATATAATTGCAGATTTAAGATTTTTTAAATTCACTTATTAAGTGCATAATTAAATACTCTTATTTATTATTTTCAATCATTTTGAAAATATTTGTAGCAAGAATCCAATTATTCTTATAAATAATATTCTTTGAAAGAATTCAATTATTTTCAGAATAATTTCAGTAAAATTTCTCGAAAGAATTCAATTATTTTAAAAAAATTTTAATGAAATTTTTCAAAAGAGTTCAAATAATTTATTTCCTAAAATGTTGATAAAATTCTTAAAAATTTTGTGAATTTCAATTATTTTCAAAATTTTTAATTATGTATAATTATAAAAAAAATATACTATTTTTAAGAAATTTAAAGAAATTCTTCAAAAAAAACTTAATTACTTACGGAAATTAATTAAATTGTTTAATTCTTTAAAACATTTCAATTATTTTCAAAAATTGTAATAAAATTCTTTACAAGAATTCTTATTTTTTGCAAAAATTTCGAGAACATTCTTTGGAAAAATTCAATTGTTTTCATAAATATTAATATAAATTTTAATTAACTTTATTTACCAATTTTCCAAATATGCAATTATTATTATGTAAAAATATAATTTCTTTTCAATATTTAGAGATTAATTTATTTTAAACACCAATTCATTTATTTTAATTATCCTTTAATTTATATTTTTTATTTATTTAATATTTTTTTGTTTATTTAAAATATTTAATTTGAATTTCTTAAAAAGAATAAATTCTATGACTTTTCTGTATTTAAAAAAAAATTTTTTTTTCAGTGGAGACGCATTGAAGAAAAATGAGGAATTAGAATTCGACAGGAATCGCGAGAGATTTATATTTTTGAAATGGGGTGCGAGAGCTCTTCACAATATGTTAATTGTACCGCCAGGAAGTGGAATTGTTCATCAAGTGAATTTGGAATATTTGGCACGAGTTGTTTTCGACAAAGATGGTTTTCTCTATCCGGACAGTGTTGTTGGCACGGATTCTCATACAACGATGATTAACGGCCTTGGAGTTTTAGGTTGGGGTGTTGGTGGAATCGAAGCCGAAGCCGTGATGCTTGGTCAAGCAACTTCCATGTTACTCCCAAAAGTTGTTGGATACAAATTAGTGGGATATTTGAATCCCTACGTCACATCGACCGACCTTGTTCTGACCATAACAAAGGTACTTCACAGGTTTCAAAATACTAATCAAAAACTATAAAATAATAATAATGTAATAATTCACTATTTGCTTATTTTAAAAAATGAAAATTTTATTTAGTTTATTTATTAAAATATTAAGATAATATTTTTCTAAATAAACAACTTGTTTTTTTACTTTTTTGGTGAAAATTAAAATAATCTTTGAACAATTTGAGCAACAAAGTAAATAATATGATTAGATGAAATTTTATTGTAAAGAAATTTTAAATTTGCTTGAGAATAATTTTGTTCAAAGTGCGAATAGTTTAATTAGTTTTGAAAAGTTTCGAATTGTACTAAAAGGATAATAATTTTGTAGAATTTACGTCAACTGGGAGTTGTTGGAAAGTTTGTCGAGTTCTTTGGCCCTGGCGTTGCTCAATTAAGCATCGCTGATAGAGCAACGATTTCCAATATGTGTCCCGAGTATGGAGCAACAGTTGGTTTCTTCCCTGTTGATAAACAAACTCTCGACTACCTGGAACAAACTGGTGAGAATAAATATTTCCTACTCCTATACAAAAGGAAAAGAAAAACCGCGGGAAAATGTTATTAATAGATTCAATTTTTTTCTCTCTTCTTTTTTATTTTCAATTCAATTAATATTTATTAGTATTTAATAATATTATTTAAAATAAAATAATTAGAATTTAATTATAAATTTGGAATAATAATTTTATTTTCGATTTTTTTATGTTTCGCGAAATTTTTGAAATTGAAATATTTATATTGAAAATAATTATTTGCAGGCCGATCTGACGAACACATTGAAAGAATAACGAAATACTTGGAATCGGTTTATATGCTGCGAAATTATGACAATTCAACTCAGGATCCTGTTTTTTCGGAAGTGGTGACTCTCGACCTCGGAACTGTCGTCTCCAGTGTCAGCGGTCCCAAGAGACCTCACGATCGCGTCTCGGTGACGAATATGAAAAATGATTTTACCGCCTGTCTCACAAGCAAGGTGAGTCCTTAAAAATTATTAAAAAAAGGATTAAAATTTTAAACCTGAAAATAATTTACAATCACTGAAATGAACAATTAAAATGGTTCTTGAAGTATTTTCAGTACACATATGGGACGAACAATACCCAGTGACGAAAAAAATTATAATAACGTCATCAAGGTATCGTTCATCGCATTTTGCACTTTGCCTCCAAAAAATTAACCAAAAAAAAATTAAAAATCGTTGATAATGTTGATTTTTGGATAACAGGGTTATTGGTAACTACTGCTGTGATATGAAAATAATAAAACACATCACTGCAATAGTTCCTTTCAACCCCGTAACCTTATTAGTTTCTCCTTTCTTCTTGTACGCCAAAAAAAAAAGAAAATCCTTGATTGAAGATGAAAAATTAACGATGATTAGTCCAATATTCATTCTACTTTGTTAACCTAGCTTTATGGCCTGATTTCTCCATACAGTTAGATCACCAAAGAAAAACAAATAGGACAAGTAGTTTTTTTTCTTGTAATTTCTTTCTCTCTGCAAATCCTGGTTGCGCTGGTTTTTCTTTCAAGTCAGGGACGAGTATTTCGATCTAGTCACAATTTTAAAGTGCATCGTGCCACTAGATCGATACTACGCCTATGACTGGAAGAATTATCGATGATTCTTGGATGTTGATGATGATGATGATGATGATGATAGTCTTTCTTTTTTGTTGAAAAGGAGTGGATGTTTGGATGAATCCTACCCGGTGAGAACATTGATTTATCGCACCGGACGAGATTACACCCGACATTGACCCCTCCTTTGAGGAAAAGAAAAATCTTATAAAATTTAAATTTTCTTTCAATTTCTATAAATTATTTCACACAATTTAGAAAAAATTGTTCTTTTTCAAACTACACGAAAACAAAAATTCGAAAATTTACCACTTTTCTTAAATTAATTTTTCCGAAAATAAATTTAGAAATAATTTGCAATCACAATAATCACTTGAGAAGAAATTTGAAAAAAAACTTGATATTCACAGGAAAATTTTGAGAGATATGCAAAAACTTGTTTGAGACGATGATGTTAGAGACTTGAAGTTTACAGGTAACTCGGAAGTAAAGTAATGACAAATGGGACCAAGAGTAGGGCCCTTTTATAGTTGAGGGTCACGTTTCCCCTTCCTGAATTCGAGGAACTCACCCTCGATTGTTCCTTCATTCATTGATTGGTTGAGAAAATTTTGTACCTGCGGCGAATTTTCATTTTGGTCCTGCCTCTAAATTTTTGCAGATTTAGAATTTTTTTTGTTTGCTATTAATTGTTTACAGATTATTTAAAATCTTACAGAAATTGACATTTGCAATAACAATTTTCATATTATAAATATTAGATTCTTATATTAATATTATTAAATATTAAATACTTAATTTAAAATTACCGTTATTTGAAATTCAAGAATATAATTCTTAAAAATAGACATTTTTCATTTCTAATTTTATTTTTAATTTTAATTTTAATTTTACAATTCAAATTTTCCAATTTCAATATTTAAAAAATTAAAAACTCAATAATTGATTTTAATTTCATCAAGTTATGAATTTTCTATCGATTTTTAATTCCCAGTGAACGTTTCAAATACTTGGAAGAATCTTATTACTTACAAGTTGCATTTGTTGCGAAAAAATCTTTTTTTTTAATTCACTGAGCAAACTACTTTTGTGAAATTCAATTCTCCTTCCTCTGTTTTTTGCCAAGCAGTAGTTTCGTCAAGTTTCGTAAGAATTTTTTTCAAATTATAATTGGAATATTAATAGAATAAATGTCATTGCAGAGGAATTTACATTTTCAAAAAAGAATCGTTGTAAAATTTGAGAAAGTTGAGAGATAAAAGTAATAATTAAAATCTACTTAAGAAAATAGGGATGTAATCTCTTTTTTTCTTTTCTTATTCAAAAATCTTTGCTCATTAAATAATCATTTAAAGTAAATTAATATTGATTCTCTAATATTTAAGAATGGCCAAAAATATGACATCGTTAGAGATAAATTTGTAAATTCAGAAAAACAATTTGTTTGAAATTTTTTATTTTTTTTGTAATTGAAAATTTTTACATTTTTATTTCAATTTTAGCAGATTTCTTAATAGTGAAACTTTTTGAATAAATTTACGTTTAAAAATTATTCACTATTATTAAAAGTTATTGACTCTAAGGTCAAATTGTCTTAAATTGTTTTTCTTATTTTCTTGTATATAAACACATTCTACCGCTGTTGAAAATAGTCGTTACATCAATTTTATCAGTTTAAATAAATTTTTGCAATACTTTCTCAAAATCGGAAAAAAATATAAAATGTAAATTTGCAAAAAAATTTAAATAATCTTATGGAAATGAAAATTAGATTGCCAATTATTATTGTTGTCATTATTATATAATTTAATTATTAATATTGCTATTATTATATAATAATTATAAATTTATTAAATTTTTTTTTATAAATTTTTTTAATAATGAAATGAAATAATTTATTAGTTTACAAAAATTAATCAAAATAATTGAATTATTAAAATTTTTAAAAATATTAAAGTTGAATGAAATAAGAAATTTTTGTTTTCATACCAATTAATTTTTTAACTCTTGCACTAAAATGTTGGACCTTTCTCAAAGAAGAATACACGAGAACTGTCTTTGCATTTGAAAAGTGGTGGAGGTGTGCTTAACAAAAATTGCTGATGTCGCATCCTTTTTATTTTGCACATCTCACACATTATTTCGTTGTTACTGACTTGCACTCAATTTCCGTGTAAGTTTTCGTCTAATTATTTTGCAATCGAGTTTTTTCTTTGATTTGCATTGCTTTAATTATTCGAAACCTTTAAAATTGTTTCTCAATTTTTTTTCGACAATAATTATATAAATGGAATTTTAATCTAATTTAATAATAAAAATATTTTAAGTATATTAAAATTTAGTTAATAATTTACGATTTTGTAATTGAATAATTACTATTTTGGTTTTGTTGCTTTTTTTATTTTTGCTTTTGCTTTTATTTTTACATTTTTTTTTTGCCTTTATTTTGTTTTTCTATTATTGCCTTTCAAATATTGTCAAAAGTTTTGGAAATTATTCAGGACCAGGACGAATGGAATTTGGAAAATGACAGTTGAAAATAATTTTGTGTTGAGAAAATTGATATTTATAGATAAATTAGTAGCTATAGAAGAGTGCAATAAGATTTTACAGTAGTTTTAAGGGTCTTAAGGCTTTAGTCAGGTAAAATTTTTCAAATTTTGACCTTGCAGATTTTAGGCACATCTGCAACGTTTTATGAGCCACCTTTTTGGCGAATTATCTTTGAGGATCTAAAATGGTTTAACAAAAATCCCTCTTTACAATATTTTCAGTTAGGATTTACAGTGGCTAATTTCAATTTTCTTTGGTCGCAATAACTCAACTTTTCGTAACAACACAATTTTCAGTGTGTTATAAGAGTACACTTTGTAAACAAATTTTTAAATTACCCTTGAGTATTCACTCTCGAGATTTTTCATTATTTCAAATTCGATTAAAATTTTTGTTTCAATTATGGTGGTTTTAATTTTAATTCATTTTCTTTACAAATTGCTAACAAATAAATTTTATTATTTAACAAATTTAACTATATTCAATATTATTCACAAAATTATAATTTTAAATTTATTTATTATTATCGTTGTTATTATTATTATTATTATTATTATTATTATTTATTTCTAGGGGATAGTGGGGTAAACCGGCCATACTAACGGTTTTTTTTTTACTCTTGTGACTAAATGAATCAACCGATTTCATTTTTTGATGGCTTGTTTGAAAGATCATTTATTTGCGCAACTTTTTCCCAGAGACACCTATACTTAATCTTTTATTATTTAGTTGCTGTGTTAACCCACCTCCTGGGGTAAACCAGCCACCCCCATGGGGCAAACCGGTTTGCCCCACAGTCTTATTTTGAAAATTAATATTAGTTTTAAAAAAACACTTTGCAAATTCATCAAAGTTTTTGGTGGTAATTATTCCTGAGGTGTGTACCTTCAAAACCTAAGACCTAATATTTGGAAATATTACACGATTTCCTCAGAATTTCCTTAAGAACAAGTTCGTAAAAGTACTAAAAAATCTAAAAAAAAACTTTTGCCCCCAGCGTTGCACAAACAAAAGTAAAAAATGTCAAACTAAAAATTAGGTATACTACACATGGTTGTTTCAAATTTCTAAACGACACTTTTGACAATTTCGCCATTTCGGAGATATTGACACCTGGACAGTTTGCCTCACTCTCCCCTATTTATTATTTATTTATTATACAATAAATTAGATTGCGATTGTTATAATAATATTACTTATTTTTTATTTTAGTTAATTAATTAATATTAATTAATTATTTAAAACAATTAATTATTAATAAAATTTCTTTTAATTTTCATTGAAAAGTGACTGAGCTTTAAACATTGGAATTTTGCAAATTAATATTTTTTTTCTTATCTATAGAGTTTAATAAACTCAAATAATTATAACGCCTCTTCGGCAAAAAAATCTTGTAATTGTATAGAATTTGCAAAAGTCAATGTCGCAATGAATTCTTTGGTATTTAGAATTTCTTTCAACGATTGCTCAGTAAGTAATATTGTAATTGACAAGCAAAAGGAACTGTTTAATCGTCCTCAAATTTTATATACTTCATCATATTTATCTTTTTCTGTATACAAACTGCACCTGCACTAATTTATTAAACATTCCGTCTATTTAAAAAATAATGCGATCAAATTCATAAATTCTATTATTGAGTTTACAATTTTTTTACTCCAGAAAATAATTTTTTCTATTTATGGATTTTTTTTAAATAATAAGTAAAATAAAACAATTTTATTTATGTTTCATTTACGGAAGGAAAATATTTAATTCATTTAATTTTTATATTCAATTTTAGTATTTCAGTTATTTGTGGAAAATTTATTTTCTTAAAATTTCGTATCTATATTGAAGAACGTTAATTATTTTTTTGTATTATATTTTCAGGTAGGATTCAAGGGTTTTGGTATACCTCGGGAAAAATTGCAAGCTGAAGGGACTTTTGAATTTGAAGGAAAAGAATACAAATTGAAACATGGGTCTGTGGTCATTGCAGCTATTACTAGCTGTACAAATACAAGTAACCCGAGCGTTATGCTTGGTGCAGGTAATTCTAAATCCTAACACCGCCTATCTAATGTTTCATCTTTTTGCATTTTCATTCTCTTACATAGAATTTATTACCTGGCTAAATACATTATTTTCACTGAAACTTATAATTCTATGCGTAAAATTTGTTATTTTACAAAATTCTTAAATCCACAATTTTTCATATTTTTCTCATTTTTAATAAAAATAAAATAAAATCCAAATTTCAATTATTAAAAAAGGAAAACCGTTAGATTTAGAGACCAAAAATAAAATATTTAATATATTTTTATTTAAAAATAAGAAAACTTTAAAGTTAGTTGTTTTCGTTTGCTTTTTTGTTTCCTAAGTTTTTCGATAATTTTTTTCTATTAATGTTTTTCGAATTTTAAAATTAATGAAATTCTAATTTAATGTTTTAAATATTCGATAATTAAAGAAAATAATTAAACAAAATTGGTTTGAATTGAAAATCATAATTTATTTTTACTTTCAAAAACATAAAAATAGTTCATTATAAATTATTGTAGAAAAATTAATTATTATTAATGCAATATACGACGACGATTAATGTCATTTATTTTATAAAGAAAAGTGGATTTTATTTATTTAAATGTTTTGTTCTATGTGGAATTCAACAATGTATTTATAGAAATTTCATATAATTTTTGTTCTAATTATAGTTTACATTTTTACTAATTCAGATTTAGAGAATAAGTTTTGTGATACTTTTTTAAAAGATTGCATTTTTGTTAAATATGTGTTGTTGTTTTTGTAACTTTTATAATTTTAAATCTAAAATAATCAAATTCTTACATAGAATTTTATTAAAATTTTTGAAATTAATTTAATTGTTTCGAAGAATTTTATTGAAATTTTGGAAAATAATTGAATTTTGGCTAATAATTTTATTAAAATTTTGATAAATGTAAGAATCCTTTCCATAATTTTTATTAAAATGTTTGAAAATATTTAAATTCTGTCGAAGAATTCAATTAAAATTGTATTGAAATAATTGAATTTTAATAAAGAATTTTATTAAACCTCTGAGAACACACCTCTTTTTTAGATCATTTTTCAAAGCTCAACCGATTTTGAACTGTTATTCTGATGAAACTGAAGAATTTTTTTAAGTATAGTTTAAACTCTGTGAAATAAGACTGTATACTTGAAAATCCTTATTAAAAATGGAACATGGAGTCTAAAAGACCCCATGTGTTCTCCGAGGATTAAAATTTCAAAAAATAATTGAATTCTCTCCAAAAATGTTATTAAACTCAGTTAATTTTTTTTAATTTTGAGTCTGAAATTATTCCAAAACTGAAGTAGATATTTCAAAATAAAATGTTTGTAATTTGCATAATAATAATAATAATAATAATAATAATAATAATAATAATAATAATAATAATAATAATAATAATAATAATAATAATAATAATAATAATAATAATAATACCTAATAATAATAATAATAAATTGAATACCGCGTGGAGATAAATTACCTAATTATTCTTTGACCTATAATATTTGTGATTTTTATTGCAAACATGATCAAAGGAAATAACAAGCCAGTCTTCTTTATTGAAATTTCGATTTTTTTTTATTTTGTTTGTTAAATGTTATTTTGTCTATTTTAGGTCTCCTTGCGAAAAAGGCAGTGGAAGCAGGGCTCAGCGTCGCACCTTACATAAAAACATCTCTCTCACCTGGTTCAGGGGTGGTGACTTATTATCTAAAAGAGAGTGGAGTATGTCCTGCACTTACAAAATTAGGTTTTGAAATTGTGGGTTACGGATGTATGACCTGTATTGGAAACAGTGGACCACTCACTGAGCCAATAGTCGAAGCAATAGAGAAGGTATTTTTTTAAACTGCTAAAGAATTAAGATATTTTTAGGATCTTTTTTTTCTCTAAATTAATGAAAATATTTAAACAATTATTTTCTATTCTTTATATTGAAAAACAAAATATTTCTTTTTCGGAGTGTACTACTCGTCAAATAAATATTCTTTGAGAGATTTGTGACTTTCTTGCTGGGGGTCTCGAGTAATCCAGTGTCATTTATGCTTTAACAATATTATTTTGAATAGAATGAACTCGTTTGTTGTGGAGTCCTCTCTGGCAATCGTAATTTTGAAGGAAGAATTCATCCTAATACAAGGGCAAACTACCTGGCATCGCCTTTACTAGTAATTGCTTATGCTATTGCCGGAACTGTTGACATTGACTTTGAAAAAGATCCCTTGGGTAAAAAACAAACTTTCCCTTCTAATTTGTGCAAACTCATTTATTTTAAATTTTGCGGAAATTGAAGAGGAATTCAAAAAATACCAATTTATTTCAATGAATTATATAATTGAAAGTATACTTTTGAAATTAGAAAATCATTGTTATTATTATTAAATGTTATTATTAATTGTTATTATTATTTAATAAAATAAAATCCAAATTTCAATTATTAAAAAAGGAAAACCGTTAGATTTAGAGACAAAAAATAAAATATTTAATATATTTTTATTTAAAAATAAGAAAACTTTAAAGTTAGTTGTTTTCGTTTGCTTTTTTGTTTCCTAAGTTTTTCGATAATTTTTTTCTTTTAATGTTTTTCGAATTTTAAAATTAATGAAATTCTAATTTAATGTTTTAAATATTCGATAATTAAAGAAAATAATTAAACAAAATTGGTTTGAATTGAAAATCATAATTTATTTTTACTTTCAAAAACATAAAAATAGTTCATTATAAATTATTGTAGAAAAATTAATTATTATTAATGTAATATACGACGACGATTAATGTCATTTATTTTATAAAGAAAAGTGGATTTTATTTATTTAAATGTCTTGTTCTATGTGGAATTCAACAATGTATTTTTAGAAATTTCATATAATTTTTGTTATAATTATAGTTTACATTTTTACTAATTCAGATTTAGAAAATAAGTTTTGTGATACTTTTTTAAAAGATTGCATTTTTGTTAAATATGTGTTGTTGTTTTTGTAACTTTTATAATTTTAAATCTAAAATAATCAAATTCTTACATAGAATTTTATTAAAATTTTTGAAATTAATTTAATTGTTTCGAAGAATTTTATTGAAATTTTGGAAAATAATTGAATTTTGGCTAATAATTTTATTTAAATTTTGATAAATGTAAGAATCCTTTCCACAATTTTTATTAAAATGTTTGAAAATATTTAAATTCTGTCGAAGAATTCAATTAAAATTGTTATTATTATTATTGTATTACGAGTTGTTTTATTATTTAAGTAATAATTTAATTTACTATTTTATTACACATTTTTTTGTGTAAAATAAATATTTCGTAAATGCTAATAAAATAAATTCAATAATTAGTAATTTATTTTTGAAATTCAGGTCGTAGATCCGATGGAACTAACATTTATTTGCGAGATATATGGCCAACGAGGGCAGAAATTCATGCTGTTGAACAGAGATATGTTATTCCGGCAATGTTTAAGGAAGTCTATAGTCGACTCGAGAAAGGTAGCAACACCTGGCGAAGCTTAAAAGCACCTGAAAGCCAACTGTATCCCTGGGATTCTGATTCTACTTACATAAAAAATCCACCTTACTTTGAGAATCTCACCAAGGTAAAATAATTGTAATCAACGTGAGATAAAAGAAATTGAACTCAAAGAAAATTATTTATATATTTACGCCTTTATGCTAATATTTTTCATTACGTAAATTGTTTTTCTTTCATTATTTTCAGGAACTGCCAAAGCATAAACCATTGATAAAAGCTAGAGTTCTTTTGAATTTGGGAGATTCGGTAACAACTGATCACATTAGTCCTGCTGGAAGTATTGCTCGCAATTCACCGGCTGCGAGATATTTATTGGGTCGCGGGTTTGTATTGATTTTGTTTTTCTACAATTAATTTTTATTAAATTATTGTTTTAAAATTACATGTAACTTTAATTTTTCTCATCATTTTGAAATTAATTTATAATTTCTTTCACATTTCAGAATTAAATTAAATTTAAATATTACAATCAATATTATATAATTTATTACTTTTTTAAGTTTTACTAACTTAATTTTAACAATTTACATTAACAATTTTAAAAATTATTGGTTTAAATTGGAACAAAACGAGTTAGTCATAAATATTCTAAATATTTTTTTCTTTATATACCTACTTAATTATAATTTTTTTTAAAATAGATTAACTCCAAGAGGTTTTAATTCCTATGGAGCTCGCAGAGGCAACGATGCAGTTATGGCAAGAGGAACATTTGCAAACATTCGACTTGTAAATAAATTCATCGGCAGTCCTGGACCAAGAACTATTTACATTCCAAATAACGAAGAGGTAAATCAAGATCAGTATATTTACAAATCTTTTCGAAAATTTTTTTTTTAAATTTAATTTAGTTTTAACATTTAACTCTTAAAATTAAAATAAAAAGGAAAAAAATAACATTGAAAAATATTTTTATTATTATTTTAATATTATTTAATTATTTTGTAATTATTTCTTTCGAAGAATATAATATAAATAAATATAAATCTATAAAAATAATTTAATTATTTTAAAGAATTTCTTTTATTGTTCTGAAAACAATGAAATTTTTAAAGTGATAAACTGTTATAAAGAATTTCTTTCAAATCCATAAAAATTAAAAATTTTATTATTGAATTTTATTAAAATTTTTAGGAAATAATTGAATAGTGGTGAATAATTTTATTCTGTTTTTTGAAAAAAATTAAATTCATTCGATGAATTTTATTAAAGTTGTATTGAAGGTAATTGAATTCTTATAAAAAATTTTATCAAAACTTTTGAAAATAAAAGTTGAATTGTTTTGAAAAATTTTATAAAAATTGTTTTGAAGATAATTAAATTCTTCTCAGCATTATATTTCAATTTTCTAAAATAATTTAATTAATTCAAGGAATTTTATTAAAATATAGGTAGAAAATAATTAAATTCTTTCAAAAAAATTCTTTAATTTATTGAATATAATCGATTTTGTTTATTTATTTATTTATTCATTTACGGGCAATGAGTCCCATTCGATAAAGTACTAAAAATAATTAACAGTTATAAAGATGTTGTAAACATTAGGCTGCGTTATTATTATAATTATAAAGAACAATTTACGTAGATCCCTAACGAAACCAGACAAAGAATTATTAAAGAAATCCAGCTGATCCGCATGGTAGTTAGCTAATTTACATATTCTTATCGTAGTTGAGTTATCTCGATAACAAGTTCTCGAATAAGGTATCGCGAACGGCCGAACATGCCGTGATGGTCTTATAGGAGCAGAAAAGTTGACTGATGCTAAGATCTGGGAGCAATTGATTATATTATTTATAATTTTAAATAAGAAAAGCAAGTCATTATATAGAAATCTGGATGATATTAAAGGAATAATTTTGAAGCAAGATCGAAGGTTGTCATAGTCATGTGAATAAGGATCATATCTAACACCTATCTGCTTTGCTGCGAATCTTAAAAATCTATTTTGAACTCTCTCGAGCTTGATCAAATACACCTGGTTATACGGTGACCAAACAATTGATAAGAATTCAATATTAGATCTTACCAAGCAAAAATATAATGTTTTTAGGGCTGTTATATTATGAAAGCAAGACGCGTTTCTTGTTATAAAACCAAGCATACGCAATGCTTTGTTTACCGTCTCAGTCACATGTCGTGAAAAAGAGAAAGACTCGCATAATAGGATTCCAAGGTCTCGAATCTCAGACACTCTGGCAACTTCATTACCATCAATCGCGTAACAATGTCTCAAGATGATAGTACGTTTACTGAAAGAAATAACATAACATTTATTTAAGTTTAATGAAAAATTGTTTTTGGTGGACCAAACATGTAGACTATTCAAGTCAGATTGGAGACAAAGAAAATCATCATGTGAGGTAATTGATTTATACATCTTGAGATCATCGGCAAACAAAAGAAAGCAAGAAAATTTAAACACTGTATTAATGTCATTCATAAATAAAAGAAACAAGAGAGGTCCAAGATTCGAGCCCTGAGGAACACCAGATATTGCTAAAAACGTGTTAGAATAGTCATAATTGACCCTGACAGATTGTTATCTATCAGCGAGGTAACTCCCCATCCACGAAAGAAACTGATTCGAAAACCCCATTGCACTCAACTTGTCAAGCAGAATACCGTGATCAACTCTATCGAATGCTTTGTAAAAGTCAGCCAGGGTGTCTAGCGAACCGGGAAATCGGGAAAAACCGGGAAAAACCCGGGAATTTGGTTCGACCTCAAAAAACCGGGAAAAACCCGGGAATTTTCTATTTATAGGGTATTTTTTGAATTATGTATATAAAAAATTATAATTTTTTTCAAAATCGTCAAGGGTAAATTGATAGTATGAAGCAGTAGTAAAAATAATAACTTAAATTTTATTTAAAACTAACTTTAGTATACGTTATATTATAAAAGTTAAAGGATTTGTACTATTATTATTTTTATATAACAATTTATAGGTATACAATACGTAACAAATTTTATAAGAAGAAATTAAGAATCTTCTGTGATATAGGAAAGGCAAAGATTTTACTTTTTAAAACTAAATATGGGGCATTCCATTTCAAAACGATCCTCCTTATAAACAATTGACATTGTAAGGCAATTTTTAAATCATTATTTCTTATATTTATTGAAGCCAAACTTTATTTACTATTAGTGGTTTTAAAACAAAAATTTCTCAACTTTATAATGGTAGAAATTTTTTTTTTTAAATAATAGAATTTATGAAAAAAATTAAGTTTGAAAGATAACCTTTTTGAATATCTCAAAACACGTCGCATCCGATTTTCTTGAAACTTATGTAAAAATAAAGCTTAAATATTCTAGTTTAATTCTATGTAAACATTACAATGTGCAATTCATGGTTTGAGAAATTAATTAAATTTTACAAGTATTTCAAAGGGTATAATGTATGTACCGAGCGGAATTTTTTTCAAATTTTTCTACACTTCAACCTCTGACATCTTTGTAAAATTTAATAAATTTCTTAAATTCCCCTGAATTGACAATTATATTATAAAGTTGAGAAATTTTTATAAGTGAAATTTTGATATTCTATGTCAAGTTTTTAGAAATTATTGTATAACTTTAATCATTGTAATTTAATAAAAACAATATTTAATTACGTAAATAATGTTATTGATAAACATTTAAATATGTTTTTAAATCCTTTGTGAATATCCGGGAAAATTATTCAAGAACCCGGGAAAAAACTGGGAATTTTAAATTGACGAATCGCTAGACACCCTGTCAGCGTAAACGACGTCAACCTGAGTTTTACCCTCAAGATAGTTAAGAATGCTATCAGCAATTAATATACAAAGATTCGTATTAGCAGACCTTCCCCTCATGAAGCCATGCTAATTTTTATTTTGTTAATAATAATAATAATTAATAATTTTATTATTAAAATTTTTGATAGAAAATTAAACTCTTTTAAACAATTTTATTAAAGTGTTTGTAAATAATTAAATTCTCTTAAAGAATTTCTAAAAGTTTTTTGAAAATAATGTAGTTTTTTTGAATAACTTTAATTGAAAATTCAAAATAATTGAATTAAGCAAAGAAGTTATTACACTTTTTAAAATAATCGTATTTGTTAATAATTATAATTAAATATTTGATTATTGAAGTTTATTAAAATTGTATTGAAAATAATTTAATTCTTTTGAAGTATTTTATAACGAATTAAGAAAAAAATTGAATTCTTTCGTGAAAGTTTATTGAAAATAATTGAATTTTTGCAAAGATTTTACTATTTAAAAAAATAATTGAATTGCTTTAAAGGATTTAATAAAATTTTTGAAAATAATTGAATTGTATCGTGAAATTTTATTAAAATTTGGTTGAAAATAATTAAATTTTTGCAAAAAATTTTACTGTTTATAAAAATAATTAAATTCTTTGAAGAATGTTGTTATTTATAGAAATAATTGAATTTCTGACATTATAAACAATAATAATTAATTATGTACTTAACATTGCTACTAAATGTACTAAAATGCGATGAAAGTAAAATAATAATGTTAATTGTAAAAAAATTGGACAAGTGCGAGTTGTACTCGCACTGCAATGGCGGGTTCCGTACACAAATATTAAAACAATACTTGCAACATTTATCGGTAATTGGTAGGGGGCGCATGACTATTCCCCAAATGTCATTTTTCCGAAATGTCATTTTACCGAACTGCACTTTTGCGAATACTCATTTTTGCGAAAAGCCAATTTTGCGAAATGTCACTTTTGCGAATTGTCATTTTTTCGAAAAGCTATTTTTGCAAATTGTCATTTTTGCGAATCGCCATTTTAACGAATTGTCAATTTTCCGAAAAGTCATTTTTGCGAATCGACATTTTTACGAATTATCAATTTTCCGAAAAGTCATTTTTGCGAATTGTCATTTTTACGAAAAGACATTTTTGTGAAATGTCATTTTTGCGAAAAGACATTTTTGCGAAAAGTCATTTTTACGAATTACCATTTTTGCGAATTGTCATTTTTAAGAAATGTCATTTTTGCGAATCGCTATTTTTACGAATCGCCATTTTTACGAATTGTCATTTTTGCGAAAAGTTATTTTTACGAATTGTCATTTTTGCGAAAAGCTATTTTTGCGAACTGTCATTTTTGCGAATCGACATTTTTACGAATTGTCAATTTTCCGAAAAGTTATTTTTGCGATTCGCCATTTTTACGAATTGTCAATTTTTCGAAAAGTCATTTTAGCGAATCGTCATTTTTGCGAAAAATACAATAGTGAATTTATAGACCTACAAGTTTTCTATTGTATTTTTCGCAAAAATGACAATTCGCAAAAATGACTTTTCGGAAATTTGACAATTCGTAAAAATGGCGATTCGCAAAAATGACTTTTCGGAAAATTGATAATTCGTAAAAATGTCGATTCGCAAAAATGACAATTCGCAAAAACGACAATTCGTAAAAATAACTTTTCGCAAAAATGACTATTCGCAAAAATGACAATTCGTAAAAATGTCGATTCGTAAAAATAGCGATTCGCAAAAGTGACAATTCGCATAAATGACATTTCGCAAAAATAACAATTCGCAAAAATGTCAATTCGTAAAAATAACTTTTCGCAAAATTGGCTTTTCGCAAAAATGACATTTCACAAAAATGTCTTTTCGTAAAAATGACAATTCGCAAAAATGAGTTTTCGAAAAATTGACAAATCGTAAAAATGGCGATTCGCAAAAATGACTTTTCGGAAAATTGACAATTCGTAAAAATGGCCATTCGCAAAAATGACAATTCGCAAAAATAGCTTTTCGCAAAAATGACAATTCGCAAAAGTGACATTTCGCAAAATTGGCTTTTCGCAAAAATGACTATTCGCAAAAGTACAGTTCGGTAAAATGACATTTCGGAAAAATGACATTTGGGGAATAATCATGCGTCCCAATTGGTAGAATTGAAATAAACAATTAAAAAAATATATTAAAATCATTTGATAAAAAAGAATAACTAAAAAAATTAAAGTATTGTATATATCAAATATTGTAAACAATAATAAGCAGAGGAACTATAATTTTGAAAATTTTGTTCCTCTGCTTATTATTGTTTACAATATTAGATATACAATACTTTAATTTTTTTTAGTTATTTCTTATTATCAAATGATTTTAATATATTTTTTTAATTGTTTCTTTTAATTCTACTAATTACCGATAAATGTTGCAAGTATTGTTTTAATATTTGTGTACGGAACCCGCCATTGCAGTGCGAGTACAACTCGCACTTGTCCAATTTTTTTTTATTTTTAGTTAAGAAATTAAAGTCAGAAAACAATCTCTCATTTATTCTCTTAAAATTTCAATCTTTCTTAAAATATTTAATGCCACGTGTTTAAACTAAAAAAAATTTAAAAAAATTTTTTTTTTTGAAAAAAAAAATTTAAAACAAAATTTTTTGTCGTCAGACTGTAATAATACACCAGGATGCCAATTTCCAGCTCATTAGGTCAAATAATGTAAAAGTTAGGGAAAACAAATTTTTTTTTAAAATTTTTTAGTTTTTCCTTGACAACGCTATGGCCATCATTACATATCAAGTTCTCTATATTTTTCCTGTAATATTCGAGTAAAAATACACCAGCATGCAAAATTTCAGCTCTCCATGTCGAATAGTTTAGAAGTTAAGGGGGGGGGGAATGGTCACTTTTTATGCATTTTTGGCCAAAAATCTTGTTATTTCCTTGACAACGCTATGCCCATCACGTCCAATCACATTCGCTATATTTTTCCTGTAATCTACGTGTGAAAATACATATCTGGACCAAATTTGAGCTCTTTAGGTCAAATAGTTTAGCCGCTAGGGGGGGGACACGATTTGGCTACGGACAACAGAGTCTCACCAATAGGGTTCCGCCGATACACCGTAGGTGTACGGAACCCTAAAAAGTAAATTATTAGAATAATATCTAATAAAATCATGCTTTTTAGATGGACATTTTTGACGCGGCGGAAAAATACATTAAAGATGATACTCCCCTCGTTGTATTGGCTGGAAAAGAATATGGATCAGGTTCATCTCGAGATTGGGCAGCGAAAGGACCATTCCTTCTTGGAATCCGAGCAGTAATCGCTGAATCGTACGAAAGAATTCATAGGTAAAAGAAAAATATTTATTAATTTGAAATTATTAAGAAAATAATGAATAATAATAGTAAATAAATAATCGTAATGAATAATTTTTATCCACAGATCCAATCTTGTTGGTATGGGTGTCATTCCATTGCAATATTTGCCAGGTGATACGGCGGAAACATTAGGATTAACAGGATTTGAACAATTTGACATTAACATTCCAGACGATATTCAGCCAGGACAAAATATCACTGTCAACACTGATACTGGTAAAGAATTTAAAGTAATTGTACGTTTCGACACTGAAGTTGATCTTACTTATTACAACCATGGAGGAATTCTTAATTATATGATCAGAAAAATGCTTTGATAAGATTGTGACAATTTTTATATTTTTGAAACTGATTTTTTAAAACAGATTATTTTTATTGTTTTCAATGTGGTTTAATCAAGTTTTTTGTTTCATATTTTTCAATGTAATTAATGTGTTAGAAATTTTTATAAACAATGTAGAACAAAATATTGTATTTAGTTAAATTTATGTTTTAGAATTTGTCACAAGATTTTATTTCGTTCTATTTTTTACATATCTTATTCGGACTGACTTTATTTTATTGACTATTTTTATATATATATACATATATAAATTATGTGAATATTTTTTAAATAGTGTACGAAATTATATAAAACTAAATTAAATTAAATTCTTAGTCATTCATTCATTTACAGACTTTTTCATTTCTTTCTAATTCCTAAATACTCTTAAAAACGTTTTTTAAAGAAATTCTTAAATTAAAAATTATGAATTAAAAAAAAACCTATGAAACAATAATAAAATCGAATTCAACAAATAATTTTTGAAACGTCCTAAACATTTATTCTTGATTGTACTATTTTATTTACAAATTATTTTGAATTGATTTGTTTTTTTTGTTGACAGCTTTTTCAAACAAAGAACATAAGCGACTGACAACGTTAATTTGTGTTTTTGCAAAAAATTAAATTTTGTACATTCACACAATTTGCGTGTAGATATATATATATATAATTTTTTCGCTAAAAATTAAGTTCATAAATATATATATTTAAATTATGCATAAACCTATATTGCTGTACTTTCATCTTCGTATAAATTCATTGGTATTCCATTCGTATTTAAGAATTTCTCGATAATTTTTTTCTTTATTTGAACGACCAGAGAAATTTATTTCAACTAAATGTTGATCAGTTGCTCCATAAAGATGACTACTGTCAAAACATAAACTGTAAAGTGGACTCGAAATTCGACGAAGATTCATAAAGTATAGCTGCAAAAAAAATTCAAATAGTTTAGAATTTTACCATAGTAAATTCACAGTTATTTTATAATTGAAAGAAGATAAAATTACCTGTACATAGTTAATTTGTCGTTGATCCCATAAAACTGCTTTGCAATTAAACTGCGCTCCCGTAACTACTGAATACTGATAATCTGAAGACATGCAGTACATTGTTGCGTCAGTAGGATCGGGCCAGTAACTAACGCACTTTCCACATCTGTAAAGAATAAATATCCCTTTATTTCCAATTCTTAAATAATAGTAAAATATTTTTTAAAAATTTTCCACACACTGACCTCAAATCCCATTTTCTTAGGTATGTATCATATCCGCATGTTAGAAGCGTTTGTGGATTATCCCAAACCATATCCAATATGCCAGCACCTCTTCTCCAAACATGTTTCATAACATTTGATTCCTTGCAACTGAAACGAAAAAAAGGTTTTTGTATAATAATTTATGAATTTAATTACTAACCGGGATAATAGTGTCTGATAGAAAAATAAATCTAAAAAAATTCAAAACTAAAGGTGAAACAATGAACATGAATTGGAGTTTGTGAATTATGTAAGAATTAAATTAAATATTTTGATATAAAACTAGGTAAAGGAAATTTGGGGAAATAAAAGAAAACAAACTCCACTCTTGTGTTCATTGACGAACCTTTCAATGTCGAAAATATGCAGTGGTGCACCTTCTCCAATTCCAGACGATCCAACGGCAAATTTTTGTCCCATTGGATCTGCCGAAAGTGACCAAATACGATCATCGACATTTAAACATTTTGAAGGCACATTTGTCATTGTTTCGCCTGGTCTCGCCCATAATTTAATTATACCATCTCCAGAGCCAGAGATAACAACTTGAGATGTTTCTTCCACAGCGTTCACGTCAGTGGAGTGGGCTTCCTCAATATTATAGCACAAATGATCGACAAGATAATTTGTCCCATCATAATGAAGTGGTCCAGAATTGGTTAGAGACCAGAATTTTAAACTTCCATCCCTTAAAAAAAATATTAATTAGTTAATTAATTAATTAAATAGCAATAGATACGCGCGCCAAAGCGTACGTGCAGATTCTGAGTTGAAAGAATACAATTGATCATTAATTAAAAGTATGCAATTTATGTTCTCATTTATTTTTATTATTAAATTTTAAAAAATAATTAAAGAAAAAATTAATTAATTGTACCAAAACATTAATTATTATCATAGTATTTTTAATCAGGGTTGCCACAAAAATTTAATTTTGTTTTTCGCTTACTTTTTCCTGATTTCCAGACAAAATTTTGACTTTTTCCCTGACCCCAAGGGATATTCTGATTCACTCTCTAAAAGTTATTAGATACTCAAAAAAATGTTCTAATACATTTATTTACAAATTTCTTTAATTTATTGTAAAATTATTCGAAAACATCAAATGTTTTATCTATAAAATAAATATTTAATCATTATTACTTTTCCATAGGAATTAAGATTTTCAAAAATTTCAAATTCAAACCTTTTTGAAATTCAACAACTTATAATAATTAAAAATGACCGAGTGATAAAATCATTATTTTATAGTATAAGAATATTGTTACTGCAAGTTCTTCAAAATTATTTTCATTATTTCAATTCAATTATTATTCTCTAGAATTTTTAACTAAAATTCTTCTTTCAATCAATTATTTTTCATAATTTTTGAAAAAGTTTTTTGAGAATTTTCAAATCCATTTGTTTAAAATTCAATTTTAAGAAATTCTGATTATTCGGAAATTCTTCAATTAAATATATATTAGAAAATAAAAAAATTGAATCAAACTTTTTCAAAAAAATTAATTCTACAGAATTGTTATTTAAAAGTATAAAAAAATAAAATTTTCAAAGATTTTAATTTGAAACCTTTTTAAGATTCAATTATTTCTAAAAATTCATGCTATAATGCTTTTAATATTTAATTATATCTAATTAAATGTTTCTTAAAATTAAATTCTCATAAAGAATAATAATTATGGAAATCATTTAATCATTGTAAAAAATTTATGAAAATATATAAAATATGTTTGCATAGAATTTTATTAAATTGTTTTTAAGTAATTGAATTCTTCTGGAAATTTTTATTAAAATGCCCAGTAAATATTAAAAATCATTGAAAATTTTTGAAAATAATTGAATTCTGGAGAAGAATTTTATTATTTATAAAGATAATTGAAATTTTGACGAGAATGTTTTTTAATTTTTTAAAATAATTTAATTTCTGTATACTAATTTAAGAAGAATTTGAATTATTAAAATTTTTCAAAAAACTTTGGTAATTTCTAATTAAATTTATTCAAAATTGAAATTTTCTTAAATTTCAAATTAAAACCTTTTTAAAGTTGATCTATTTATGAAAATTGTAAACGCAACTCTTTTAAAATCCAATTAACAGTTAAGTAAAATTATTCATTAAATAATTTATAAGTAATAATTTTATGATAATTCTTCAAGAATTCAGTGGTAATTTCATAAGTTTTTCCAGTACAGGGCCGGCGGAACTAAATTTTTTAAACTATGGAGTTCTCAAAAAAGAGTGATTTTCATAATTATTTTTAGACTTTTCATTAAAACTTTATTAACATTATGTACATTGTATTAGATAGTTCATGGTTTTATGAATTTTTAGCAACTTTGCAACTTAAAAAAATATTAACATTTGTGCAAACTGTAGCTGTTGCCCCCAAATTTTTTTTAAAACGACTTGCGATGTTGCCGAACTCAACTAAAATGAAAAATAATGGAAAGTTTGTTAGTTTACTATGTCATCTCATTTGTGACATTGACAACAATTTTTTTTCTAGAAATAGCAATGATTTTCCTCAAAAATAAAATTTCTAAATTTCTACCGAAAAAAATATAGTAAATTAGTAATTAGTAAACAAACAAACTTTTCTTTGATTTTGATTTTGATTTTAGTTGAGTGGTTCCCTTTTTTTCGTGCACACCGCAAGTCACTTTAAAAAATAATTTCTTTTTGGGCGATAGCTGCAGTTTCCACAAATATTAATATTTTTAAGTTTCAAAGATACTTGAAGTTCATATAACCATGTACTATCTGATGCAGTGTACATTATTTTAATAAAAGCTTTTAATGAAAAGTCTAAAAACAATTATGAAAAATCACTCTTTTTGCGGTCAAAAAGGTATATGTAACCCCTTAAAAGTGAATTAATTAGTAGAATGATATAATTAGAGACGCTATTTTGTGTCAATGAAAATTTTGAAATTATGCAATGAAAAACCTAAATATTATGCAAAAATTGTGCGATGAAAATAAAATTATGCAATGACGCATGGTTAGGTTTTATTTGTATATAATAATTTTTAAATGGTTTTTAACCTAAAAACAATTAAATAAACAATAATAGAAGTTTAACTTTGGCATCAATCGTGTATTTTGGAAAATTGTTACATTCTTATACTATAGTTAGTACTATAGATATACTATAGTACTTTATACTATAGTTAAGAAAATTTCATTTGGAACAGCGATAAGTTTCTCTAGAATAGCGAAAGTTTTAACTGAAATGAATAAAAAATTCACTAATATAATGAAAATATTGTAGTTGCTCCAAGTACAATTTTTTTCCCGTGCATAAAGTTATTTTTATAATTAAGTAAAATGTAACATTCCGCTGGCCTTCACAGTAAAAAGTAAATCTTAATGTAAGGCTGCTTTCCTGCCTTAAAATAAGACTTTCATTTTACTGTGTTGTTCCAGTACTTTTAATAAAAGTCCGTTATTTCCTGACCTGTGGCAACCCTGATTATAAATGAAATTTCTAATTTTTATTTTATAAAAATCGTTTAAATTTATCAATTTAATTTAAATAAAAAATTAAGATTGATAAATGGAAAAAGTGTATAATATCGATCAAGCAAAGTGTTTTAGAAAAAAAAGAACAAAAGCATACACAAAAACTAACTTCAAACTGCGGATAGAATATGAATGAAAGAATACGATACGAAGATTATTATATATATGGGCAATTCCACGTGAAATTTAAGTCGACCTCTTAAAATCGGCCAAAAATATTTTTTTTCTATTCTGTATCGAAAAAAACAGATACGTAATTTTTTATTTTTGTTTAATTGTCCAAATTTTCGAGTTATGAATTTTCGAAATTTTGGACTTGTAATTGTAGACCTATTTTCAGTAAATCTTCTCTATATCATAAAGTATAAATAATTTTAAAAAAAAATAAAAAAAAATCCAGCCCAAAGTTAAAAATAATTTTTTTGTTTACATTTCTTAAAAGTCGAAAGAAAACCGAAACTTTCATTCTTTGACAACTTTTTCCTAAACTCAATATTTTCGGACTTATAAGCTACTGAATATAGATCTACAATTAAAAGTCCAAAATTTCGAAAATTCGTAACTCGAAAATTTGGACAATTAAACAAAAATAAAAAAATACGTATCTATTTTTTTCGATACAGAATAGAAAAAAAATTTTTTTGGACGATTTTAAGAGGTCCACTAAAATCTCACGTGGAATTGACCATATGTAATAATAATAATAATTTCTAAAATTGAAACTTATAATAAAAAATATTTTACCTGTGACCACTAATAATATAATCACTCCGAACAACAAATTTACAAATATCACTTTTTCTGTTTAACTGGGCGAATTTAATATTATTGTGACTAAACGGTTGTTTACGAGCAAAACCAAAAAGTTGATGTCCGCCACTCCACCACAAGGTATCTTCAGTCAATTGAATCCATGGCATTAACTTTTTCCCCTGAGAGAAAATAAGTTTTGTATCGTATTTACCATATTGCCAATTGTGAGAAATTTGCCACTTTGTCCTCAAACAAAGTACAGGGTTACATCTGTAAATAATAATAAACTTAACAATTGTACTGTAAGACTTATTTGTACTATGATTTTTGACAGCTGTTTAATATACAACATATATAAATAAGAAAAGGTAAACAATGAAATATCAAAACAAACTTATTTTTAAGTGAATTACAGGAGAATATTTAAATAAATTGAAAGCATAAGGAAAATGGTAATTATTAATATAGTAATTGATTTTTTTTAACTGCGTAGGTTTATATACAAATACAATACGAAAATATATATATGTAAAAACCTAACCTTGCACGAAATCTTTTGGATGCTTGATTTGTGGCAAGTGTCAGCTTACTTTTCTTGACCCACAATATTTTATCCCGGATAATTTCATAAAATCGAGAACACACTTCACTGAGTCTAACCAAATCGAATGCATGGCAATAATCAAAAATTAAGATAAGTGCGTCGGATGGTAATGTATCCAAACGCAAAACATCTGTCATGTTTCTTTACTGACAATTTAGAAATATACACACATAGACACGCAATGGGCTTCGATCCAACTCGAGGGCCTTCGATTATTTTCGAGAGTTTTCTATTCGATTTAGTCAGATTTAGTGTGGGTGTGGGTGGTGACCGTTGATGACGGCACGTCGTCATTTTTTCTTTAAAAAAAAATCAACTAGTGTTTAATCGTATATAAATACTTTAATTAACTCAGTTAAATACAGATGCTTCATTGTTACAAAAAAACGAAGCAGTTTGCGAAACATTGTTTTGGAAGCGCAAGAATCTTTTAACATATTCAAATTTATTTATGAATTATATAATAATGATGATAATGAAATATCATCATCATGATATGCATATAAATTATTAATACTAATATAGTAATAAAACTGTTAATAAACGAAATTAACACAGATAATGAAAAAAGGTCAAAGTCCTTTTAAAAATCAAAAGTTAGGTTAGGTTTCACCGGCCGGTTGCTAAATGCGCTATCCAATCATATTTCGTATAAAATGAAGTTTTCATATTTTTTTCAGTTACAAAGCTTACGGAATAAATATAAGCTTTTACGATTGGAGTTCCACTTTCAAAAGGGAAATTTGATTGGAACAGAATTGCAAGTTTTAACAGGTTTTAACTGTGAATTAAAATTAGACATGCGCAATGATCAACTTACTCGCTATGTGTAAGTGACCTGAAGTTTTAATCAGTGATTGTCTGTGTATTTATGTATTGCCTATTGGTTGGATGTGTTGGACCGTTGGACAGTGTTGGATGTAAAACTTTGTGGTGAGGTTATAATAGAATAAAATTTTGTAAAATAATGGCTAGCTGTAGAATATTTGGGGCACTTTCGCGATTTTCGCGAACTAATGTTCACTTCATTACACGATCAGGTAAGTTTTTGTTTCATATTTATGCACGCCTTTGGAAAATTTAATTAAAAAAATTGCACTCCCCATTTCCAGTTGGTGGAAAGTAACCTTTGCACCTTGATTTGTACTATAGATTCCCGAATGCAATCAAGAAGTCCTGGTGCATTGAGAAATTAATTGTTATGTCATGAAAACTATTTTAAATCATTGAGTTTTAATTTTTAATTTAAATACCTGAATAGAAATAATTGAAACAATCTCCTTACAGTCAACAATGATTAAAGTTAAGAACGTTAAAAACAAATGAGAATTCATTGCAGAAAATTAGAAATTAATTTTGTGATTTTTCTTTTGTTTCATTTAGCTCAACAACAGCCAATTAGGTCACTTGCTACAGCTGGAGAAAAACATTTTAGAACAAAAATTGTCGACAATGTAGCTGTTGTTACATTGGATTCACCCCAGGTCAAGGTATGAAAGTATTTAATATAATTTAGGATAGTAATTAAAAAATGAAGTCACTCTTTAGTTTGGAATTAAAAAATGTATTTTTTATAGGTTAACTCCTTGAACCGGGCGGTGATGGAGGAATTTTCGGAGATTTTAAGAACTATTGAGAATAATTCCGCAGTGAGTTCTGTGGTACTTATTAGCGGAAAGCCTGGTAATTTTATAGCAGGCGCCGACATTTCTATGATTAAAGACTTTAAAACTGAAGACGATGGTTATAAAATTTCGAAAGACTGTCACAGAGTTCTTAATGATATCTCTAGTAGTAAGAAGCCAGTAGTTGCAGCAATACAAGGCACTTGTCTAGGTGGTGGTCTAGAGGTATTTTTTTACAATTTTTATAGGTCCCTGAATTTGGCATGAAAAAATACTGAAAAGTATTTTTTTCACGAAACCGAAAAGAATAAAACAAATTAATAAAAAATAATAATGTTATATAGTTGTAGAATTTATCACTCGGTAAAAGATAATATAAAATATCAAGAAAATTATCAATCCTGCAAGTCAAATATTAAAATAAAAAACACAATTTTAATATTTGACTTGGAGGATAGACACTAACTTCAGGGACATATTTTTTAAAGTTAAATAATTGGGAAATTCATTGCAGAATTTCAATTATTTTGAATAATACAATTCTAATCAAATTCTTCCAAAAATGTAATTTTTATTAAAATTCGTCAAAAAATTCAATCATTTAAGAATTTGTTAATAAAATTGTGTATAAGAATTCAATTTAAAGAAACATTTAATTATTCAATAAATTATCTATGTTTGTATTTAAATAATTGAATTCTTGTAGAATTGTCTAATAAAAATTGATCTAAAAATTAATTTCAAATAAAGTTTTAGATAATATTTGAATTTTGGAGAAGTTACTAATAATTACAATTTTCAGAAATAATTAAATTTTGTAAAGTTTTTAAATTAAAATTTTTGAAAATCTGAATTTTTTATTCTTTTATTTAAAAATTCTATGGAACTAATTTTTTTCAAAAGCTTAATCGAAATTTTTAAAAATTATTTCAAGTACAAATGAATTTGAAAATTCTCAAAAGAACTTTATTAAAAGTAATTGATTTAAAGAAGAATTTTAGTTAAAAATTCTAGAAAATAATAATTGAATTGAAATGATGAAAATAATTTTAAAGAAGTTACAGTAACAATATTCTTACATTATAATATAAAATAATGATTTTATCGCTCGGTCACACAATTATTATAAAACATGAAGAAAGCGATCCATTTCTTCATGTTATTGAATTTCAAAAGGTTTGAATTAGAAATTTTGAAAATCTTAGTTCCCATGGAAAAGTAATAATGATTAAATATCAGAATATTCTTTAGGGCAGGGAAAAAGTCAAAATTTTGTTTGGAAATCAGGGAAAAACAAAGTGAAATTTTTGTGGCTACCCTGTAAATGTAAATAGATTTTAACTCTAAATTGACGTCCTTCTAGCTTGCTTTGGCATGCCACTACCGAGTTGCAGTTAGAGACAAAAAAACAAGTTTAGGATTACCAGAAGTTATGTTAGGACTTCTACCGGGAGGAGGTGGAACGCAAAGACTTCCCAAATTAGTCTCTCTACCAAATGCCTTGGATATGACACTGACTGGAAAAACTCTAAAAGCAGACAGAGCTAAAAAGTTCGGCGTTGTCGACCTTTTGGTAGACGAATTAGGCCCTGGACTCTTACCACCTGAAGAAAAGTAAAGGAAAATTCCTCAATTCTGCATTTTATGTATTTATTCCAAGTTCACAGTTTTATATTCTTTTCAGTACAAGAAGATATTTAGAGGAAACAGCCATTAAGGTGGCAAAGGATATTGCGAATGGAAATTTAAAAGTAAATCGTGATCCAAAATCTTTAGTCGCAAAAATAACGAATTACGCTTTGTCATTGGAATTTGTCAAAGATCAAGTTTTCAAAAAGGCGAAAGCTCAGGTTATGAAACTTACTGGTGGTTTATATCCGGCGCCTTTGAAAATTCTCGAAGTTATCCGCACAGGTTTGGATAAGGGACCAGTTGTTGGTTATGAAGCTGAGGCTAAAGCTTTTGGTCATTTGGCAGTTACTAAGGAGAGCAAGGGACTCGTTAGTCTCTTCTTCGGACAGACTGCTTGTAAGAAGAATAGATTTGGAACACCCAAAAGTGCTGTGAAGTAAGTTATAAAAACAAAAATTAAATTAAAAACAAAATCTTGAAATTTATGTTTTTACAACAATAAATTATAATTATTATTTTTTCGAAGTTATCACTTGGGCACTATTTAATATATGTGATTAATAATTATCAATCAATCCAAGTCAGGCAAAAAAATATATAAAAATTCAATTTAACGTTTCGACAGCACCGTTGTCCTCTTCAGAAACGAAAAAGAGAATGTCACAATAATTTGTAGAACAATTATCGTTCGCTGTTAGACATTGGCTGTCGAAACGTTAAATTGAATTTTTATATATTTTTTCTCTGACTTGGATTGTTTGATAATTTTTATTAATCACATATATTAATAAATTATTATAATATTATATTATAAGTACATATAATATAATAATAATAATAATCGAGATATTCTGTCTTCTCGTAAAGTTAGGGCTTTTTGATTCTAAATTGTTTTACAACTCAAATTGTCATGTCAAAAGTTTGACAATCAATTTGTAAATAGAGTGATTAAGTAGTGTTTTAGTTAAATTAATTCCCCTAGAATTTTGACAATAACAGGATTTTCACAGGACAGGGAAATAAGCAAAGTAAGGGAATGTTATCCAAAGTATTGGAAAAATATCAAATTACTGAAAACCTTAAATAGTGAAAAACCTATAATCAGTAAAATTTCACTGATTCAAATCGCGAGAATAGAGCCACTGATTCTCAGTGAAATTTCACTGATTCAGTTTTAGAGAGTACAACTTTTTAATAGCAATTGATTTGAAAAAGAACTTAAGTTATAATTTTAGAAAATATTTGAAGAATTGGAAGAATTGTAGTTATAATTTTTAGATATAATTAAATTCCAAAAGTTATTCAGTGGCGTAGGAACCGGGGGCACGGGGGGTAGTTGCCCTCCGGATTCAGTGCCCTGAAGTTGTTCACAAATGGCCTCGTACTCTCTAAAGTTAGGTCAAATTTGACCAATTCCTTAGCTCACAGGTTAAAAGAGACCCCATTAAGGCCTTCCAAGGAGTCGATACCCCAGGTCAAAATTTAGGTCAAATTTGACATATTTTTCGACCTGTAGGTCAAAAAGAGAATCCATATTTGCTCTACAAGAGCAAAGAAAGAGTTGAAGGTTAAAGAATAGGTCACAATGAACTTAAATTTTGACCTACGATAATGACCCTGCGGAGGGTTTCTATGAGGCCTCTTTTTGACCTATAGGTTGAAAAATACGTGAAATTCGACCTAAATTTTGACGTAACGTTACGCTACTCATGAAAGGGGATTTACGATGTCTCTTTTTGACCTGCAGGCTCTCTAAGGAGTCGCTACTCAAAATTTAAGTCAAATGTGACCTATTTTTATAGATGGGCGATTCTCCGCGTAGCGCAGAACTTAGTTTTTTTCATGTTGTAATGGAAAAATAATAAATAATTTTCATATAATTTTTACAATTCCAACGTGAAAAGGTTATTTATATGTTTAGAAACAAAAACCAATAATTACTTTATTTTGTATCTAATATTATAATTTTTCATAAATAAGCGGTTTTAAGGCTGAAAACGTCAAAATTTTACCTGTCCCCACAGGAAGGGTAGAAAAAAATGTTAATAATTTTAGTAATATGCAATAATAAATACAATTACTATTGACATTTTAGTATCGTCTACTTTAGTACAGTTGAATAAAAATTTTTTTTTTAAAAATTCATTTTATATATGTTTTTTTTCAGTTTATGCTTGATATCAAATTTGGATGCTATTCATTATTTTATTAACAAACAGTAAATTATTTAAATGAAAATCAAATGTTAACTTAAAATTACTTTTGTAAACACAAAAAATAACTTCCTTAAGTTAATTCAGGGAAAAGAATCAATGTTCTAATTGATTTATTCATTTTTCACTCATTTTAAGTTGGAAATTGGATAAGGGAATCACAAAATAATCTCCACCGACCAGGACCTCCACCGACCCTTAAATATTTTACCACAAATTAAACAATTATTTATAAAAAAGGTTAAATAAAGCGTAGTTATATTGTTTTGGTCAATACGAATGAGATCCACTTTAAACCGATTGAAAATTAATGATACTTTTTTCAAAAAATTAAAATATCCAAAGTTGGTTGAAAAAGTTCCCACCAGCCTGAGTTTCCACCGACCTCAGAATTTCCACCGACCTTCGTATTACGAAGAACCTAGTGCAAATGTAGTGTTATGGTGCCACATATATATAAGGAATAAAAAAAACCTATAGCGCTCAGGAAAGTTTACCATAAATTACTTAAATAAATTTCCATAAATTACCACGAAAATTTTTATAAATTACCGCAAAAATTTCCATAAATTAACGAAATAAAAATTTTCAATTGTGATTTCTACTTTGCATATTTTTAAAAATTACCGACAAAATTTCTTTAAATTACCTTACAAATGGCCATAAATTACCTTATAAATTTCCATAAATTACCAAAATCCAAATTTTTAATAATAATTTAAATTTTAAATATTTTTATGAATTATCGCAGAAATTTCCATAAATTTCCATAAATTACAAAAATAATAATTTTTAAATGAGATTTACGCTATAATATTGTTTAAATTACCGCAAAATTTTTTTTGACAAAATGTGTCCAAACAGTGAATTAGTTAATTACTACACTTGTTTACAACAAAAATTATAAATAATTTTTCCGGCCCGCTATGGATTTTTCTTTTTAAAGCCTTTATCTTCAAAAAAATATATTGATAATAATCATAACGATAAAAAAAATTTTTTTTAATTTCATAAACCAAATCGTGCGCTACGCGGAGAATCACCCAGCTATAGATTTGTGGATTAAGGGTTGGTAAATTAAAGAAAAATTTCTTAAATGCAGATGTAATCATTATTATCTTAGGGTAATATATAAGTAGTATAGTTACTTCGAAAATTACATTAAATTTAAATCTACCTTCCAAGTTAGTCAAAGTCTATACTTCATAATAAAAAGAATTAACGTAATCTTAATATTAGGTTTTAGTCAAAAAAAGTTGTTATAAACTGACATCTATTTTTAAAATATGTATTCCATTTTGTTCCTGGTGGACAAATAAATAACAATAAGTATTCAAATATTTATTAAACAAAAATTAATGAAATTTGAGATATTATATTTAAGAATTCTGAAAAATAAGATTTTTAAAAAGTCGTAGGTAATTAAAAATTTTTTTTAAAGATAATTGAATTCCCGAAAATAATTTGAAAAATTGAAACAATTAAAAGTTTTGTCAAATTTAATTGAAATATCTTTTCATTTAGTAGCCATCGATATGGAATACATATTTAGAAAATTTTCAATTTTATCCATTTTTTATAGGACTGTGTCAGTGGTTGGTGCTGGATTAATGGGAGCAGGAATCATTCAAGTCAGTATTGATAAAGGTTATGATGTCATTTTGAAAGACACGAATCAAGCTGGTTTAAATAGAGGAATAGGACAAATACAAAAGGGTTTGGAAACAGCTGTAAAAAGGAAACGTATGTCCAGGTAAATGAATTTTAACTTTTAAATTAAGGGCACGTAGGAAATATTCCCACATCAGGATAATTAGGGGAAAGCGTGCTGATAAAAAATATCCTCGAAATTTGCAAGTACAATATGGCGGCGAGCACACAAATAAGTGGATCTATGTGTCAGTGGTCAAGAAGGTGGCGCCAATTCGAGCTAGTGGCCGCGGCTGAATTAAGGAAACTACTCCATTACTCCACTTTCAACCGTTAATAAAATAATTTCCTTGCAAAATTATTGCAAAAACGGAGAAGGGCGCGGGTCCCATGCGATTCTCTATATTTTCCAAAAAATCCCGACTCAAAATATTCTTTTCTTTTTAAATGAGACGTCGATCACGAAACCATTTTTTCTCCCTCCTGCCCTTAAATAAAAACTAAGGACGTTTTCAAGATCTATTATATATAAAAGCAAATAATATTTTTCTATTTCCTTGAAAAATTGAGTTTTGATAAAATAAAAATCCAGATACCTATGTAAAAATTTAGTAACAGAATTTAATATTGAATTAACCCGTCAGCGGTCGCGCCGTGAGAAAAAGTCTCACGCAACACTACTCGACCTATAGGGCGCTCTTAGAGTGCAAGTGAGACACTAAAAAAGGCGCGACTGCTGACGGGTTAAATTGAAATTGAAAATTAGATATGAAATATTGGTATCAAAATTTTGTCAAAAGAAAAGCAGAAAGAAGGTTTGCAAAAAGTAGGGAAATTTTTTTCTCAATTGTTGTCTGACACCCTAATAGAAATTCAAGCTTTTAAGTGTGGGAAAATATTTATGCGTACCTTACATTTAATTTAATACAATTAATAATTCCATTTTCTAAAAAAATTTTATTTCAGTCTCGAGAAGGATAGGTTCCTGGCAAAATTGGACACTACCTTAAGTTACAATCATTTTCAAAGGTCCGATATAGTCATTGAAGCTGTCTTCGAGGATATTAACATTAAACATAAAGTAATTAAGGAAATTGAAGCTAACACACCGGAATATTGCATTGTTGCTACAAATACGTCTGCGATTCCAATCACGAAAGTAGCAGCCGGAAGCAGCCGACCTGATAAGGTTTATAATTTTTATTTGAAAACATTTATCCGCACAAAAGCTACTTACGATTGTGACTAGATTTTAATATCTTTTAATTTAATAATTTAATTCGAAGAATATTTTACAAAAAAGTGAAGAATGATTAAAAGTTAAGAAAAGTAACTAATTAATTATTGTTTTTGCAGCTAATCGGAATGCACTATTTTTCACCTGTAGACAAAATGCAATTGTTGGAGATTATTACACATAAAGGCACATCAACTGAGACGATTAAAACAGCCGTTGATGTAGGTTTAAAGCAAGGAAAGGTTGTAATTACAGTTGGAGATGGTCCTGGTTTCTATACAACCAGAATTCTCTCTGCCATGTCCACCGAGGGAATCCGATTGCTTCAAGTAAGTTGATTAAGGGTGGGGGGGGGGGGGGTCTGAACGGTGAAAAAAAGCATGTTTTTAAGAATTTTTTTTGGTGATACGCAAAAAGTTAATTTATTTTATCGCTTTGCATATAATATTGCAACATTTGAACAATATTTCTCTAAATTTTAATTTAAAAATATTAAGAATTGAGCGAGATGATGAGATTTTCCTTAGACGCCTCCAAAAGAAATTGATTTGCGGTGTACACTCTAACTCGCAATAGAATCATCTAAAACAAAAAAAATCAAAGTGCATTTATTTGTTAAAGGAGATGTTTTTTGAGGTAACGCTGGGAAGAATTTTTTTTTTTATTTTTCGATTTTTTGTAGCATTTGAAAGTCGAAAAGTCGACTTTCGCTATAAAAAAATCGATTAATTTGTTATTGTAAAATTGGTAATTTAAAAAAAAGCTCCCAGCGTTACCTCAAAAAACATCTCCTTTGACAAATGCACTTTGATTTTTTTGATTTGGATGATACTGTTGCGAGTTGGAGCGAACACCGCAAATCAATTTTTTTTGGAGGCGTCTAAGGAAAATCTCATTATCTCGCTCAATTCTTAATATTTTTTAATTAAAATTTAGAGAAATATTGTTCAAATGTTGCAATATTATATGCAATTATATTCAAAAATAAAAATTTGGCTTTATCGAACGATCAGATTTTGGCCCTTTGTATATAAAATCATCAAAAAAAAAGTTTGAAAAATAATCATTTGGAGCTGAGAAAATGGTACCTAAAAATAGGCATATTTCAATTGGATTTTACAACTGCTCTTTCCCCCTTAAATATTTTCTCAATAATTTATTTAACAAGATTTTTTTTTATTTAATTACCAAGATAGAAGTTAACATTAAAAAGGAAAAACGAATTGAAAAAAATTTATATACACTACCGTCCGTGAGTATCAGGACGCCCCTTTTTTCATGAGTGGAAAAATGCTTAAAACGTAGAAAATAAGAATGACAAAAATTTTTAGTATTTTTTTCCTGAAAGCTAATGAAATTATGAAGAGATTGACACCTGATCGAAGAATTTTCGTTGACTATTCTGTCAGATACAGAAAAAATACTGGATTTTGCATGCTTTTCGTAATTTTTTAATTTCTCGAAAACTAATTAACTTTTATTAGCGCTCTTCGTCTTGTTTTAATCTCTATTTAATGTAGAATCTAAATTATTAACTGGTATTGTGAAATAAATTTTTCCAAAAAAATTTGAAACCGTAAAAGTAGGATTAAAAAAATTATCATGAATATTAAAGTGTCAAAAAGGTCGATGTAAAATATGTTCATTTAATAGACATACTAAAATTCAAAAAAGCTTTTTAATTACTTAATTATTTAATTTAAAAAAATTTTTTTTTTTGAAAAAGTGTCAATCTGTTTTTCAAAATTTTTTTATCCGACTTTCACAGTCTTTTCATAATTTCATTAGCTTTCAGGAAAAAAATACGAAAAATTTTTGTCATTCTTATTTTTTACGTTTTAACCATTTTTCCACTCATGAAAAAAGGGGCGTCCTGATACTCATGGACGGTAGTGTCAGGGAAATGGAGGATTCAGAGAAAAGTCAGGGAATTTTAGAGTAGTTGCCTTTACAATTTTTATAAATAATTAAATTTCAAATGATCCACAAAGTCTGACCGTTGAAATGTACAAAATTTTTGACAATATGCATATTTTCAAAAATTATTGGATTTTTATAAAAGACAAAAACAAAATTTAACGTTTAAAATCTTTATAATTTTTTTGTAACACGCAGTATTGCAATAAAATTTTAATTTAAGAAATAAATAAATAAATTTCGTTCATTTTAACATTTAGAACTTTTGCGGGTAATTATGCAGTTACCCTTTTGCGAAATAATTTCAAAAGGATTCAAATTTGAATTTTAGATAATTCTAATTATATATTCTAAAGAAGTTAGTTTTTGAAAACATTGGTTAAAAATTTTTGTAATTACATAGTTGAATTTTTGAATAAATAGGTATATTTGACTGAAAATTTTTCTAATAGTCAAAACTTTTTTAAATTGAATTGTAAACAATAGAATTATTTTAGGTGAACTTTCTTTTCTTTTTTGAATGGTTGAATTCTCAACGAACTCTTTCAAAAATTCTAAAAACTAATTGATTTAAAGAAGAATTAAAAATTCTAGAAAATAATTGAATTGAAATCTTGAAAATAATTTTGGAGAACTTTTTTTAGCAATTATTATACATTACTGAATTTAAAAAGTTTTGAAATTTGAAATTTTTAATTCTTATGGTAAAAGAATACCTATTCACAAATAAATATAGATGTATTACAAACATTTTTTTTATTTCTAAGCATTTTTAGAGTTTATAAAAATATTCTTTAGAGTCAGAGAAAAAGGCCAAATTTTGTCTGGTAGGGAAAAACAAAATCTAATTTTTGTGGCATCCCTGAAAATAAAATATTTGTTCTGAAAAAATTTCAGTAATTTTGTATGTCAATATAATTTCTCAAATATTTTAAAATAAATAATTTCAATTTCTCCCGAGTTCTCCCGCATCAAATATTATTAATATTAAAAATTAATATTTCAAAGATAGTATTATTAACCCTTTGAGGACCAAATTTTTTCTTAAAAAATCGCGATTTTTCATTTTTAAGCAAACTTTTCAGGGAAAGTTATTGAAGTTTTTTACTTAAAGACCAGTGTTTCTGATACGAAATTTTCCAGACTATGTGAAAATTAAGAAATTTATGCCCGAGTTAATAAAAAAATGTTCATGTTGCCTGAAAGCAACACTGGTCCTCAAAGGGTTAATTAAAGAAAATGATTTATTTTGCAGGAAGGTGTCGATCCCATTCTACTGGATAAACTCACAAAACAATTTGGCTTTCCGGTGGGTTTAGCGACACTGACTGACGAAGTGGGTATTGACGTTGGTGCTCACATTGGAGTTGATCTTGGAAAAGCTTTAGGTCCACGATCAGCAGGTGGTGATGTTAGAATTCTTGAAGATATGGTAAAGAAAGGTTTCCTTGGACGTAAATCTGGCAAGGGATTCTACGTATATGAGGCTAATTCGAAAAATAGAGATGTCAATCTTGGAGCACTGGATATTTTGAAAAGTTATAAACTCGATCCAAAAGGAAGCACTGCAGATGAAGATCGTCAAATGAGGCTGGTCAGCAGATTCGTAAATGAAGCTGTACTTTGTCTAGAAGAAAACATTTTGGCCAATCCGGTAAAATCAGTTTACAATTTTTACAGTTTGGGTTCAAATTTTCACTTTTATTTACTCTAGATATATTTAGAAAATTTTTTATTTCTATTTACTTAAACTTTCTATTTATTACTCTTTATTTAAAATTGAAATTTGTTTTAATTTTAAAGTTTTAATTCATTTTATGATTTTTATTCATAATAATTTATTTCCGAAATTTTTATTTAATTAATTCAAAATGTTTACTGTTTAAATTAAACTTTTGATTTTTCTTTTTTCATTCTCCAAAATTTTTATTTCTATTTAAGTATTTATTTAAACTTTTCGCCCATTTCGAATTTTGAATTCAATACATGATTTTTATTCATAGTAATTTATTTCGGAAAGTTTTATTTAATTAAATTTAATAAATTTAATTCTTGACTTTATTTATTTAATCAATTTACTACTTTAACAGTTTCAGTTCAATTATGTAATAATTTTGTTTTGAATTGTCATTTATTTATTTTTTAAATCAATTTTCTATTTTAATTGTTTGAATTTAATTAATAATGAAATTAAACTGTTATTTTTTGTGTGTCAGATGATAACAGATGGCTAGGGGTTTAGAAATTTTTTTTTCATTTTACAGCTCGAGGGAGATATTGGTGCTGTTTTCGGTCTTGGTTTCCCACCATTTACAGGTGGACCTTTCCGATGGGTTGACTACTACGGAGCCGGAAGACTAGTTAAGAGAATGGAGGAATTCCAAAATTCTTATGGCGAAAGTTTCAAGCCATGTCAATTACTCTATGACATGGCATCTGACTCAACGAAAAAGTTCCATCCTCATTAAACTGGATTTTCGTACAGAAAAGAAAGAAATTGTCAATAGAAAACTAAAAAGTGAATTTAAACTTATATATTAACCGTGGCCTTCAGATTATCACGATGCTATTTTTCAAAGATTTCCTTACAATTACAAGTTTTTTATCGAGAGAACTTTAAAGTGAATTCTACGATACTCTAATTCAAGAATAGAAAAAAAACACAATTTCTCTTTTTCTTTATATGAATAGAGAAAAGTGTGACTTATCAACTATATTTTGTGGATGCATTTTTTGAAAGATTTTATAGATCGGATTGTGGAACAGAACTATTTTTGGACTATTGTTAATGTAATATAGTATAGATCGCTATTGTAAGTATATTTTTATTACCGAAATGTTTATTAAATAAATTATAATAAATTGAAATACTATTAGAAAATAATTTGATAAAAATATATATTCGATTAGTAAGTCATATTTTTTTTTAATTTTATTTTTGAGTGTTTTGAATGAAATTAAACAGATTTAAATGAATCTTTTAATATTACTTAATTTATTATTTAATCTTGCATACTTTGAAGTACAAGTTTTTGTTTGTTATGTTTTAATTTTAAAATGTTTAATCGATTGAGTTATGTGTTTGCAGAAAAATTATGAATAATTTGAAACATATTATTTAATAATACGTTTTGAAATTTGATGCAGTTCTAAAAGTGCGGGTAAAAATGTAAACAAGGTTGTAGAGGTCAACGGAAAAACGTGATGAGACAGACGGCGGTAATTTATGCAATGATCAAAAAAAGATATTAGAACTGAAATTCATAATGAAATGTCTGATAAACATTTTTTTAATTAACAAGTTCTACGTACTTCTTCATGACTTGAGAAAATTATTCTTCAGGTAACTTTGAAAGAGAATTTTATTTTTCATTTTTATTATTATTATTATTTTTATTTTTATCATAATTTATTATTTTTTTTCATTATTCTTAAGTATTATTATTATTTTCCATTAATATTTCTATGACTGTAACTATTAATTTTTAATTATTGTTAGTATTATTATTATTTATTTTTGATTCAACAACAATAGTAGTAATTTAATTAACGAATATGTTAATAAATTTTGATATTTTGTATAACAAACTCTGCTAACTTTGTATTTTTTCTTAATTAATTTTCTCTGAGTCATCAATTCTTAAAATAATAAAAAATAATTAATTTTTTAAGATTGTAGTAAAAGGTCATAGGATTAAAATTCTTTTACATTTTCGAGTGATATATTTTTATCTCTGTCTGTATAGCTGCCGGTTTCATTAACCGAGGTTAAAATTTTAGTGATTCGTGAATCAGAAGGTCTATCCTTATAAATGTGGGTTTTATTGACAGTGATTAAAAATTCAATTATTGGTAAAATCTTTGATTTTTTTGTTCGCAAAATCTAATCAAAAACAGTGTATAGAATTTTGTCTAATAATTAAAAAATTAATTTTTGCTTTAATGATACTGACGAGAATTTTTTAAACTTGGATAATATTTAAATATATTTTATTTATTAATAATATATTGTTTATTAATTATAGTATTAATTGTAAAATATTTTTAAATAGTGAATTTAAAGTAATAGTTATAATAAAAAATATAATAATTATTACAATAATAATTAGTATATTATATGCGTAATTCATGAAAAGAAACTTATGAGAAGAGATGGTTTTTGTGGTATGAGAGCTCCCTATACCTACCTGATGCACTATTATATTTAATAAATTAATAAATTACGTTGACATATATTGCAATAGTGAATCGAATTTCGCAATAATCTTGCCTAAAATGACCTTGATTATTGTTGGAAAGTTGATGCAATTCTTATTAACAATTACGTGGATAACAAGTTCACTAATAAAAATTTAAAAAAAAGGATTAAAAAATGGTAAACCTGTTTTATTCTCATTATGTCGTGCGTATTACAAAGATGTCTAAGGTGAAAAAAACTTGTAGTGCAATTTATCATAATCGGTCAATGGATGCATTCACATTTTCAGATTATATTAAGAAAATTTAATCTTGCTAAATTTTAATTTATTTCCTTTGGTTTATAACAAACGAATATCTACATATTATTTGTAGAATCAAATGACATTTGATTTAAGTTTAAAAATGATTTTTAGGACACATCAAAATATTGTTTTAAATTTCCATTTCCCATTCTTTTTTATAGTTCGATCCTGAAAAGATAGTTTATTTAAATGTTTACCTAAAAGACCATAATCATTAATCGTAAATCAATTGGAGGGATGATTTGTGTATTAAATTTTATACACGGGAGAAAACTCGGCAACTAACGAGGTGTAAATCAAGTTGGAATTTTCTGATGTAAATAGACGAGAGGATTGCAAATGGAAATAATGGGAAATAAGGAAATTGACGTTTCAATTGAAATACTGGATTTTCTTTATTCATATATTACAAGAAACAAACGAATTTTGAATATTGATGATAAAAGGTAATCATTGTGATATTTTGCATCATTTACCGGTCCCCACATACCTTGTTTGTGGCATTTATGATGCGAAAAAGAGGTTGGGTCCTTGGCTGATGCAAGAAAGTAGTAGGATTTCACTAGATGCTAATGAGAATGAACGGGCCTCCAGGTTCTGCATCGATTGGACATCAAGCATTGGATGATGGAGAATAATAGAAAAAAGTTACAATTATTATATATTCAAAGGAGAAACATTACCAATCGTTTCCTGATTTATTGCACTGCTTTTAATTATCCGATGATTGGGAGTTTTTATTCAACTAGACACTTTTACCCTTGAATTAACATTGAAGAAGAAATAATTCGAATTCTCAAGAAACTTCCATTTTTTTAAAATAAGTACAAAAATGATATTGACTAACTTTTTGCATTAAAACGATTTTCGAAGATCATATTTTCCGCATTATTCAGAATGCGGAAAATTTTCTAAAATCAGGTATTTTTTTTTATTTTAACTTTTATTTATATTTCGATTGAATTAAATTATTTCTTGCATTTCTATTTTTAGTTTTATTATTATTATTATTCAGTTTATTTAATTTCAAAAATTGTAAATGCAGTTTTAATTTCTTTACAGAGTTTATAATAAAGCATTGAGATGGAAAGGAGACAAATCGTAATCAAACATTATTTTTCCACGTTGCGTGAATTCTTCAAATAAAAAAAGGTAATTATATTCTTTTTAGAATTTCGTATTAGTAACATTTTCAATAATAATTAGAGAATAATTGGAAAAAGTAAATTTGATATAAATCTTGCAAACAATGTTGAAAATAATTTTTGAAAAATATATTATCGTATAAATAATTTTGACATTCAGAAGCGAAAGAACATTACAAATATCTAAAGCAGGCAATTTAATACAATGTTGCGATAGCAAGTAATTATTAAAGCTAAATATACATATATATGTATACAAAGCCTTTGGCTGACATGACTCTTTTAGTAAATGTTTTCAACTGATCCTGAACGAATGGCTATATCTCAGGATATGACAGCAAAGAGATATGCTCGTTTAACATTCAGACAAAACGTGATGGAAATATTTTCCGAACTGATATAAATCAATCGAAGGAGCATCTTTATTTCTGAAACAATGAAATCTATCGAAAAATAAGGCGAATTTATTTTTACGCATATGTCGAAATTAATACCTTGCAGTAGAATATAACTTCAAATTCTTTTTCTCTTTTCAATATATCTTTGAATGTCTTTTAATTTCATTTTTCTTCAACTATGAGTTTTCCATTGTTTTTTTCTGAATTTCTTTTGAAACTGCAATTTTTGGTAATTTGCAATTAAGTTGGAGATTTGTCTAAAAATAAAAAAATTACTCTTATTTTCATATTTCTGCATTCTTCTTTTAAAATTGAGCCAAATTTTTCATTTGTTTGGTTTAGAAGATTCTTTTGAAATTGCAGTTGTAATTCTCAATTAGTTGATGATTTTCTAGGGATAATACAAATAGATAATTCAATTTATTTCTTCTATTTTCAAACTCTTTGCATTCTTTCAAAATGGAGATTAAAATCATTTATTAAAATGGGATTAAAATAACAATTTATTTCTTTAATTTTCAAACTTTTTTCTATCTTTCAAAATACAGCTAAATTTTTCAATTTTTTAGAAAATTATTTAAAAATTGTAAATGTAACATGCAATTGATTGGAGATTTTTCAGGGAATAAATATTTATTATTATCTTACTATTTATTTCTTTCATTTTCAAATTTTCTTTGCGTTCTTCTTTCAAAAAAGATTCAAAACCGAACAATGACGTTCAAGGTTTATTTTATTTTCAAATTTTCTTACATTCTTTTAACGCAGTATATTTTTGTCATTTTTAAATTTTTTTTCATTGTTTTAAAATAGAGCCAAATTTTTTACTTTTTTAGAAAATTATTTAGAAATTTTCATTGTAATTTGCAATTGGTTGTAGATTTCCCAGGGAATAAATAGCAAAATGTATTTCACTCATTTTCACATTTTTTGCTTTCTTTTTTCAAAAGAGATTAAAGAAAAACTACAAAATGCAATTGAAGGGCTACAGAAAATAAGGGGACGAACGCATGGTTGAAAGGGATAATATCAGTCAGGTAGCAGCGAGCGGCTCAAGGCTTGTCACTGCTACCCGACTGGTACTATCCCTTCCAAGCCTCGCGTTCGTCCCCTTATTTTATGTAGCCCTTCAATTTAACTTCTTTCAGAGTAGGGACAAATTTTTTATTTTTTTTAAAAGAATTTTTTTCCAAATTGCAGTTGTAATTTGCATTTAGTTGGACATTTTATAGGAAATAAATAACGCAATTTATTACTGTCATTTTTAAATTTTTTGCATTCTTCTTTCGAAATAGAGCCAAATTTTTCATGCTTTTAGAAAATTCTTTAGAAATTGAAGTTGCAATTTACAATTGGTTGAATATTTTCCAGGAAATAAATTATGCAATTTATTTATTTCGTTTACAAATTTTTTGGATTCTTCTTTCAAAATAGATTCAAATCCAAATAATGCCATAGGGGAGAGTGGGGCAAAATGGGGTACCTTTTTGAAATTGGCTGTTTACAGAGAACCAAACGAATAAATCGATTCAGCTAAACTTCAGAATTCTTCTTTGTACACTTAGCTTTGAGGAAATTATGATAATAGCGGAGAAAAAAATTTTTGAAAGAACTTATATCGTATTTTCTGAGAAAGTGCTAACATCCCATTTTGCCCCACCCGTGGGGCAAAATGGGGTGGCATCAAATAACTATACGAAACATTGAGTATTTTTTCAAAATTCATTAAATTCTTGTTGTATGAGATTATAAATACAAACAAAAAGTAGGATTCTTTATTATTATGAAAAAACAAGTAATATTTATTAGAATTTAACAAAAAAACATGGATATTGCAAAATATCGATATACCGATAATGAAACATCGATAGTATAAATGCCTCGAAGCAATAATATCGATTCTTCTGCTGGAAACCTTTAAATATGCATAATATAATGTTTTTAAATAGTTTTAATGAAACGGCGTAGCTTCCGGCATGCCCCACACTTAGGTACCCCATTCTGCCCCACACTGCATATTAAAACAAAATGCAATGTTTACAAATTATTGTAAACAATTAAACAATCTATTCTATTGGAAATTACTCTCGAATAAGTACTGAAAAAGATACCACACTTGCCAAATTAAATGCATTATCCCAAAAAGTTTGGAGAGCACTTTAATTTTGAAAAAAATTCATATTTTTTTTGCTTAAAACTTAAAAGTTGTATAACTTTCAAAAAAAAATTTTCTTTGGAGTGTCTTCATAATTAATAACAGTTTCTTATCAACATGAATGATATATGTCGAGGAAAAAAAAATTAAAAGTACCTATCATGGAAAAACAGAGGTACCCCATTTGACCCGCCTACCCTATTTTGCCCCACTCTCCCCTATTCTATGTTTTTTGAATAAAATTATTATTTTGCTATTTAAAAAATATTTTTAAATATGTAATTAATTAATTGAATTAAATTTCCTCAATGTGACGATTTAATAATCGCATAAAGATTTTCCGTTCAAGAAATGTATACATATTGTACGTAAATATATATATATATATATATATATATATATATATATATATATATATATATATATATATATATATAAATCTCCGCCTTTATTTGTGAAAGGCTTGGCGTAATTTCTCTCTTATTTGTATTTTATTTATAGGATAAAAAATATTTATCAATTTTCCAATACACGCCTTTAAAACTGTTTACAAATTGTCCCGATTGCAAAAGTAAAAAAATTTTCCTGTGTTCAATCCAAAGTAGGAAAGAGGAAGAAAGAAAAATACTTTCTTTAGATAAAAAATAACTTTAAAAAAAATAAGAAGAAAAATTAATTAAAAATTTTAGATGAGTTTTAAAAAAAATTTTTTATTTGACTAAAAATATTTGTTTTTTATGTAATTTAGAAATTTAATGAATGATGACTGCAGATGAAAACATTTGTTTTAGCAAAAATTATTACTTGATTTTTATCATTCTTGACACGTGTAATCTACTTTGGCACATTTGCAATGTTTTGAAGCTAATCTATAAGTCTACGTATTCGAACATCCCACGTTCACGTGTTTAAACCATCCACGCGAATTATACTTGACTTATCACTTACCATTCAGTGTTAACGCGAGGTCTCCCACGTTGTCTTCAACCTAGTTCAGTGAGAGCACTTTTCTTCTGGTTCAAATTTTTAATCAATCAAGAAAAGTGCAAACACTATTTTCTATTTTCTTCAACTATTTTCAATTCGATTAGCTGAATTTTCTTCTAGTCAAGAACATAAATAAATTTTTAAGTAAAATGATTAGGTATTAATAAATAATAAGTTAATTACTACTCTTTTGATTTGAGACATTTTTTTGGAAAAATTTAGTTGAAAAATTTAATCTTAATTCGTATTAAATATTAATTTTTATTAAAAAAATTAAAACAAATTTTATTTTCGAAAAATTTATTTCGCAGTATTTATTAAAAGAAGTCAAATATTTTTTTTGAAAAATTAATTTAAAAACGTTAAGTGTTGAAATTGTTACTGCAAATAGATTTAAATGTCTTAACGAATTAGTCATTGACTTTGAGGAGTTAATGATTTACATTATTCGTCACTTGCATAATTATTGCCGCTACTAAAATGCAAATTCTTCTAGACTTAATAGTTTAAGCAAAGAACAGTAACACTTATTTGCAAAGTGATACGCAATCTTGTTCAAATTTAGAATTTTTTAATGCAAAATTAAAAGTTGCAAAATTTAAACAAAAATATTAAAATCTAGTAAAAATAATTAAATAATTGACTCATTTGGTGAATGCAATAAAAATTATACTAGAGAAATTAAAATTAGAATTTTTATTAAAATTAAGAAGTAAATCTAAATTGTTAAAAAATAATTTTCTCTCTATCAATTCTAATTTATTCGTGTGTCTAATAAAAAAATGTAAATTGTTTCATCATCATTATTTTGTTCGGAGAATGGAAAACGAATGAAAACACAGAATTTATATAAAAAAGTATATAAGTTTTAATTGCTTCTTTTTTTCTGGAAATAGGTACAAAAATGAAAAATGGGATCAAAGTCTTATAAATCTCCTTATAATGGGAGTTAACAAGGCGATAGTCGAAAACAAAATGATATTAAATTATTTGATGATCCTAATTTTTTGAACAAATACAAGAAAATATGTACAGACTCTATTACAGAGTTTAGCAATAAATATTATTTTCTCTTAATTTTGTTTTCTTTTATAAAACATATGTACAAATCACAGACACACTTAGGTACTCGTTTTAATTGCACGATCACTGTATAAGATCTTCATTTTTCAATTCGCACAAAAGTCTATTTCAGATGAGATAATCTTTTCTTCTTCTTCTTTCTCGTGACATATTTTTTCTTACTTTTTTTCCAAAGCAGAAAACTGCTGTTCAAAACGCTTAAATCTTAAGACTAGATTTAATTTTGAAGCGCAAAAAAAAGAAATGATCTGGAACGTGTGGATGATTTTCTCTTTTGGTCCCGGAATTTCTATCATCTCATGATGATTTTGATACTTGATTGTAATTTTCTTTTCCACCTTTGTTTCAGGTCATGAGCTGTTGAATTCTCGGTGCAAGAACTGGAAGTAGGCTCACCCTCAATGGACCTGGAACAACTTTGGGTGTGTTTGTTGATGATAATGCGGAATTTCTGTCTCTTGAATGACGCTTAACGTGTTTGGCGAGATGATCACTTCGCATGAAACGTCTTTGACAAACGAGGCAGACGAATTTCTTTTCTCCAGTGTGAGTGCGCTTGTGTCTCGAGAGTTCATCGCTGCGTGAAAATTTACGTCCGCAATCCTCATAGGGACAGGGAAATGGTCTTTCGCCGGTGTGCGTTCGGGTGTGAGCCTTGAGATGTGAGGATTTGAAGTAATTTTTTGCACATCCAGGATGCTCGCACTCGTAGACTCGGCGACGGGTTGTCGCCTCGGGAACGGAAATTGATGTTGTTGCTGCTGTTGGATTTGGTATTGTCACTAGGAGAAGAGGTGTTCGAGGTAGGACGAGAGGGGAACTTAATAATCCCGTCACTGATGGTTTAGGAGCCAAGGGTTGTAATTTTGGTTGAGTTGTCTCACGATCTGTATTCTTATTGTTGACGATAATCTCTTCTTTTCGCAGGCTCATCTTGAATTTGAGACTCTTGAGAATGTTCTCCGGCTGGACTGCAGGTGATTTTGGAACTGGAGGACTTGCTAATTTCTCCGGCTGGGGAATTGGGTTTGGAGATGATAAGTTTGCTGGAGTACATGTTCCATCGCGATTTGCTCGCATTATCACCGAAGCTCGTGCTGGTTCTGGACTTGACGGTGGTGTACCGTCCAGTAAAAGCTGGAAAAGAAAGGAGAAAACTCTTTAGAAATCACACATATGGTAATATAAAATATAAACTCTTATGATATAAATAGAAATATCTCATTTCTAGATGTGTCTTTTGCCTCTTTTTGGTAAAGACTCATGAAAGTAGTAAAGAAAGATTTAGGAAAGACCGTTCTAGTAGTAGCGGCTGTCTTTAGTCAGACATCTTTAAATAAATCAGACGTTTATAATTTAATTATATTTTATCCAGCTTATATAATTTATTTTCAAAGAAAAAATTTATCACGAAGGGAATAATTTTTTGTGAAATATTTCTTTCAGTTTCTTACCTTTGCTAATTCGCATTGCTCTAGACAGCGCCTTTTCCTTGGCAATTCGTCTTCTTCGGAGTCAGACGGTTGTGGTGTTGGAGGGAATACGAGATGATTATTACCATCTTCGGTTCGCTTCAGGTTTTCTTCATTAAACCCTCTCTTGCTTATTACTTTCTCTCCTAATATTGCGGCAACACTGAACGTCGACAGTAATGGTTCAACCTACATATAAAAATGAGTTTTATTATTTAATTGCAATTTGTAATTCTAAAATTGATAATTAAATAGAGAAATAGCAGGTTCGATATCGAATTTCAAATTTTTTCGAATTTCAATAGTGCTGAGAAGGAGTACCGTCTATCAATAAATTATTTTTATTGAAAAAAGAAGTTATTTTTAAAGGATTTTGATTTCTTCAATCATTACACTAAATATAGTTAGAATTTCTTCACAGAATATCTTTCAAAGATATCTTTTTGAAAGATAAAACACCGTAATTAGGGTTTTTTTGCTAAAAAATTTATTGTTTTTGAAAAAAGCACTATTTTAAACAGAATATCTTGAGAATAAATTCGGAACAGATGAAGACATCTTTATTGAAGATAAAACGCCTTACTAGAAGTTTTTTTCACTGAAAAATTTTGTTTTATTAATAAAAGGGGCTATTTTGAAAAAGATTTTGACTTTTCGAATTATTACACTGATTATATTGAAAATATAATATTGCGAATATCTTCAATATATCTTCCAAAGAGATGAACACATCTTTGTAAAAGAAGAAATGCTTTGATAAGGATATATTCACTAAAAAATTTAGTTTTATTGAAAAAAGAGCTACTTTGAAAAGGATTTTGATTTCTTGAATTATTATACGCGAAATATGTTGAGAATATTTTTAGAATATTTTTAGAATATATATATATATATATATATATATATATATATATATATATATATATATATATATATATAAAATATCTTCCAAGGAGATGAAAATATTATTTTTAATGAAAAAACGCACGACTTTTTTGTCATCAAAAAAATTAATTTTATTTCACAAAGAAGATATTTCGAAAACAATTTTTAAACCTCGAATTTTTACAAGTTCTAAATTAACAATTTTTTTCATTTCGTTAATATTTTTATTAGATCATTGGTATTCCAAAGCTGTTATAAATAAATCGATTCAATGAAATTTGGAGATTATTTTTGGAATTTTGTTTCGCAATTTAATTTACATAATTTTGCGAACAACTTGAATACTAAAATGCCAAAGACGCTGACCATCTTAATAAAATGTTTTTACTCCTGTATGAAATCTATAGAGAGAGATTAGGATTTTGAGGAAGATCATGGTTTTGCGAGAAGTAAAAGGAACCGGTTCGCAGGATTTTCAAAACCAGTTAATCTATTCAGATTAAAAAGGGAAAAAGTGAGATGAGTTCTTTGAACTTCTTTTTTCTATATATTTACTGAGTAAACAGTTTCATCAAGGCACACTTCTCTTAATGGGCGGAGCACACGTTAAAATTTGTATTTCGCGGGCATGTGTGGCGGCAATTTTAATTCGAAGGCAAATATTTTATTGCACTTACGTGAATTTGTTTTAATTGAGGTGATGCTGGAGGCGATAGTGTTATTGCTGATGACTCCATTTTCACAATAACGAAAAGGAAAAAAAATGCTTTTTTATAATGAAAAATAAAATATACAACACTTGATTGAAGTTACATTCGAGAGTACATAACACTTGAGAAATTGGAATTGAAGAACAAGAAACGTACTCAACGAAGAACTGAAAGAGCAATGAAGCTTTCACGGAGTGTACGATGTGGTGTTCTCTCGGGTGTGTGAGTAATCATGCAGCGTGTGGATCGATTGACGAATCAGAATGAGGGGCTCGGCTCCGAGAACCAATTGAATGTTAGCTGTCAGTTGGTCACTGCGTGATCAGTAGCGTGCTGTTCACGTGTACCTAGAATGACTGAGGTCGTGATCATGACGTCACTCCGCGTGGTGACCGGTCGATACGTCATGCCGTCATTGTGTGTTGTGTAGCGTCATATCAACATCTTTGACTTAGATTTGCCAAAGAGTTTGGCTCCGACCTTCTCTTCACCAAGCCTCCGCTTCCTCCTACTCCACTTCCATGCTTTCGCTTCACTTTATTTTCTCTTCCAACTCTCGGCGAAAAATATCTTTGTATATATACATATATATATTTGACGAGCCTCCGAATTCTTTGTTCTTCTAACCAGGAGAAAAATGCATAATCTTCTTATGCGCTCGCTGACCTCTTCCGCTATAAAATTCTTCTTTCTTTTATACTTCGCAATTTTTGCAAAGAAAAATTAGCATTTTTTCTTGAAAAATAAATAAATAAAATACTTGAGACTTAAATAAAACTTAAGTAATTTATTTAAGTTTTTTTCAATTAGAAAAAATAGAATACGTGACTTTATGATGATTAGAAGAATAATCATTGAAATCGGTGAAGATAAGAGAAGAATATATTATAAATATATTTATAGTAGAGAGATTTTTATCGAAACCAAAGGGAATATTTTATTATTCTTCATAATTGTAATTTGGAAAATGTTTTTTCAATGGAGGTTTTCTAATTTCTTATTTTTTTTAATAAAACAGAGTTTATCATCAGTTCCGAAACATTATTTATTTATATTAGTATTTTTTTAATAAATTTTATTTTTTAAAATCCATTGTTTTTGATCCATTTGTTTTAGAATTAATAGATAAATATTAGAAGAAGAAATTGTTTAGAAATATATTAGAAAAACAGGACTTTTTTCTGTATAGGAAAAAAATAATTGAGTGGCAGTGGGTTAAAAAAATTCGGCTTGTCTTAGTAAAAGGCAGTTTTTTTATCGTGACTTTTTAGAGATAGTAACGCAAATATTGTTTGGATTTTGTCAGTGATTAAATTCAAAATATTTACAGGGTTGACAATTTCATTTGCAAACTTTAAACGTCACAAGTTTTTACACTGTATCATTGATAATGAAAGCAAACAGTTGTTATATACATGTTTAAAATAAAAAGAAAAAGGTGTCTTATCTTCATATAAATCTTCAGTATAAGATAAAACTATATTAAAAGTCCCTCGCATAAACATACAATGCAATAAAGCTACTTTTAAATTGCACATCAGTGATTATAAAATGCATGCGAAAAAATTTCTGATTATATTTGTTTTTTTTTGTTTTGTTCCATTTTTTCTCTGTTTTCTATTTTTATTTAATAGTTATTTTATTTTTATGTATTAATTTAAAAAAGTTTTGTTTCAGTAAAAAGCATCCACTAGTCTAATGGAATTTGGGAAATATTGTAGGTATAAAGTTGAAATGCGCGAATTTTAAGAGGATGTTACAAGAGGAGCAGTGAAAACCTATTTTGAGAAAAGAATGTCAATGGAATTTATTAAAACAGGGTGGCGAGTTTTTTTTTTTAAATTTGAATTCCCGGTCAAATTTTTATCAACAATTAAACACTATTATTGTATAAATTTTTAAATGATCAATAATAATCTTCGTATTTTCATTCATTCATTCTGTCCGCAGTTTGAAGTTAGTTTTTGTGTATGCTTTTGTTTTTTCTTTTTAAAAACACTTTGCCTGACAGATCGAAATTATACAGTTTTTCGATTTGTCAATCTCAATTTTTATTGTTTACGAAGAAAAAAGGTTAAACGATAGTTATTTTATAAAATAAGGTAAGACATTTTCGTAATGTTGATTTATCAATAATATTTTTGTTTATTTTTTAAAATTTTTAGTTTCTTTTGAAAAAAAATTTGTGTAATTTATGTTCTTTAATCACAATTTTTATTCTTTTTTAAATTAATGAAAAAAATTTGTAGGTAGAATTTGTGAATTTTATAATTACAATTTTTATTTTTTTATGTGTATAAAGATTATTTTATATTTTACATAGCTAAAAAGCGCGCGTGTAGTTTCTCTTTCTAATGTTAATAAATATTTAACAATCATGGCTATTAACAATTCACATTTTTTAGTAAAAAAGCAAAATTTAATTTCATTTGAAGAATTTCTTTAATAAGATTTAATTTTTGAAACTTCTAAAAATGAATTAATTTCAGTTTCTTTCAGAAATTAATAGAAAAATTTGCATAATTTCTTTCTCTTTATTTAAAATCGAAGAAAAAAATAATTAAAGGGTATAGCCGGATAAGTATGCAAAAAGTGCCCCCGCATGTATTTAATTCATAATTTATCCATACATTCCTACCCACTTAAAGATAACATTCTGAAATTTTGAACTCAAAATTCGCTTTTTTGGGGGAGTTATGGAGGGGGAAAGAAAAATCAAAAAATGCGTTTTTCTCGAAAACTACTGAACCGATTTTAATGAAATTTAAATATGTTATAAATGTCAACAAAACAGTTTTAAAAAAAAATTTTTGAATTTTTTTTTTCAAAAAAATCCAAAATTTTTTTTTTTGAATTTTTCAAAAAAAAATTTTTTTCATTTTTTTAAGAGCGACACCCGCCATTTTTTTACTATTTACTCGTCAAAGTGTCTATTTAAAGAAAAAAATTTTGCCCAATTTTTTTTTGAGGTGCGTGATAGTGAAAAAAATAAAAACCGCAAGTGGGTACAATGTACAGCTTAAATTTTGAAAAATCCATCATATTCTTTAAAAATTTGTTATTTCGAGTCATTTTTAGGTTTCTAATTATAAATCTACTATAAAATTTAAAAAATTCAAAATGGCGCATCCAAGATGGCGGAAAATTGTCCGAAACGTGAATCATATTTTGAAGTTTCATAACAAAAATTTCAGATACAATTAACTGGGGCTTAGGGGGTTAAGTGTGCAAAAATTGCCCCCGCATCTATTTTTCTCAAATTTGGCCCATACATTACTATCCATATGACTATAACTTTCTGCAATTTTCAACTCAAAATTCGCTTTTTTGGGGGAGTTATGGAGGGGGAACGAGAAATCAAAAAACTTATTTTTTTCGAATACTACTGAACCAATTTTAATGAAATTTTAAGAGGTTGTAAAAATAGATAAGACGACTTTAGTAAAAAAATCAAAATTTTTTTGTCAAAAAAAAGAAAAAAAATTTGTTTTTGAAATTTTCAAAAAAAATTTTCAGAGTAATTTTTTGAAGTGACCACTTTATCTTTTGTTGTAAAAAGTACCTTATAATGTCCCCTTTAACCTTTTTTTTCCCAAATTTTTAAAAAATATACTTTTTGAGTAAAATGTCAAAAACCGGACAAGTATGGAAAAAGTGATCCAAATATATTTTTCCTATTCATTCCTACCCACAAAATAACTTTTTGAAATTTTAAACTCAAAGTTTTGATTTTTTTTGAGCTTATGGAGGGAAAAAAAATCGAAAAACGCATTTTTCTCTAAAACTATTGTATGCATTTTAATGAGCTTTGGATATGTTGAAAAGACAATTAAAGAGATAAAAAAAAAGTTTCAAATTTTTTTTTCAAAAAATTCCAAAAATCTGTTTTTTAAAAAATTTCATTTTGAAATTTTCAGAAAAAAAATTTTTTGGTTCTATTAAAGTGACATTTTTATGTATTTTATCATTTCAGTCTCTTATGTGATCTACTTAATTAAAAAGTTTTGCCTGACATGATTTCAGTGTGTGTCACAGTAAATAACTCAAAAACCCTACCCGGTACATTGTACCCACTTGCGGTTTTTATTTTTTTCACTATCACGCACCTCAAAAAAAAATTGGGCAAAATTTTTTTCTTTAAATAGACACTTTGACGAGTAAATAGTAAAAAAAATGGCGGGTGTCGCTCTTAAAAAAATGAAAAAAATTTTTTTTTGAAAAATTCAAAAAAAAAAATTTTGGATTTTTTTGAAAAAAAAAATTCAAAAATTTTTTTTTAAAACTGTTTTGTTGACATTTATAACATATTTAAATTTCATTAAAATCGGTTCAGTAGTTTTCGAGAAAAACGCATTTTTTGATTTTTCTTTCCCCCTCCATAACTCCCCCAAAAAAGCGAATTTTGAGTTCAAAATTTCAGAATGTTATCTTTAAGTGGGTAGGAATGTATGGATAAATTATGAATTAAATACATGCGGGGGCACTTTTTGCATACTTATCCGGCTATACCCTTTGGACTATTTATATATCATCATCAACTTTTTTTTTAAAACTTCCATTTTGTAATTAATTTTGCCAATCATATTGTTTTAACAAAATTTGTATAGTATTTTTTTTTGCATAATTTCTATGTATTTATCACAATTTTTTTAACAAAATCAAAATATTATTTTTTTAACAAAGCAAATTTTTTCATTCTTTTCTATTTTAAAAAATAAGTGTTGTTAAAAAATTCTGTCTGACAAAACGAATTTTTATATTTTCTTTTATTTATTTCTAAAAAAAGTCGAAAATAATTTAACAAAATTTTAAAGGTTATTAAAAAAAAATTTTTAAATTTGAGTAATTTCTTAATTTTTTAAACATAATTTTTAATAAAATTTTGATTTTTTTAGAAATAGATGAAAAAAATTATCATAATTTCTATAAAATGACCAAGAATTTTTCACAACGCCCCTAACAAAAACTACACTTTCAATTGTTATAAACAATATTAATTAACAAATAGTTAGCTTTGATTCCTCTCCACTAAAGAATTTTTTTCACATTTTTTTTTAAATTTAAATTTATTTGAAGATTATATTTGTCCTTTTAGTTTAAAAAATATTTTATTTAAATTGTTATAAACAATATTAATTAATATCAAATAGTGAATTTTGCATCCTCTTCACAAAAATTTTTTTTATGTTTACTTTTAAA